TCAAGTCCAGGTAGTCGAGCCTGAACCTTGAGGCATCTCATCGTCTCCTAACAGGTTAAATATACAATAAAAGTAATGTGTTGTTTCATTCATATTTTGTGATCAATTTTTTCTTCTTCTTCAACTTTTTCCTTTACTTTTTATCTTTAACCTTTTTCGTATCAGACAACATGTAAACGGCCTTTGGCCTTATTGTTGGCACTAATCTAATGTCAACAAGATGACTTCAGATTTGGACTTTTTGGAAGGTGAAACAAGACTCAATAGTGAAGGTTACAGGTTCAACTTTACCATTTATTATTAACAAATATTGATGGTTGATTAAATCTGATTAATATTTTGCTTTGGTAACATTAAGTCGAGTCATCATTAGTCGCTCATTATTTTGTTAATTTGAACCAAAAGAGGTTCGAGCTCTTTGATTGATAACACGATAATCTGATTAACTCGTCAAAATCATGTCTACCTGTGTTACATGTCAAAATGTTTCATGACATTTGTGCTACTCATACCCACATTTTGATCATTATTGCCATTGACATTCAACCGAATTGACCGGAAAACAAGTTTCTTATTCAATTAGCATTTCGATATTAATCGTCGAGGCCAAGTCTTCAAAGGAAAATCAGTTTCAAAGATTCACAACACAAAAAAACAAATTCAACTTGAAAACGCATTCCAAAGCATTTTAATGAAATTAAGCTTCATAACAACTCGACACAAACTGAACCAAGAATAGCTTTTCAATTTTAAAACAAATTCCGAATGTAGATTCAAATTGAAAATCTGTAAACTCGAAACTCTGAGCTCGATTGTAAAGACAATGAGTTTCGAAAAACTTTATTTTCAAAATCATTCTAAACTGACCTGTAACTTATCAAAGCATGAAAAGTAAAATAAAACTTTTTAACACAAAGTATTAAATTGACTGTCACTTTGATTTTGATTGTTTATTCTTTATATCATTCGGTAATTAGATGAACTGAGCTATCGAGGAAAAGTTGTGGAAGAAAAGTTTTCATTCAGTCTTGTTTCGAACAGATTTGCTTCATTTTTTGGAGTTTATTTTGATTGTAAATTGAAACTGACTCCCAAACTGTTAAACTGTTTAATATCAATTGATGCAGACTCAATGGCTTTTATGTTTGTAATTACTTTTCTGCTTCTTTTTGCCTCATCGATATCAACCGATTAAACTTTCAACTTTGTTGTGCTCAACCAAATTCCAGACTCATGTTCATTTCTCACTCTATATTAACATCTAAAGGGGAGAAAATATTTCACCAATCATCAAAGTATCTTCATCATTTTTATCATCAACAGAATCTTTGGGATCGTTCTTTAGAAGAAAATTGATTAAAATTCATATCACGCCAGAGAAGTTCTTTTTCTTTTTCTTCATCATATCACTTTATCTATACAATTCAATAATAACTTCTGGATGAGTTTGAATGGAAAGTAAAAGATGGTTGAAACAAGATGAAGAAACAGAAGGAAAGGAAAGGAAAGAAGAGAAAAGGTAAAAATGTTTCAAGACTAGAGATTCATACACCTTTGTCTTTGAGGCAAAAACAAATCATCTTATCTTCAATTTCCTCTCTTCATGTAACATGTTAAACTCATTTTCCTTTTCCATCTTTTCCAGCTCAATTCAGTGGAAAGAGCAAGTCGATCGTTGATCAGCAGAATGGGTCAAATCTGATGAATAAATAAAAGAGTTGAGAAGAAGAGAGAACAAGTTTCATTCATTTTTCAATTTCGACTTTCATTCAATTTTCGTGTTCATCTGTCAATTCTTGTGGTCAAATTATCTTCTATTCTGATATCTAGTTATTTTCCCTGGTTACATGATTAACCTTTTCGCTTCTCTAGTTTCCACAGAGAAACGAGAGGAAAAAAATTTTTCATTCCAATGAACCTTTTACTTGACCAAAAAGTGTTTCAATTTTGTTTATCAAAATTGTGGCCAAATTGTTGCCATACAATCGTGATGCTTCAACTAACACCAATTGCATCAACAGCATCAATCGAGTTTGTAAAGTGAGGAAAAGTTGTGCCAAAAGAAAGTCCAGAAAAGACAAATAATTGGAAACAGCAAATATTACATTATCCTTGGGATGGAAAGCATTTCAAAACTGATATTGGGTGCAAGGTGAAGGTTGGAAAACACAAATAAATAGATTGAGGGTTAACAAGAAAGGTTAGAGTTTAAATCAATCTTTCAGTCTTGTAATTGATTCAATATTCTGAATAATTTTCATTTTCTTCTTCTATTCATTTGCAAGATTCAATAAATTTAAGATGAATGAATACGATTGAACTGCAGCTTTTATTGCAACTTTCATCAAACAATCAATGGAAATGAAGAAAAGTTTTAAACAAAATTTCCAGTTTTGAACATGAGTTTAGTTTCAAATTACGGATTGTTTCCATTGATCGAGCAAAGTGGTCATAAGAGTTGACTGGTATATGAAGAGGGCTATTGTTAGAACTAGTTAGTTGATAACTGGAAGCGGGTAAAGTCGATAACACGATTTTCTGGTATTTTTTGACGATGCAAGATTCTTAAGGATTTGCATTGGAAAGAGTTGGATGGCAAAGTAAAGAGTAATGTTAGTTGTTACGTTATGGATATGGATTATTGTTCATCTTTTTTCCAGCTTTTTTCCTCTTCTCCTCTTCACCTCATCTTGAGCTGTTCTTCTCATGGGATCTCATGATAATCTGCTTAAGATTGCTTACAAAACCACAGGTTTAAATTGTTGCCTCTATCATCAGCGCATCACTTGATATTATGCGAAGTGAGGAAAAGCCATTTTGTTGCCTCAAAATTTCGTTTACTTTTTTCCCTTCTCATCATTCCCAGCATAATCATCTTCATCTTTATCATGATAACACATTAAGCCTTTCCTCCAAACAACAAAAGTAGAACCAACAATTTCTTGAACATTTCCATTTAAACATTCAAATCAGTATGAATAACTATGGAAAAAATGGTTCAAATTCTGCAGCAAAAACAGCTCACAACTTTCATTTTTCAGTGGCAACTAGAAAAGTTTATTTAAAAGTTTTCATCAAAATTCACATTTACTTTTAGATAAGTTAGAGCTGAACATTATCATATTAACTTCTACAGAAGGCGAAATCTGAGATATTTCATCTTAAAATCGAAGTCAAACAGTTGGCATAAAGATTTTCGTCTTGCTCTACTTTGGACTTTGTAATTGAATGTTGAATGCATAACTATCGAGCGTTCAAGCAACAGCAAAAGAAGTTAGTCAAATTGGCAATCATTTAAGTAGCATTCAGTTCATCGAATAATTGCAGCAGAATTTCAACTTATGAACAAAAATGTCAACCAAGTTTCAATGCAATGCTGGAGTTTTAAGAATCTTCATCAACTTATGCCCAAATGTTACAGCTTATTCAGACAATTGCGATTGTAGTATTTGCTGTCCCTTCAATTTGGTGATGCAACTTGACGTTTCTTCATTACCATTTCATCTTACAGCTTGAAATACTTTCCTCGATTAACAGACTCCAGAACAGTAAAAGAAATGGCGTGAGAAGCGATTCAAGCTTTAGTTGAAATTTGCTTCAATCGCAAAAGCACAAAACAAACTTGACTGAAATTAGTGTCATTCAGTAAAACTTAAAGCACAATTTATGCTCCAAGTTATTTACTTATGCTAAGTTAATATTACAAAATTGCTTTCAATATTATATTTGCTTTACTTCAATAAACACTTTCCATTTGTATCTTCGAGTAACTGTGATTCATATTTAAATAATGTTTAATTTTTGATAGAAAACTAAATTAATTTCTTTAAGAAGCAAATCAATCTTAAACTTAGCAAACTGAGGAATCAATTGTAACAATCAAGGAATAAAGTGCGAATTTGATTAAGAAAATGTTTGACGAAAACTCAAATGGAATCACAATGAACTAACAATACAATTAGCTTTCTGTAATTGCTGACCAAGTGGACTAAAGGATAAAAATTAAAGTTCCTTCAATGGCAAAGTTGAAGCCAATAACAATATAAAGCTATTTAGAGGTGATAAAAGGTCTTCACTGGCAATAACGAAATGAAAGTAAACAATAAAATAAAGGTGTTGATGTTATATGAGATGACGATTATAATGATGATCGGTGTGATGATGATCAATGAAAATGTTCAAAAGTTGAGCAGTTTAAGGAGAGAAGAAAAGATGAAATTGAATCTCTCAAAGGAAAAGCTTCTTGAATAGTCTTCATCATTTTCATCATGTATTTCAACTCTTTAAATCACTGATTGGTACTAATTCAATTCCCAAAACTCTCGTGATTCCATCTTTACTTTATCCTCTTTTCATCATCTTTTTCTTTCTTCGTTTCGTCCAATCCTTTCAGTTTGTTTTTTTGTTTCAAAAAGGCAAGTCTTTCGATCTTCTTGGTGTCCATCTTTTATCTCTGCTTCTTATTCAATGAATGTTATCAACTTTATCAACTATACTTTATTTACTCACAACTTTATCCAAACCTATAACCCTGTTTTCTAGGTAATCTTGGGCTTCTTTCCAAAAGAAGAAACCAAATGTCAGAACTTTTTTTCTTCCTTTCACTTTTTTCTTTCTCTTCCTTGACTCAAAACATAAACTGAATACACAAAAAATTGACCTTTTCCCAAAACAATTTATTATCTGACCATTGAAGCATAATCATTCCCATCAACAGCATCTTAATGAATCACTAATAACAATAAGAAAACTCGAAGCTAAATCGAATTCGACAATTAGAGAGTTTAATTGTTTCTATCTATGAATCAAGTCTAGTAGATAAGAATACTATTAGATTATTTTGTTTGATCTAATTTCCATTTCGTTTTGAATTTGTCTTTTTTACAGATTCGATTCTGTAAGTCAATGGAAAGTTTTTACAAACTTTTTTGCCTTTTCATAGCCAAAGTTCAATATTTAGAGCAAACTTGTTTCAAAGAGTTACATCAAAAGTTACTTACAATTAACTTGGACGAAAATTCGTTTACTTCTTGAAGGTAAAACACCGTTAGAGGCAATACAAAGGTAAGCTCCCATATCATCTCGAGTTACTTGACTTATATTTAAATATTCACCTTCCACTTTGGATGCTGCAAATAAAAAGCGAAATACATTAAACGGTATCAAATGAAAACTTAAAATCATCAAAAAAAGACTACAAAGTTTAAACGATCTTTCAAAATTCATAAAAATCTCAATAATTTCTGCTAAAACCATTGAACTTGAGCTCAAAACAAAATCGTCTTTTCCTTTTGATGACTTTTCGCACGTTTTTTCATTTCGTTTTTATTATAACACACTCTTAAGTCTGGAGCCGAAACAATTCTGAATCTTTGCATTTTTTTATTCATACAAATGATTGGATAAGTTGAATTAGTCAAGCATCGGAAAATGATTCAATTACAAGCTTGAAATGAAAACTTTGAGGAATATTGAATTTTCAAAGCTTCTTCTCAACTTGACTAACTTTATTAGAAACGGAACTTTGCAGGAAAAAAAAGGAAAACAATTTTCCAGAGAAAAAAGCAAAAAGGTTTAACACCAATGGTAATGATAATTGTAATAATGTTAATTATAATGGCAATTATAAGATTAGGAAGGCATTTGAAGCAATTCTTGAAGAGGAAAGAAGAAAAAAATTGGGTAAAAATGAATTTTAATATGGTTTAAGGAATTATTTCATGATTACAATAACATTATTATCATTATCAATTAGAGTGAAGCTTTTTTCTTTGCCCTTGCAAGCTTGAACAGTGAAAACGATTCCCATGAAAAATTATGATAATTGTAATGAGAAAACAAAAGTAACAAAAATAATAAGATTTTGTCTGTTCAGTTTTTTCAATTGTAAATGGATGATGACTGTTAGAGATAAACATTGAGAGGCAAGAAAAATTGTCTTTGACAAAGTACTTGAAGCTAATTATAATTAATTATCTCGAGCCAAATGTTTCATCTATTTTATCATCTTTTCTGACGCTCTTTTTGCACCTCAAAAACAGTTGTACTTTTCATGTTGAACAAATTCATATTGAAATTTGAAAGAATGTTTAAGAAGAGAGAAAATCTTTCAATCATTAATCTTTATTCCCAGTTTTCACTCCCAGTCTGATCAGTAACTCCAACAGTCTGTTTGTCTGCATTATTTACACTGCTCTTGATTTGAGAAGAATTGTAACTTTGAGAATTTTTGAGATTCACTTTGTTCAGTCATGTATTTAAAGTTATCGGGTTGAAATGGAAATGAATTTTTCTGGAAAAATGGAAACTCGACTTACCACCAATGAATCCAGTGCTTAAGTTTTTGCCATCTTCACGTCTCCATATTATCACTGGAGTTGGATAGCCGTTGGCTTTACAATGTAAAGATAGTTTACTTCGTTCGTCCAAAACTGTATCTGAACTTGTTTCATTATCAACGATTGAAGGTGGAACTGTGATGAGTGAGAAAAGTGTCTTTTAATCAACTTTTAAACTAGATTAATGATTTTCAATTGTTTTGCCTTTTTCGAGCAAACAGAAAACATTATTTTTCAAAAGTATTTCATCTTTAATGGTAATTAATAATGTTCAACTGTTCGATGCTTTTTCCATGTCTTGGTTAATAAACCATTTTCATGTAAATATTTTATCTTCAAATCTGAATTGAAACAAAAGAATGAAAAAAGGTTTACATTTTTATGGTTAATAAAATGTTGTACTTTTATTTGGCAGAGAGGAACGAGAAACAATGATGAGCATGAATGAGCAACAAAACAGACTTCAAGTTGCATATCAGTTCAATGTTATTGAATCAACTGAAATAATTGAGTAAACAAAAAAGAGTTCAAATTAATTTCAATTCTTTGAATTCATTTATGCAATTTCATGATAGCAATTCAACATTTGCAACAACGAAAAGAGTTGAAAAGCTATTTTAAACTTCGTCAATGATGAAAGCCATTGAATGCATAGTTTTAGATCACATAAGACTTTACTCTGTCTTAGCCGACTTAGCTCATCTTTTGACACAGTAAATTCACAAACTTAAGATTTGAACAAAACTTTCAGGCATTTGAATGGTTTCGTCTTATAATAACATATCTCTTAACTCAACATTTAAAGCTATTGTTAAGTTTATTGCAAGTTTTACTTGAGAAATAGATCAAATCGACATGGAATCGCTGTTTAAAGAAAAGGTTAAAGTCATTGAACTTAATTACAAATCAAAATTATCTAAGTTGCCTGTTTGAATGGAGAGAAACGACATTTGAAAAATTTGTCCCATTAAAAGGTAATTGTCCGCAAAGGGAAACAATAGCACAGTAAATATCACAAACAAGTAAACTTATAACTCAGGTAAGAAGTGAAATTCACTCTTGATTAAATAACAAAGTTTCATTAATCATTTCAAAGGAAAAGAGGAAAAATTTTCCGTGTAAATGCAACCCAAAAGTTCTGTTGTGTATGAACGAGAAAAAAAAGAGTAAAAAGATGAAAAGTAAAAACAGAGAAAAAAAAAGTTGAACGAGAAAAAGTTGGCAACATTTAGCTGATTGTTGACATTTTATATTATCATTTAACTGACAAATGAATGCTTCAAGTAACTTGTCAATCTTTTTAGTTTAAACATTGAATTGACTAACTTTTTTCACCAGCAAATCTTTAATCAATAACAAGTAATCTAGATTGTCAATTATATACATGGTTAATGATTTGGAACACCAACAAACAAGAGCTGAAAAAGAAAACAAGAAAAACTCGAAAATTTCGTTTCGCCTCTTTCATCATACAAACTCTACTTTAAAAAGTTAAACATTTTACTGCTCTTCAACACACACAAAAACGCCTAAATCAAAAACATTTGTCTCGATCAATTGTTATTATCTTTTAATATCTAAATCTATATCATTTTTAATGTCAACCTTTTTACTAGCTTTATATCATACTTTTCACTCCCAGTGATTCGCTATTAGTTTCAACTCAACAACTTGAATTGCTTTTTGCAAAATCACTCGAATATGGCTTTAAATCTTGTAAAAGCTTTCCTAAATGCTAAAACAATTGAACGATTGATTGATACAATTGACTGGTTATCACATTTCACTCCCAGCAAGTGACTCACTCGACACAGTTTTCAGTTTCATCATTAACCCAAACTCAACATTTGAAACTTTGATTATCATTTGATTATTTATCACTGATTTTCATGATAAACCAAGAAACTTGATTGTCATTAGAATCGATTTATTTTGCTATTTCCTCTCATCTCATTATCCTCCCAGTCAAGGGGATTTCGCTATTGATAATGCTCCAACATAATAACTTTATAAGATTAAGTGAAGACTAAGAATTTGATTTTTTTCTTCTAAATACATGGTGATTTCAACTGATGCAGATGAATGTTCATTTGCATTAAAAAATTATCGTTCAAGTTGCCTGGGAGTGAATGTTATTTGGAAAAAAGTTTTTTCTCTGATTTTCTGCTCATAAATTTGATTGAGCAAACTATTGAGATGAAGTTATTCAGTAGCATGTTTATTGACCAAAATTGAGTTTTAGCGTGACTTGGAATATCATCTCGATTTGGGACTCTTTTTTTGACTCTTTCAGTTGCACTCCCTGCTACTTTTACCCAATGCTAATCTAATGATAATGATAAAGTGTCTTAATAATATACTGGGAGTGTAACTGGGAGGGAAAATTAAATTCTAGGAGTGCAAAAGTGCTTCTCCAAGTGATAATCAAGAGTCACAAGTTTGTCTCTAACCTAACCTGATCTAACCTAATCTATGACTTTTACAGTTGAATTTGATAAAACAATTTCCTTCACGTTTCGACTTGTACAAAAGGCAAGTTACACCAAAAATAATTGCTTACTATTAGATAGATTAATCTTTATTATGATTTAAACTCGCGGGAATTGTAAACTTGAAAACAAATTTTTACTTTTTCTGATTCTGTGAATAAAAGTGGAATTAAAACGATTCTTGAAATGAATAAGATGAACAGTAAATGAAGATGAAAGGTAAACATGTTAAGAGTCTTGATACACTTTTCAAGATCAACTTTCGATTACAATTCGCATCACATTTACTGTGACTATTCATGTTGATGCAACAAGATTCATCATTTCAAGATAATCAGATGAAATTATCATCCGAATGAGAGGGAAAATATTAATGTGCAAAAAAAGGTTCAACTGTCATTGGAAAAGGATTTAAGTTTATTTATTCATTTGCAAAGTTGCATTTCAGGTTCGATCATTAAAGGTTAAATTGAGATTGAATTGATCAGATTGATAATGATTCAAGTTAACCAAACTTTATTTCCCCATTCAGATGGAAACATGTTTTTTATAGCTTTAAATTGGTGGATTAGAGAAAATTTAAAGTCCTTTTTTTAACCCCAAAACACAAGAAAACTGAAAATAATGGAAAGATGAAAATTGTTCATTCTGAATAGAGTTTCCTTCAAGCTTGAATTTTCTTATCAATTTCATCATAATCATCAGCTCTTTGAACCCCTTCATTTCACTCTTACTGATCGTCTTTAAACAGTTTCATCAATCTAATCAGCTGGTTCAATCTTGCTCATCACTCGACTTTATATCCTTAAATATTTTCACTTCTTTTCAAGCTTCTCTTTATACAGAATTTTTTTTTCTGAATCTCTTTTCACCCATTTTTGTTCACTCCAAACATTCAACTTTCTCTTCCCTTGAAAACCATTTTAAAGATTGTTTGATACAAAATTCATGATACAACACAGGGCAACTTATCTGATTCATTAAAAAATTTCATTCCTGTTAATTGGCTAGGAAAGTGAGGGAAACGCAAATAGCAGGAGATGGGAAAAGTAATTCATGTTCAACTTTCAATGATTATACAGATGGATAAGTTTACAGATTTAATTGATTTACAGTCTTTCATTGATCAGCAAAAAGTTGCGGTAAAAGTTCAGTCAGATTTGTTCTCATATACTCGCATGTTTAACCAGCCAACTTGAAGAGTGAAAATTAACTTTCAAATGAAAAGATGAAACACAAAAATCGACTCAAAGTTTAACAAAACCATTAACCAAGATATTCACACAAGAAACGTTCACCTCTTGGCTTTAGTCAACCGAGTTGGATGCAACTCCAAGTCAAGTCTAAGACTTGAGTAAGACCAAGAAAATTTTCATCGATGGTTAACTCGACTGTTCCCAGTAAGAAAAGTAATTTAACGATCAAAAGTGTCGTCGAAAAGTCGAACATCCTTTTCATGGAAAAATGTTGAAAACAATTGATGTTAATTAATCTAATTAAAACATTGCTTTTGTTATGCAAATAATAACGTGATAATAAATCACGGATTCAAGTGGCTCAACAAAGGTGATAACAATAACATCAACATGATAAAGACACTTAATTTAAATTGCTGGAAACATTATCAATAAACTTTGAACATTTTGCCCTCAAGAAAAGTCGAATCCAAGTAAAGAGTAAGTTTTTCATCTCATTAACAGAATGGAAAATATTATTCAATATTCAATGAAGGCAACTATTGAAATTGATTACAGAAATGGAAGCGAAAGTTAATGATGAACAATTTACAATTAAAAGGTTTACTTGTTCAACTATGTTTAACCTGCCTGATTAATAATCAAATACGGATTGAGCAGAGGAACAAAAAGTAACAATTTGTGAGCTTAAAAAAAGGTTCAAGTTTGCCTTTGAAATAAAAAACGTAGATTTAATGATTAAACCAAGTGAAAAATAAACAAGTTAACGGGCATAAAAGTGCTCAACCGAGCATCAAATTGCCTCAAGAATCAGTTAATTCACTTTCATTTTGTTGAACATCTTTTCAGAGAAGGAAAAACTATTCTATTCTCTTCTTCTTTTTTTTTCATTTTCACCATCTTTTCATCTTCCATCAGTGCTTTTCCACTTGATATGCTGGTTGAATCGTAGATGCTAACTGTGCGCTTCCTCTTCATCTCAACCTTGTTTGCCTTTTTTTCCCTTCTCGTAGCTTCATATTAATATTTTTACCAATATTCAGAGTGAACGAACAGAAATATTATTACTATTGTTCAATTCTTGTTTTTCCTCACGAACATTTTTACTATTTGTTTTTTGAGTTTCCACCAAAGTTTGAGAATCAATCTTTTACCAATATGAATCAGTTTTGTAGTTTTTTTATTTACTCAATTGAATAAAACAAACCTCAAACCAAGTGTTGTTTTTTTGTTGTTTTTTTGCAAATGTTTCACTCCATTCAATTTTGTATCGTCAATGAAATAACAGTTTTAACTGAGCTTCATGAAGACAAGCCATCAATGTCAATCATACTTGTTATTCAACTGCATCAAGTTGAGAAATGAACAGCTTCGATGGTTAGTTGAATCTTATGTTCAAACTTGTTAACTGTTAAAATCAGAGATGCAATCGAACTGAACCTTCAAAATCGAAAAAAAAACGAAAATCTTTAGACTTCGCACTGATCTCCAGATCATTTATGCAAAGCTCGATAAACTTAAGATGCATTTTAAAAACTCGAAAATTGTGTGAAGAAGAGAAGCGAAAGATATATGGAAATCATTTCGACCTTTGCTCGTCAAAATATTTCTTCAATCAAGATCGCTCTTCCAAATGGTCTTGGAATCAGTTCGAAGGCAAGTTGAACGCTTGTTTGTAACAATTTGTTTTTTATCTCATTTGGAGTTCGTTTCAGTCAAAGTACAAAAAATGGATTGAAAATTTATGAGTGACATTACGAGAAACTTTTGTTGTTTCTTTAAAATGTTGAACATTATTTCACCATTCAAAGATTGCTTTTGAAAAGATTTGAAAAGAAAATCAATTTTTTGGAGAAAAAATTGAAAACTTACCTAAAATATCTAAATATGCTTTTCTACTAATCATTGGCTCTGAATTGACTTCGCACATGTAAGTTCCTCTATCGTTTTCTGTAACATTTTTTATGTGCAAAGACCAAAGTTTATTGATATCATTGGTTACACGTAATCTATTATCTTTAACAATGATGGACGTTTCCAGTGTGAGCAAAGTAACTTCAGGATCAGCGCGAAGCCAAGCAACCTGGAAAAGATGAACATTTGATTGATTAGAGATTTTAATTTTTCTTCAACATTTGACAATTTCATTGAAAGCGATCAACAAAAGTGAACCCATCAATTACTGTTCAACTTTACTAAATTTACACCAAACAACCATAAAATAGAAATGAAAATTGAAAATTATTCCATTGCGCTATTGATCTTGGTAATCAATAATGGATTGAATTAATCAAATTGTACCTTTACCTTTCATGATTCTCAGTCCCAGTTGAGTTTTAAATGTTGATATAAAATTGATACGCAAGTTAAATATTCAATCATGAAAGGAAAGTGAAAAAGGAAAGAAAAGGAAAAAATGGAAACAAGTTTATTCCGACAATTGGTTGATTAGTTTTACATGAAAAGGAAGAGTTGAAATTCAACTGACCATGAGAAAGGTAAGGTTTGATAATAGATTAACGGTCAATGAATAATCAATGAAATGATAAACTGAAAGAGTATGTACAGTTGATGTAGTTTGGTTAACATTATTTGATTATCTTGTAACATGAAATGAAAGAAGAAGAGGAAAAAAACGAAATTCGGTCAAAGGTATTTTCTTCTTCTTCTTCTTCCTTTTCTCTGTTCTTCTCATCACGATAATCATCTCACCTTACCTTGTGAATAAAACACATTAGACAATGAACATAAAAAACAAGGTAAGTTACACACTAAATGATTGTTTAATCTTTCCTCTTCTTCATCTTCTTTCTCTTCGCATTTTCATCCTCAGTTAACTTTATCATCTTCTTTGTTACTCTTTTTTCCTTCTATCAATCATTTGGTCATTTTATGCTATTAAATTGACTTGCCTTTAATCGTCAATCACTCAATGTCAATTGTAAATCGTAACTGTTAAACAGCTTTATCAAAGTGTTTACTTTGGTCACAGATTTTGCTACAATTTCAATCTCAATCGAGACCTTTTCATGTTTTTTCCGGTTTCTTTTTTTCGATTTAAAAGTAAATTTTGTTCTGTCCGTTTATCTTTATATTGTCCCATGTAAATATTTGCAGACTTTAACATTCATCAAGTAAGATGCTTCAATGTAGTGTGAAAGTTAATAGCTTATAAGTTGGGACGAAAACTTCATTTCGAAGGCTGCAAAAATACGAATATACAAATTGGCATGAGATGAGGAAGAAAGCAGTCGAATATTGGCTAGTAATTGAATGTTTAATAATTGCTCGAAAACAATAATTTGAAAATCGATGCACCTCAGCTATCAAAAGGTCAAAATGAAGACTTTTAATTTAATTAAACTATCAAAAATTTTAGTTGATGCAGTGTTTCGAGTTGGCGAAAATATTATAGTTGCAGTATTATTTTTCACAGCCTCTTATCATTGTGTATTTTTTGACTTTCACGTTTATACACGAACACACGAATACAAACGACCGACAAGGATAAAAAACACCCAGTAGATTAGGCATGCATTATTTCTCTGGCTTGATTTATGGGCAGTTTTTGGGAGAAAATGTATTGTTTAATTATCGGAGCGTAGCAAAGCGAAGCGAAGATTTTTATCGGAGCGTAGCAAGGCGAAGCGAAGATTTAAACTCAGCTTAGCCATTTTGAAAATCGTTTTTTGATTCCTGTCAGCGGCCCTATCGCCTAAACCACTTGCATGAATCTCTTGAAACAAAAAATATACTTCAAACAGTTTGTGCAGATGTGGTGAAAAGACTTCCGAGTCCATCAGAGGTCATTTTTCGGGAATTCGCCCTTTGACCTTGAGAGGTCATATGAAGGTCATTTATGAATTTTTATTGCCTTTTCATCATACTTACAAAAGGTCATCCTAATTATGCATATATTTGAACTGATAGCGTTGGCAACGGGCAAATACTGAAAAACTAAAATTAAATGTGCTTTAAACAAACCATATTGAATGGTTTAGGTAATTTTCGATCAGGATCATATTTGAAACGGCATACTATTCAGTTATCTTTACCGATGTTAAACGACTATATCCTGGCCTGTGAACTGTGAATTTTATCTTTAAACTAAATTAAACGGTGACAATGGCAATTTTGTCAATCGCAATTGTTTTTGTAGGTATGGAAGAATATTTTGGAGACCCATTTATGTGTTTTCGCCCGGACTCACCTACTTCCAATGCTTCTGTCAATCTTCCTGTTTTATGCTCCAATGTACAAAGAGCTAAAAGCAATTTTTTGGATCGCGTTTTTTTAAATGAATATGAGTGAATTTTTTATTCAAGCGGTTTTATTGTGCAATTGATTAGTTTCCAAACATGGTAAAAAATACAAAAAAATAAATTTTATTAGCGATTTCCTGGGCTTCTGCACTAATAGAGACATTCGCATTCGACACATAAATTCTTCTTTTGGAAATCCAAAAGCAACTAGAGAGTTAGCGCGACCCCGTTGTCGAAAAAAATATATCAATGCCAAAATCTCTAAAAATTACATTTCTTAGCTGAGCCTTTGGGATGAATGCATCATTATTCGCCCCCGTCCTGAAAAAGGTAAATTCCAAATTTATTCTCAATTTGCGCAACTCAGCGTATGTAAAAATTTTTTACTTGCCTATCCAAAAAGGACCAATTATTAAAATAATGACAATACTGCCGCGTACATTCAATATCAGAAGTTCACTCTCAAGGGTATTAAAGGTCATTCCGTTATTTCACTTATAACTGATGTTTGGGGGGTCAAATTCTGAGAGTAAAAATTTTTGAGATCGTTTAGTGTTAGAGAAGAGACAACCGAATTATTTTAAAAAAACTTAACTGTATGGAAACGCTCATATCCTTTGCCAAGCATGAGCTATTAACATCTTTTGAACTAACCGATCTGAAAAACTTTTTCTCCGAAAATTACTCGAAGGTCAATTAGAGGTCGAGTAAGGGATTGATCTTGCGTGACCATGCGTGACCTTGAGTTTTCGACCTCATGGCTATAAACCTTCTCAAGATCATGGTTAAAGTCTGAGGTCTGTATCATCAACCACTCGTGGTTCATGCACGCAAACAGGCGTAAAATGAAAAATTGATGTTTAATGTATTACAATGCGTACTCTTGATGCCGTAATGGTCTTAATTCGTACTTTTTTGGAAACTTGAAATCTTGTTTGTTCGATGAAAAATTTTGAGAATAAAGTTGAACATAAGATAATTGGTAGGTTCTTGATGATGAAACAAAATTACTACAAAAGCATTAATTGTCTTAATGGTTTCATCGAGAAATTATTAGAAGCGTTGAAATAAAAGGCAAAAAAGGAGTATTGAACTTACCCTGTGATTCCCAAGATTTTCAACATTACACGTTAAGGTAGCTTCTTTACCAATAGGTATTGTTATATTTTCAACTGAGCCTATAAACTTTGGATGATGTTTAGTCCCATGAATACCTGTTAATAATGAGGATATTAATAAAATTATATTATTAAATACACAGACGAGAAAAGGTAACGGAAAAAAAGTATTAGAAAAAAATAGAACCAGTTACATGGAAGAAATAAGAAAATGAAGAAACGAAGAAAAAAATCCCAATGAACCCATAATTAGTTTTTTTTCTGATACCTATTGAATTAATCATGAAACTGGATGTTTCTAATTATCGCAACCAAATGAATATGCGACTTGATTCTCATCTTTTATTGAAAACTTCAATGTAAGTCATGATCGACAAAGACAGCATTTCATAAAAACTTCCAGAAATACACAGAACTTTTGCTCAAAATTTCATTCCAGACCGCAGTTGCAGGGAATCAAAATCCAACAACTTTTGTGTTTTTCAAACTATAAACTTTGCAGCTCGAATGAAACTCTGAATTATCATTTGAATCAGTTAATCTAGTGAAGCTTTTTCAAATTAGTTTCATTTAATCTGTTCAATGTTTCATTTTCAACATTTTATAGCTGAATAATATCGTCACTTTTAATCACATTTGACTAATCTGTGACAATTTAATGACTTCAATAATTTCAAGTTTTCTGTGCAACATGATTTGGTAATCTTTTTGTTTCTTAAAAATCAAATTTTGACCAAAGTTGACCTTTTCTCGGGTCAGTCATTGTCGGTAAAAATGGCTAAAGTGTCCAAATCAGTTGTGATAAATGTTGAACTTAAGTTGAAAAACAGTCGATTTGTTGATAAAAATGAACATTCATTGATACAAGTTGATAATTTGATCTCAATTGTCCATTTGAAAGGATGACAGGGAGTGTGAAAAATGTTTATACAAATGGATATTTGAAGATACAAGTGAACAATATTAACAAGGAAATGTGATGATGATGATAAAGATATAAAAAGGTGGGGAAAAAAGGTTGAGAGGAATGATGAGAAGAAAAATGAAAATGAAAAGAAGAAAGAAAAGGATGAAAATGCATTTTCCGAGTAACTTTGATATTCAAGTTCCGGAAAAGATTTACTTTATGTTTTCTATGACTTCCGGCTAGGAAGCACCTTTCATGTAATCTGTTTTTTTTCACCCATAAATGAAGAGACGGAATAAGAAAATGTATGAAGGATACTTCAGATGGTGATACTTTTTCATCGTCATTATTATTATCTTCATGGTTGAATCTGGACACTTTGTGGTTAAATGCAGAGAAATATTCATGTAACAGCTTTCCAAGATAATAGACAACAATTTACAGATGAGAAAATGTTTAGACAAATGTTTCCACATTAACTATCTATTAGTTCAACTATTAGTCGACGATGGTTTGCACAAAAATAATTATGTTTGCCGATTCTTTTCATGATAAAATGTTGATCAGCTGTTCAATTGGAACGATGCAAAATTTCAATATTTGTGTTGAAATTGGAAAAGCTGTTCAATTGCAATCAATCAGAATATGTCTTAGAATGGAATGCGACATTTTATTTTTAAAAACGAACGAAATTGAGGATAAGAATTCCAGAATCAACCAAATTTCCAATTCGAAACTGTCACAATTTTCTTAAAATCTGAAGTAAAATTAAACTTCGATTGAAAGTCGATAGATATGAAAATGACCTATCGGTCTTTAAAATAGATTCATTTTTTTACTAAAGGATTGCCAGTTTCAAAACAATTCAGTGGACTTCAATGAACCGATGAAAAATGCCAAACTTTTTATCTCCTTTAGAGTTTCAGAAATATTAACTCAGTAACATGTTCCAGAGTTTTCATGTCTACGGTCATCTATCGATAAACTCCTATGTTCATTTCTCAAAATTTTCCGCGTTTTCATGAAACCATTACTTTCCATTCCATTAGTTCCAAGACAGTCACATCATCACCGAAAGCGGTCGTCCATCACCGTATAGTGACTTCTCTACATAGACCCAAAGTGTAGTAAAATTCAACTTAACTTTTTTTTTCAATTGTAACTTCAGTCATTTTTTAAAACTTGACAGGGAAAAACTAACGCTTTACACGGAACAGAAAACTTCCTGAAGATGGCCGGAAATAGTTGAATTTCAGTCCTAAAAAATCGTAAGTTGCCGAGTATCAATATTTATTATCAATTCTTAGAGTTGCAGTGCCAAATGAAATCTACTCCGAGCACTCACTCTACTGTATGTAAATCTCATTGCATTTCTTGCTCTTCGACTCATTAACAAATTAAAGCACTTTTGACTCATTAAAACCTAAAGTTGATATAAATGTTTGTTTTTGTGATTCAATAAAGACTGGGAACTGATAAAACTCTGATTCCAATAACTAACTAAATGAAAAATAATCAACTTTGTCCTTTTCTTTTTGCATGTAAACTCACGAGCGAGTTGAGCAACAAAATGAATGGCTTGAAATGTTTGTTGTTCATTTTGTTCAAGTTGAAAGTTTCATTATTCAACTTTTTTCTCTCCTTCAGTTCCAAGCAAACTTTAACTTTCACCTTTTCCCCGTTTCTCTCTCTTAGTAGCTTGATATACTTCAATTCCAAGGTAACCTTAATTCATTCTGAATTAACTTTAAGGAATTTTTCTCCTCTTCTCTCCTTTAGTTACTAGTTATTCTCATTGCTTTTCACTTTTTTACTGTTTACATCTTTTCACTTTTCCTCTTCTTCTTTTCTTGTTCATCTTTTTACAACAATTGCAACAAGAGTAAAAGGAAAACAAAAAAAAAGTCTAACATTCTCACTGTCTAACAATATTAAATATTTAAGGTTGACTTGACTGTATCAAGTCCAAATAACCTGAACGATTAATGGAGATTAATGGCGTCTCTTTAAATGTATATCCTTTCACTCCAACCGTAAATAACTCCTTCCTCATCATCTCATCATTGTTATTACTCTTTCCTTTGTCATCCTCGTCATCATCAACATCATCTTCCCTTCCCTTTCGATAAATAAACAATTTACTTTTGTTAAACTCACAGTGATTTACAATTGTCACTTCATCCAAAGAAGAAGCAAAAAACATTCCTTTTTTGGCTTCTTCATTTCACTATTTTGTTCATACAATTTTTTTCGATTTCAGACAAAATTCCGATTGCAATGAACAGAAATATCAATCCAATGAATTTACTTCAACTTCAACCGTCTAAAGACTCAAGAAACAGCATAAAGTTTCAAACTTTCAGAAAGAACAAAAAATATTTAAGAAATCCAGAATTTCTGAATCTCAAAATTCTCAAAATCGTTCAGTTCCATCGACATATTTGAAGTTTTCATTTTTCCATCAAGAATCGAAAAAGTAAATCTTAAGATCGAAAAGTTTTTGCCGTTCATCAAAAGCTTTTAGCATTTATTGTTGAACTTGAATTTTGCGAATATTTCGATTGCAATTCGATGAATATCTGGAGTTTCATTATTACCAACACAATTAGGTGCACTTGATTGGATTAAATGTTTACTCATCAATGTTGTTCATTTGTTCCCTTGTTTATTGTCTCGAACCCACAAAGTGTTTCATGGTGGCGAAGGTGAAAAATTAATGAATACAATAATGGTAAAAGTTGAATATGAATCAATTGTATTATCAATATTATTAGAAGAGAGAAAAAGGAAAATTGTTTCCAATGTTTTTTTCTGATTCTTTTTTTCTTCTCCACCGATAATTCAGTTCTGTATTCAGTGGAAGATGGACAAGAAAATAATCATTGCTAGATCCTCCTACTTAGCACAATCACTTTATCTTCCTTCATTTACTAACCACTTTCAGTCCCTTTAACCTTACCTTGATGCATCACTTACTTTGCACACCATAATTAAGTGCTCATTTCTTTATCCCATGAGGATGAAGATGATGATGAGCCAAAAGGCGAACCAGGGGAAGGAAGAGAGAGAGAGAAGAGAGAAAAAATAGAATAACCTTTTTCTATCAACTTTCCATGTTATTTTGACCATTTCAATCTAATCCAATCCGCCTTGTTCCTCCCATTTGACCACTTCAAGTGACCTCAACCATTACTAGGTGCCGATTGATGAGTTACAAAGCCTTTCACATAAACTTAATGTAACATTGAAAATTAAAGGAACAACTTTTGCGCAAAATTTTCAATCTTTTTATCATGAAATTTGATTTTCTAAAAGCATTATTTTTGGGAATAAAATTGGAAGCAAAAACATTTTCAACATTTGATTCTCTGGTTGAAATGGGTTAAAACTGTTGTGATTAGTGATTGTTGCTATTGTGAGAATATTTTTCAGCTGAAAATGGAGGAAAAGTAATTCAGAGTTAAATCTGTTACTGATAATGAACAGAAAAGTTTCAAAGTAATATTTAGATAACACTGGAAGGAAGATGAGGAAAAAGTATAATGCTGAAGGTTGGAGATGAAAAAAGGAGCAAAAATCAGATAATAATTGTTGGTTAATTTCATATTGAACGATGTAAATGAAAATTTGCTGGTTAATCAGAAAATTTAATCAATAATGGTTAAATGGGTGTCTTTAATTGTTTGATAATTACAATAACTTGTAAGATGGTGAGGAGAAGGGAAAAGAAGAGGAAAATATAAATTCATTTAATGGGAACTAAACAAAAATTGTTATAAAGCAATATAAGCCAATATTTGTGAAGCTGTCACTAAACCATGATGTGGATGGTAATATTGGAGGGAAGCAAATAAATGGCTAGGTAAGCAGACTGTAAATCAAGTTAATCTTGCAATTAATTCCAACCTTTTTTTACTCTCTAATAGTGGATGAAGAAAGCAAATAAGGTTAAAAGTCAAATGATGAAATGATGATCAGAGGGTGCGATGCCAGGTTAAGGGAAGGCAACCTCCAAGCATCCATTTCTGGTCAAACTTGAGTCGCTTTGTCCAAACAACAATGGATGCTTTTTCAGGCTCAAACATTTTCTTCATATTGTTCAATATTGTCAGAATATAGTTATCCAACAATTTTTTGAAAATTTCACAGAATAATGAATTTCTATGTCGATCAAAGTAAATTTTATTCCTAATACTAAAGGAAGTTTTGCATTTCATCTGTTTATTTGAAACTGAATATTTCGATGTCGAGTTCAAGTTAAGGTTTGTTTAATTGCTTCGAGAGTTTAAAGGACTTTTCATGCACTTCTTGGTTCGACTGGAAGCAATCGAATGATTCAAATCACTCGACATGAATCTAAGATAATTATGAATATTGTTCAATAATTTTCTAGTTTTTACGCTTAATTACAATACATTGTATAGACTTGAAGATTTAACGATTGTTTTTGGTTAGAAGCTTAATGGATAAATCCATTTATTTATATTCATTATTGTAATGGTGAAAGTGAAGAATCAAGATAATGATTAAAATTGATTTGATTGTAATAAACTTACAATAAAATGCAAAAGTAACTTTTAATGTTTTAACTTTGGCAAAATAAGTTTATATTCAAAGATTTTAGTCAATGGTTCTAATCATTGACTTTGATCACAATTATCACTTCATTCAAACTGGAAAAAGTGTAACAATTTTCAATTGTTAATTATTGATGAGATTCATTTCAATGTCTATTAAACTTGACTCAGATACTGATTTTCATGTTAAATCGCATTCAGACTTTGTATTGATGTTATGGACTTTTACAGTTAATAATTTACTCGAGACAATTAATGTGCAAAAAAAGGTTACAATAAGAGTTATAACTTTAGAGTCTTAATAAAGCTTGTAACATTGGAAAAGCAAACAATGAGAAATCGATTAATTGATTTAGTGATAATGATAAACATAATTAATGGTAATGTTTCCTTTGTTTTCAGTCAATCAATCAGTTAATTATTTATCTTTTGCAATTAATCTTCTAAGAAGGAATATTGCTTCAAAAATCTGATCAAAGCCAATGTAAAATGTTACAATTTACCCAATTGTTGTCTTCAAACTTAATGGTGAAAGTTTTCAATAAAATACAGAGAATCCAATGATAAGTTCAATTGTATCATTCAATGGTAAATGGATTTTGATTGGAAATTGAAAATTAAAGTTAAGGTTAAAGGGTTTGACAAAAGGTGAATGGGACTGAAAGGCCGTTTACCTGAGTTGAGCCGTTTTGCATTGACTGTTGATGATGGAATGATGATTGGTATCAAAAAGAAACAGAGAATCACTTTTAACACAATTGTCATGAAATCACTTAAATACAATTGAAGCCAATTATTTAATTGTTTACATCGAAAATGGTTTCGATTGAAAGTTGTATCACTTTTTGTTGACTTAACCAAAGGCCAACTTTTACGATTACCGCACATCTTAATCATTTGGACACTTTTATAAACATTATTTGCTCTTTAATTTTCTATTAAAGGGTTAAAGTTGATGAGTAAATATTAACCGTCTAGGTTAAAGGTTGAATTTGATGAAAGGCAAAACAAATATGTCAACAACCACATTAAGTTGAAATAATTTACAACTAACGGTAAAATGAAACAAACATTTTCAGTTCTTGTATTTTCACTCCAAACCACAAGGTGTCACTAGTAGCTATGAATTTGGGATTGGGTTAGCTAGTGACGTCTATTGGTTTGGTCAACAAGTAACATGATTGTTTCATCTGTTTGCATTGGTTTTGCTTATTGGGTTAATTAATGTTGTTTTATTGTCACTGATAGTTACTGATTATTATTAGAATTTAGTCAGACTGAATACATAATTAACATGACAAATTGACTGAAAATTGGAATCTAGTGGAAGAAAGAGAGTCTATATTTTTCAATTGAAAAAACAATAAGAGGAAAGTTTGAAGAGCAACAAAAAGACTTTCAAAGTTATCTGAAAATGATGACTGAAAATGGATAAAAACATGAAAATAAATGATTCAAGTTGTGGTCAATGTGGAATGATGAATCCATTTTAATGAAAATTTTGTTGTAAGTTGAAAGTAAAGAAAGCATTGATTGATTCGCAGAAAAGTTTACTCATTTTTCGGGGTTTTTATTTTACTTGTTCAGATATTTGACAGAGAAATATCGTGAGGATTTGGCTCGAGATTTAAAGTTGAAGGAGTTACAGATTAAGATTCGGTTCCAAAATAAGCGGGAAAAGATTAAGAAGGCCGGTCAACGGAATCCACTGGCTTACCATTTAATGGCTCAAGGGTTGTATAATCATTCCACTGTATCAAAGAACGGTGATGATATTGATTATTTGAAAGATGAAAAGCTAAGCAATTAACCAAATTTACCTGAGTCAAGTCTAAACTAACTTTTCATCAACTTTCTGCATCTCAACCTCTCATCATTGATTTTCCGATCAACTTCTCAAAATCATCATTCTGCATTCTTAATTTATTATTATTATCATTATGAATTATTATTATTCAAGTATTGATTATACTTGTGTAAGTAAATAATGAATTGTTTAGGAAAAAATGGGCAACAAAAAGTGGAAACACAAAAATGACCAAAAAATAAGAATTTTGAGACCAGAGTCTGAAGACATTTAAACATTCCACTTTTTGGGTCCTTCAGGGTCAAAGTTGAGATTCTCGGAATTATATTCGAAAATTGTTTTGATCCCACGTTATTAAGGCCTTCTTTTTTGAATTGAACACAGGTGGGGTTTGCTGAGGTGCTGCCATGCGAGTAGATAAGGCGTTGACCAGCGTTTGATGTTTTAATTGTTGAGTTTTATCACCGATTTGCGCTACGAATTCCAATCTTTCATCATCACCGGTGCTTCCACGTAAGCTTGTGTATGTAATTTCCTCCTTTGGTCCCACTGTCAGTGTTCTTGAATGTCCATTCTACTTCAGTTAGAATATCATCACCGTACTTCGATATTTAAACTTGTCGTAATTAAAAAACACAGTACATATCAATACTCAACAATATTTGAAAATAAGCTTGCTCACTTATTTAAGTAATGGTCAGGAACCACACAATGCATTGTGTAATTCCTTACCAGTTATTTCATTCAAGCTCTCATATTTATTCTTTTGGAAGCATCAAGTTTTGCAGTCTACAGTTGCTTATGAACCAGAGGTAAGATCTTTATGATTTTGGTCAGTATAATTCCCCAAATATAAGAATTGTGAGACCAGAGTCTCAAGGACATTCAAGGTGATTCATTTTTTGACCTCTAAATGACCTTTGCATGTCGTATTCTGAAAGTTTAAACTTTTTCAGATCGGTCCATGTTTGACACATGCAAAGGTCATTTATAGGTCAAATAACTGAATGACCTTGAATGTCCTTGAGACTCTAGTTTCATGTTTCTTCAATTCCAGGAATTATAATTACTGAATTTCATCAAAACCGAATCTCTGGTTCAAATTTATTAATAAAAACTACCGTCAAGGATAAAAAAACGCGCAATATTGACAAAATAATAAAAATTGACTTCAAGTTATAAGATCGAAAGAGATTTCAGTCTATATAGTTGGACAAACTAACTTTATATAAAAATTAACCATTTCAACTTTAACAAAATTTAGCTATGATTTGCAAAAAAATCACACAATGTGGACAATGTGGTCATGGATTGAGGTAATAAGCTTCTTAATCTCCTTAGATAATTTTTTAAAAAATTTTCGTAAACTATTTTAGTGATTGCAGTTCAATCATGGCTTTCAGGCTGTGTGACAATTTCTTTAGAACCCGTTTAGTTTGTTCACAGTCTTGCCGCAAAAATTTTATAGTTTGACTTCATATATTGTATAGATGTATAGATAAGTATGAATGGCTAAAGTGCAAAACCTAAATGTTTTAGATTTAATTAACAGACTTTGCCATCTAAATTAAACACCAAGTAGCAAATTTTCTCGATTACAGTCCAGTCAATCAATCGACTCCGAGTTGATTGTTCAGTTTAGAAAAGTGATTGAATAGAATCTATAAATTGAAAGCCAGTAAACCTAAACAAAATCAGTTCCTTAAGCAGTAAAACCCATGAAATCTTGAGGTGATTTTGTGGTTTGGTCAACTTTCAAGATTTTTATCGTTTTGGGAAACATTTGTGCTGAATTAGACACCAAAATTGCAATAACTTGGCTAGAAAATAATAACCTGATCAAGCCTAGGAATTACAGTTTTTGTTGATTGTTCAATGATATCTTGCAATCTGAAAGTTGTGGATCAAATGCCTTTCAAACAAAAAAGTATCAAAAAATGAGCATAAAAAATCTCATTCATTTGGACTTAATTTCTCTGGTATCTTTAATGCTGAGTTCATGTTAAGAGCAGATAAAGTTCAGTGATTGAAATGATGTTTGACTACAGGTTTGGCTGTTTAACATTAGATGGCATTGCTTGAACCATAAACAAATTGTTGTACAAACTGTAGTTTTGACTTTAATGTGAATCCAAAAGGTTACAAACGTTTGAGTCTTTGGATTATCCTTTGTTGATCTGAATAGCGATTTGGGTTACAAGATTATCTGGTTCAATTGAAGAGATCAACATGCAAAATGTTATTGAAATGGTAATTTACAGTTGACGTGATTTAACCGAATTGATTAAACTCGAATCTAGATGAACATGGAAATATATTTTGGTGATTAACTAACATTTGGATTAAATGGACTTTTGAAAGTTACTCTTCCATCAAGTTGACTCTTAAACTGGTGATTAAAAGCAATTTGTTAATCACCAAAAAAGGCACTTAACCTGTTAAGCTGTCAACAGTTTACATTTAGTGGTCAGCTAAAAGTGTAAACATTCACATATTAACAATTTAAACTCACCTAAATCTCAATTTTTAACCTTCAAACTGTTAATATTTTATTGTAAATTGTTAAAACGGTAACTCAAGTCTAAGTTGAACGATTAAACATTTGATTAATCGTTTAATCTGTAATTAAAAAATTGGTCAACCAGAAGCATGGATAAATGGATAACAAATGAAAATTGAGTTTCATATTACTTAATAAGCAGAGCATAAAGGCATTCATTTTCACACTTTCAACTTTACAATTGATCAAGATTTGTATTGACATTTGGCTAAATCAACAGCTTTTAATCAAATAATCAGAAAATATTTCAATGATAATTAATGAAATTTTACATGAAACCTGAGCAACACATTTTACCATCAAAATATGTAAATAAGGTGAAAGTCAAGAAAAGGTGAAAATATTGATTCATATTTATTAGAGCAGAATGGTTTACCTGATTTTACATCAACCTTTTTCTTCATCAAGATATATCATTTGATTATCTACAAATGATCAACATTCAAATCACAGTTTAAGGTTTAGTTGAACAATTTAATGTTATTTTGCATTTCAAATTCACAAATTCTGAACCAAAATAAAGAGGAAAATGTAAAATGTGAAATAAATCAACATGTTATTTTGGACACTGTATTTACTCCTTTCAATGTTTGCTTATCTAATATCTGGGTAAATTTGAATTATCATCACATCTTCTTGGCTGGCAATAAATTCAGTTGGTACAATAAATTGATATTATCAGGGAATTTACAATCAGTTGATGATAGCATTTGATTTGATAGCATTTTCAACAATTGACAATGCAAATTGAAATTAGCGGTTAAAGCTGGATGACTCAAGAAGAGTCTCGTTTCCTTGGCGCAATTCACGCGGTTACATCTTAAGATGTCATCTTTTTATTGTCTGTAATTTATTCTTGATTTACCATTTTCAAGACCAACTCTGTTTAATCATAGTGATCTTCATTTTGATTTTGTTTAGTTTAATTATCACAATTCTTCAGAAATCAAACCATAAATCTATCTTGATTCTGTTATCCTTTGATTATCAACGTGATAGGATGATTCTTGGTGAGCAACATGCACCAGAAGGAAAGGTTATCAGATTAATATTGTTACAATGATATTCAAATCTCCTTGAATTCTGTAATTCTTGTATTATTTATCAACTCATCAATCTTCACCGTGTTGGTCAATGTTGGTTTATTATAGTGATTAAAGGCAATTATTCAGTGTCATCATTGGGATTTACCATTGAATGTTTTCAGGTACAATGAGACCAACCAATTGTGAAAAGCATCAGCAAAAAAGCAAAACATTGAATGGTAGTTGACACCAAATAGGAATGAGATTATATTCTGTACTGAGGCCCAGTAAAGTCCAACACCGAATGCAGGCATCAACTGATAACTGCGTGGATTGTATGATGGTGGTGCATAATGTATAACTACGTATTTACCATTCGGTGAGAATCTAGAAGGATTATACAGAGTATAGACGGCAAATTTTCTTTCTGTACACTCCGTTCTTCCACATTTTTGGACACACTGACGTTGTAGTTTATTTATCAACGAATTGTATCTTTCCTGTTTGTGATAAGAATCTAGAATCTTTTTGTCTCCTCCGTCACGGATAATCGAGTAGCGAGGATAGAATCCTGTTGACTCTGAAAATTGATTTGCTGAACAGTTATGCCAACATGAATGATCTGATGAGGCTTTTACTTTCATATTTTCATCGGTACACTTGGTTGGATACGGATCACCTAGATTAATTTTAACCGTCTCTGCGTAGGTTAAACCATACACAATACTGGTTGAAGCCGGAGTAGCTAATTTCAATAAATCAGATTCTTCTTTCCAAGGAATTCGTCCAGGTTGATGGGCAAAAGCGATTATCTCATTTGTACCTGAAACTAGGGACAAGTTGAGATGCATGTCAAGTAAACGAAGATCATGATAGCCAGGAGTTTGCAAGCCTTTTGGATTAAAGCTTGGTGAAGGCTTATTAGGTCTTCCTCCAGGAAACCAAGTGAATTCAAAGCAATACAGACAGTTAAAGATGTACGTTTGGAAATAAGATGAATTGCATGGTGCAATTGTTAACGATGAGGTTAGAAAGTAACATTTATCCATGATGGCTGCAAAGGGCAACATGTTAGAAGCCAATTCACCAACGGTTAACATTGATAGTGTAAACTTTTCACCAAGCTCGTGTTCCGCAATAATCTGGTGGAGAGTCCAATTTTTCAGATAAGGAATGGCCTTTTGTTCCTCTATGGTTCGCTTTAGGATATCTGGAAAATTTTTGAAAAGTTTGGTCGTATTAAGGAATCTCATTATATCAAAGCAGAAGGAAAAATTTGGTGGAACCAAATTTTTTGATTGAATGTTTTTCTCGACCAAAACAGTCTCAAGTTTGCTTAAAATTTTGGTCAGTATCCAGATTTGAGTTAAACAAATGTAACCAGCAGCCACAAAAAATAATAAAGTAATTATAAGGCGATATCTTGATTGGAATATTTTTACCATTGATTCACACCTGACAGCAATTATTGGATCAAATGGACGATTACTGCGTTTAGAAGCGGCTTTGTTTAATCGTGGTTTGTTTAACTTTTTACTGCTGAGCTCTCCTTTTGGTTTACCCATTTTCACTGTTAACTTCATTTGCCTGACTGGTTGGCTATTGACTACTTTTGCCTGTTAATCTCATTATCTGAAAGTACAAATTTGTTCAACTCTTTATTCCTCTCATTCGCTTGGAACTTACACTGTTAATGTGTATAATTAATTGATTGGGACATTCACCAGAAGAGGACATTTTCATGTTGATGGTGACATTTTACTGTTATAAAGAAACTTAATTATAAATGATTTATGTCTCCCTATTGATCACTGATGATTACCTGAATTATTTTTTCTACTGATTGATGGTATTGCAGGACAATATTGTTACCATTGTGACATTTGAAGATAGTTGCAAATGATTGTCTCCAAGATGAAAGTCCTTCACTGTAAGTGACCAAAATTTAATTAAAATACAAAAAAGCAGCTTCAGAGTTATCCAAGCTAATTAACAACAAGCAACCATTTTGATATTCATCATTGAAAAATAGTATCACTCTTTGTAATCAAATGTAATAAACATCTGACTGTCTATTATGGGTTAGAGCATCAAACGATAAAATGTTTCAATTCATTGGAAGTACTTGGTTACATGTGAAACTTATAATCAATAATCATGGTTTATTAACAAACCTGAAACCCTTAATCAAATATTCGGTAAAAGTGAAAAATGTATTGATGAATCAACTCATTTGAAAAACCGGTTAAAAACTGGTTACCTAAAATTGAACAAATCTCAGCCATTAATAACAGCAAGTTCAATTAAAACATATTATTAGATAAGCAACTTAATAAGTTAAAAACAGTTTAGCTCGGAAGAAATCATGATTTATCGGAAAGATCAAGAAACATGAATATCCCTATTCTGTATTTATCAAAGCTAATTGAGTACAAATGTTCATATTGTTTTAAAATATTAATATACGATAAAAATGAAATAATATGAACATTCGTACCCAATTAGCTTTGATAAATACTGAATAGACAACTTCAAGTTTATCAATTTAAAACCGTGACTTTACTTGTGACTTTAATGATTAAACCAGATTGATTCCAGCCTAATCAACTTAACCATGTTTTAAATATTAAAGTCTGGTTTTGATTAGGTTTCCGTAAGTTGATAATACGATTGAATATTTCATTTTCATTATTCACAAGATTATAAATTAAGAACGAAGTGACAATTTTTCAGACTCTCACTCATTCAGGTTAATTATTAAACTTAATCTAATGTTGTTGACTAATATAGCTAAAGTTATTAGTTATTAATTTGTATCACCATCAATATTTAAAAATATTTAATTAGAAATGAATATTATTCAATAATTAATGGTTACAAGTAGATTTAAAGGTTTGGTTAACTGAAGCAGACTTTCCAATCGAAAGGGAAAACAAAATTGGATCAATAATTTAAATTATTTTGCATCTTACCAATCAAATTGGATTAATCGATTGATGATGTTAATGTAAAAATGTAAATCAAAGTATTATAATTAACCAATGAAATTTATTAATAAGCTTGGGAAGTTGGTTGATGATGGTAATAATTAAAAGCATTTGAAAGTTGATAATTTACAATTGAGCTTTTTATTGTATGACTAGAAATAATTACAATGATTAAATGGTAGAATGGTGATTTACATTGTAAGGTTGTTAGGAAAAGAGTTGATTGTATTTGCTGTTGGATTAATTTAATGGCATGATTTTGTGAAGACAAGTTTCATTTGGATTTAATATCAACAATTTAAAGGGTTTGATAATTGCTTTGAATCAGAGAAACAAGGGTAAAACAACAATCAAGTTGATTAGTGAAATAAAGAGATCAGTTGAAACTATTAGCTAAACTTAAATGCTTTCCTTTTTTTACCAAAAAATATACACAATTTTATTATTAAATTATGCAGCTTTGGGTTTAGTGAAATAAATGGCTTCAAATTGAAACTAAATCTGGTTAATCTAGAGCGTAAAATGAAAATTGGTAACTATAATATTATCTTGTTTGGTCTCTTTTTTTCCATGGTTAACTGGGACAATTGATTGATGATAGCTGGGAATGTAGTGTTTAAAGGGTGAGATTAAATAATAATAATACAAGGTAGAGAGAGAGAGAGAGTAATATTTCACTAATTAATAAACCATTACTTTTGGGTAACTTGATTGTTGCTCTTGATTTGTAGGAAATGATTGCTGAGATATTGAGTGTTTCAACCATTCCAATGAGCATCATAATTTGATAGTGAAGGGAAAAATTGAATTCAATTGAAACTTATCGCCATAAAAAAACTAGACATCAATTAACCTCTGTACATATGGCAAATATCAACAGACGAGTAATACTAATCAGGCAATTGTTTGAAAATAAAATTGATTTCAACTGGTAAATTTACCGTCTAAATCCCATGAAAGGTAATTTACCAGTGACCATGAATGATGTTGATTAATTTAGATGATTAAATGTTTTGCGAGTTCGTTGTGATTTGGAGATGCGAAGTGCGGTTATAGTTATTGTGTTCAATAGGTGCTTTCTTGATAAGATGAATGAATTGAATAACTGGCATCAGCTGAGAGTGTTCATGTTGATGTAATTGTTAGATCGATCACAACAAAATAACAAAAAACTATTACAACAAACTCCGGGACATCAGATATAGCGAAAAATGGATCACAATGGATAACATGAATTACTTGTAAACTCGTTTGACCATGAAATAAATTTCTCATACATTATCATTGGAACCAACAACTGATTTATCACCCATTTCAACTGCTTCTCCAGTTTGATTATTGTTGGCATCATTTGAATTAGTCTGTACATTCAATGTATTATTTGGTTGACATTTTTTAACTTTTGTTGTATTCTCAACGAGTGCCCATGATTGAGGTTTTGAGGTTGCAAATAATGTGAAAAATACGGCGCCAATAACTTGTAAACCACCGAAAAAGTAGAATGCAGTATTCCATTTAGATACTGAAAAGATCTAAAAATACAAGAGAAAAAGAAATGAAAGAAGAAGAAAAAATCATGAATATTAGTGATGAAAAAGAAATGATAACTATTGCAATTTTCAATTTATTTTACATCAAATTGATAATCAAAAATGATGGTTGATTTGTTAACAAAGTTGAACTGAATAGTTGAACACAATTATTTCAATTTGAACGGTTTCAAAGTTAATGGGAAAAACTGATGGAAAAGGATGATTCTTGTATGAATTAAAATGGTTATTTATATTGTAACACAGTTAAATCTTACCTCATCACCAATAATATAACCAATCGTCATTGGGGCAAGGAAACCGCTAGCACACGAGATTGTATTGGCAAATCCAAAAACAGTTCCAACAACACCTGGAGCCATTTCAGGAACAATGGGAATATCACCTCCAGAAGTAGCTCCCATGGTAAACATTGTCAATATTAGGCCAAGAACAATGATTTCAGCCTTACCAGATAATAAGGGAATGCTTAATAAAAATAAAGCTGGTCCAAGAAGAGCTGAGAGCAAGATGAAAAAGAAAACAAAAAAGGCACAAATTGTAATATATTCATTTGAAAAGATTGAACAAAGTAAACAATGAGTTTGAATGTGATTTGAATTGAAATTGGATTTCTATCGATTCAACAGTCACCAAAATGATTGAAATAAATTGAAATGAAAATCAAAATGAAAACTAGGAAAACAATGAAAGTCTAGAATTGAAATCAAGTCTAGGATTATGATAAAATTTAGTGAACAAAAAACGGGTTAAAAAGAAAGTAGTGTCATTTTCCCTTTCTTTAATGCAAGGGAAAAGCAGAGTGATTTCCCTTTCTCTGCATTCTTCGCACTATTTTCACTTCAAGATGGCTCTTCAATTAGCTAAAGCTTTGTTTCTCTTCTTAAGTCGCTTAGAGATAATAATTAATTGTTAACATTTCTTTACTTTTGTGTTATGTTATTAGTTAAACCATGGACTTACCAATGCTTTCAAAGAGTTTTCTGGTCACAGTTAGGTTGAGATAACCTTTGGTTGCTATGAATTTGGATAAAGGACCACTTATGAATTGACCCAGTGCTTCAGCAAGGTAAAACGCGGAATTGATTAAACCATTTCCTTGGAGAGGATAACCCAGGATAGTTTCCAAATAAAGAGGTATTTTTGAATTTACTGTATGATAACCAAGGGAACTTATTCCTCGAGCAATGGTCACTGACCATAAAGGAAGTGATAGAAACATTGATTTCCAAGGAACTTTAACCTAAATCAGTAAAGGAAAACATGAATAAATTTAATTCATGATAGATCAAAGTTAATTGCAAGAATTCGTCATTGAATTCAAAATGAGCAGTTTGCTTCATGTTTGTATAGACTATTCAACTCATTCGTTCATTTTTTTCCCATAAATGAAACATTTAATGCAACAAAAAAATATGTGTTATGTCTTTTCAAGACTCATTCAAGATGAGTTCATTGAGTTAATTAGCTTGGATTGGTAATGAATGTGAGTCAGAAAAAAAAACTCACTGAATCTGGTTCAATTAACCTACAATGAGCCTAAAAATAGTGATTATCTAATAAAGTGAGCTTCATAAAAAGTTAGAGAGTGAAGATGATAACTATTTGCATCATCTAAATAATGCGCAATATTAACTCATATTAGTTTTTCACAACATTTGATGTGATAACGATAAAAGAATCAAAACATGAAACATGAAGCTCACAGAAAACACCAGAATCAGTTAATGAAAGGCAGGTTATTAATATTGTTTTAAAACGAAACTTACTTTTCTTTTAGGTATTTTGATAACATTGGCCGAGATGAATTTTTTTTCTTCCTCACTGACGAAAGGGCTTTTATCTGGATTAGCAGTGATCGTTGTGAAATATAAAATTGTGAATACCAAATTAGCCAAACCCATGCAGTAAAATGCTGATGGCCATCCTCCGGCAAACCCGTTATTACAAAGCCAGGCAGTTATGGGCATTACAAAGGCAACACCAACATTTGTTCCGACAGTCATTATAGCCTGAGCAAATGCTTTCTCTTGCGGTGGAAACCATTTTTCAAAGAGTATATACAAACAGGGAAAAGTTGGACCATGGATGAAACCCAAGAGAATTCTTAAAATGACTAAAGGAATATAATTTGCTCTAGCTGCAAAGGGAATAATAAATGTAACCAGAGTGGCAAGAAGATGAGATAATGCACCGAGCCTGACAACATTGAACTTATCAGCCAGGAAACCAGTGCTTATTTGAATTGCTGTGTAAGAGTAAAAGTAGGAACCAATAATCACTCCTTGTTGTGCTTGGTTCCAATCGAATGTAGGTGCTGAATTGGTGGAAACTTGGCTTGTTTCATTCTTAGATGACAAACAGAATGGCGATAGCAAGGTAATGAAAGGGAATGATAAAAATAACCAATAAGTATCGGACAAGTTTGGTTAGACAAGATAATTGTCAAGTAGACTGCTTACCATTAAATGGGTTGAGTTTGATTTTGCTGATGAAACCATGGCAAGAAGGGCAACATTGATGACACACCGTGAGGCAAACATGAAAGCGCCACTGAAAGCGGAAAATATCATGACATAATAGCGAAAGGGGAATCGAAAAAATCGAGAATGCTTAGTTTCGGCGAAACTAAGAGATGATAATTTATTGACCAGTTGAATTGTCATTTTAGATGCTTAGTAAATACAATTGAAAAGGAATCAGTTGGAAACACAAACTAATAGTAATCACGGTCAGTAAATACTAGTATTAATGTTAATACAACAAAAAAAAGATTATCAATGAAACTAATTTCTAAACAATCTTTATTACAGTTTGGTTACTGAATGATTGCAAATCCCTTCATTTGGACATTTATACCTGCGATTCATGTTCACCGATAATCATCATTGGCGTGATAACATGATAAATTTTAATGATAAGATGCAAAACTCACAATAAAATAGAAAGAGCAAAACACCAGGATGAGTGTGGAAAATGTGTTTGATACCGTTTCAAGCCAGATTATACTGGATTTCCAGGAGAATCAGATCATCTTTCTATCATTTGGGTGAAAGTTATTTCTGTTGCATTGCAATAAATGATGATAATAAAAACAATAATATTGCGTTTGATATTATGATATTATTTTCATTATTTTTAATATACCAATCAATTATATTCTTAATCAGATGCAAAAAACCAGATGACAAAGAACCAGATTTTAACTTAATGCTGACTCTTGAGTTTGATCAACTTCCATTATCACCAACCAACAAAAGAGATTGTAAAGAAAATTAAATCTAATTAAGTGTTATACATAATTGATTATACCTTTAAGTAGATGATTTGTTTTACAATTAACTTCTCTATCAAGCTTTGTATGTTTATTGTGACAAAAATATGAACATACAAATGTATAATATTGCTGCATGGCAAAAATAGCAAATCATAAGATGCAAATATCATATTATGAAAAAGTGTGCAAGAAATTAAAATTTAGGTTATCTAAATAATAAGCTTAACAATTATTAATAGTGTTAGCACTCAGGATGAAAAAAAAGTATTAATCAACTTGTTTAAATGATTAAAGATTAATCTAATTGTTTATTATATTTCCTTGATTTAAACAGTAACCAATATAACCATTGTTAGCAAGCATATTAACAAATGTCATGTGAAGTCGCTTTTTTTTAAATATTATTTCTTTATTGTTGATCATATTAACCTTGTTTCTGTATTTAAATATTAACAAATGTTTAATTACTTTGTACAATCGATTCCTATTAATAAACTGATTTATCTGCACCAACAATGTACATGAATGGCTTTTGATTTTTGATCCATTTTAAAATAAAAATCATTACAAACTGTAAGTTGGATTGATTGATGAAAAAGTAATTTTTAAATGAAAATGTGATCAACCAAAAGGATTAACGACGTAATAACGTCAAAGTAATCAATTGAATGGTTCAATATTAACACCAAATATACATTTAGATTGAGTAAACGGATTGAAATGAAAACCAGTTGAGAGTGAAAACGATTCCAGATGATTTTGGATGAAAAGGCGAATGGTAAGCGAATCCTATTCAAATGGTAATCATCGTATTTTTTGGAGTTTCATTGAACAAAGATTGTCAACAGCAAAATAGGTTTCTGTTGTTAAACAAGTTGATTATTTCATTAGATTACAATGGGAATAATCAAGAGTAAAAACGCAATGGTAAAGTGGAATCAAGTGAGGGTTAAAAAGGCCAAAGAAAATGGGAAAAGGAAGATGATGAAGACGATGTTGGTGTAAATGTTGATGATGTTGATGGTGATGAGAAAAGTAAAATTATAATTAACATTGAAACGCAATGTATTTCCTGTCGCAGTTAATCTAGTAAACAATATACAAAAGGTTGAAGGTTCATCACAACAAAACTAAATGTGTATTAGCGGGTCAGTAAATGAACAGTTGAACATCAATTATTAATAGATTACTTCAAGTTGAGTTTTATTATTTTACACGCAACCAATTCAAAAATATTCATTATCATCTAATTAGATGATAATTTGAGTTGAACATTTTACGTTAAATATTTTAAAATCCAAAGGTTGCTTAGGCCTAACGGCATGGATGTGAAAGTGAAGGAGCCATTTTTGAATAAGCAAAGGCTAACCCGAAATAAATCAATCATTTCCAATGATCACGTTAACCAAGGATTTCCGATGCTGGTTAAGAGTGTTTTACGGAAATATTGAACGGACATGATGAAAATGGAATGAAATTTGCTGACCAAATGATAATAAAACTGTAAATTTAGCAATTTAACAACAAAGGAAAAAAATAGAGAAAAATATTAATATGAAATTCAACTTTGCCAATATTTCACTGTTCTTGCCGTATATTGCCTTCAGTCAAGTTGACGGTTAATTGTAACAATCATGATGATTATGGGTAAATTTTTTACCTTTCATTTTCATCTGAACCTAAAGATGGACAAGTTTTCGGTTGAAGGTTCGATGAAAGATACATGAAAGGAAAGCAAGATTACCTGTAAACCATTATTATGGCAATTGAAAAAATAAGTTGAAATGAAATAAAATTATAGCTGGTAAGTCAGTAGCCAGTGAATAAAGGTAAAAGGTTGACCGTGAAGAGAGTAAAGATGTTGATGAAAGAAAGTTGATGATTATAATGATGATTGTAATGATGATTATGATGAGGATGAAGAAGAAGAAGAAGAAGAAGCAATTGTAACTGTCATTCTGACAGCAATAATAATCATAATAATGTTGAGGTTGCCTTTGTGAAAAGGTAAAAATGGATTTTTCTCCAAAGAGAAGAGTCAACACATTATTTCAACTGAGTATACGGTGAAAATGATGATGGTGATGATGGGCAAGATGGGCAAGAAGATGATGATGATGGTGATGATGAGGTAACAAGTAAAGCTGCTCTTTTCTTGTCTTCCATTGATGAATATTATTGCTCACGCAAATATACATCTATTTGTCAGTTTGCTTTCAAGAAGCCTTTTTCATTTCGTATTGTTACACATTTTGTACCATTATTTTTGCCACTTTTTTTTGCTTCTTCAACATCTTCAACTGATTGTGATCAATTGGTTATATTGTTGTACCATTAATGAAAACATGTAACACTATTCAACTCTCAATGAAAAATTCTGTGATTGCGAGTCTCTCTCTCCCAGCAAATGCAGCAATACAACTAGATTAAGCGTAACAAATGCGCCTTTCATTGGATCCTTCTTTCAGCTTGAATAATGATTTTTATAATAATAATCTATGATTGGTGGTGGACTTTTGTTCATTTCATTGGGTGAAATTGAGGACAATCTGAATATGATGATCAACTGAATCTTGAACGGTTACTATTTTGTCTGGCCTTTCAATTTCTCACATTAAAATTTTACCTTTTTGCTTGCTGCCTTTGTATCACCATAACCATCATTGCTGCAATTATCATTGAATATTTTTTTTCAATTGCTCAAAATGACCATTGAAATTGAATTCTTGGGATTCACAAGCAACAGCAAATCCATTAGGCCTTTTGGGTTGCTCATTTTATTTGTTGGTTAAAGGATAAGGTCAAATCCAATGACCAGTTTTTTTTCTTATTAATTCAACCATTTGTAAACCAATTGCACCTTTTCTTGGTTTATTTCAGGTCTTCTAATTGAATTGTTTTTCAACCGTTTCGATTGTTTGCTTTTACTGGTTCACTCACTATTATTGATGCTTATTTAAAAATGAGATTAACAGCCAAAATAATCACCTTTAACCTGTTAAATCAAGTCTAATTTGAGATCAACTTAATAATAGTTGAAGGGAAAAATAGCGATCCATATTAAAGTAAATGAGAGAGATTTGATGAGGAACAAAAATAATGGTGATAATAACAGATGATAATGATGATGATCATGATGTTGTTGCTGTTGATGGTGATGCTGTTGATGCTGCTGATGTTGATCTTGATGATGGTGATGATGGCTAAAAAATAAACACTCAACCAATTGAATAACATTTTTTGATTTCACGATTTTGCGTGTTTCGCATCCTTCCCTTAACAACACTTTACAAACGCTTCAACACAAAACCTTTTACTTAATCAAAATCCACTATTTGATTATTTAGGACAACAGATATTATTTTGTCACTATCGACATTTCATTGTTCAATCTATCAACACTAACTATCAACACAGAATTGATTTTGTTGACGTTTTTTAGCCTCACATTTCAAGGTTTGATTTAACCGCTAAAATGGTGACTCTTTTAGATTGACCAATCCGGTTAAGCCTTTGTTTAATTTAACCAACGGTTTTCCATTTGTTTTTCATTGTAATGTGGCAACAATTTACAGTCTGTTAATGTTTAACTTTATTTACTCATGTTTTTTAATTACTTACCTTTTGATTAATTGAACGTAACTTTCAGTTTTATTAACCTTTAATTGCCAATCATTCTTATTAGAAGCTGTCAGTTTGTAATTAAACTGCTTTTGTAGCTACCATTTACTCGACTATTTTTGCCTTTATTTTTGTTCAATTTTTGTTTGCTTTTTATCTCATTTTACTGTCTTCTATTCACTTTTAATTTGAATAAGTGTGTATATTTTACCTGTTTTTTAATCAATCTTTCGTTTGATTTGCCGTCTCTCTCTCTCTCTCACCTCTAATTGGTTTCCAATAAATGGTTGAACAAGATTAATTAAACATTGCTTTGGGATAAAAGAAATACTGTTTAACCTCACCTTAATCGGAATCCAGGAAAATTGCGCTTACCAACAGTATCACCAACAAAACGAGCTAACAAGTTGTAAGTTACTTTTAACTGTCACCATTTAGATAAGTTAAATTTGGTTGAATCTGAGGTGCAGATAAATCATCGTTACATTCATAATTGTCAAATCTATCAATTGTAATGAATTGAAATGCCCAAAAAAAGAACCAATTGAATATTAAAATTTATTTCGTTGTTGTTAGTGAAAACACAATTTAATCAATCACCATTAAATCTAATTCTGTTTTTTTTTCTACAAGGTTCTTCTTACAATTGATGTAAATAAATCCAAGCAAAGAGACAAAAAGGAGAAAAGTGGAACCCAAAATTGCTGACAGTAAAACCAGATTAAATTGAACACAGTTAACCATTAATTTTTTTGTTTCCATTCTTTGGCAATATTCAACGAAATGAATAATATCAACAAGATACCAATGATAGGAATGGAGTTATGAGGATATAAAGATGCAAGCCTAGGAAGAGAAAAGGAAAGAAAAATATAATGAATTGAATTTATCTTGAATTTTATTTCTGTAATTTGTTTACATTGAAATCAAGAAATAAATAAAAAAACAGAAGAGACAAGAAAAGAGATTTATCATCAATTCAATGTTCACATTGTTTGGATAAAAAATGGCAAACAAAAAGTAATCAAGATTCGAACTTCCATTTTAAAATTGGCAAAAAAAGTTCTGGAAATCATGAATGAACAAAAAAAACCTTTCAAACACAATCTCACCAAGTGTTCAATCTTAAAATGAATTAGACTGAACGTGTTTTAATTACCGCTTTCGCTAAACAAACGTGAATCGTGCTATTTCTGTGTATTACTATGGTCAACACTGTTATTAATAATTCCCACAAGATAAGCAATCTTTGGTTCAAATAGTTTTCGCTCACACTGTTAATGTATATTATTATATCTTATCGCTTATCGGCTGGTAAGTGTTTGTGAAAGTTGAATTTGGTTTGTGTTATCATTATTTTTTGTTGTTTTGGGTGAAAAAAGTGATAAAAAGAAAGGTAAAATGTGAGCTTAAAATTGGTGAAAAAAAGGTCCAAGAAAACACCAAAACAAGCAAAAGAGGAGAGAAAAGAAAAGTGAACCTGAATCGTTAAACATGGAAACAGCCAGCATTCCTTGTGCCATTATTTTTGTCTCAAAAATCACAAATCAAATAACCTTTTTTTGCCTAAGTTATTGACTTTGTTTAACAATATCTGATATGCATAAGTATCAAGACTGTGAATGTTGGGATTGGTGATGTTTGTGTGCGTCTTTTTGCTGTGTATATTCACCAACGTGTTGATTTTTGAAAATGAAAGACAAAATTTTCACACACATAACATTAACCAAACACACACAACACAAATATAAACACACACACTCACACAAAACTGAAACTCATTAAACTTAATCTTAAAAGGTCTTAGGAACCCAAATAAAATTATATTAAAGATTGAGTGTGAAAAGCAAAGTAAAGCAGGTTACAGAGATAAAGATGATTATGATGATAAAACAGGGAGATCTGAAAAGAGAGTTATTAGTGGTTTGAGTTGTTTTCCTTTCCTTTTTTTTCATTTTTTTGCTGCCTTCTTAAAGTGTTTGAGAAAGGATGAGAATGCTGAAGAGGAGGAGAAAGAATGAAATGAAAGATGATGAGAGAAATCTAAGAATGGTAATGATAACAATTTGATTATGAACAAAAAAACTGTTCAAGGCTGGCCAACATTAAAATGGCTGTTATAAAGGGAAGGAAAAAATTGGAAAGTGACCAGACACTTTGAGAAACCGTGAGAGATTGGGCAAGATGACGATGAAGATGATGCTGAAGATGGAGATGAGAATGATGATATTAAAAAAAGTCATCAACCAACGGATGCAACTTGGTCCAACGGCGCGATTAAACTGTCAACGGAAACATAAAAACAGTTAATATTAACTTGAAATTTGTTTGATTGGTTTTGAGTGGTGTTGTGACAGTGAAAGGTTAGATTATCTTCAACAGGCGGGTCAATAATATCTCAACTTGTTTATACCATGTTTGATGTGAAGAAACATTGAGTAAAACATGATAACTTACGGTATATTGAATGAACAATAATTAGATAATGTTCACTGAGAGTAAAGAAAAGTGGATGAAATAGATTAACTTGCGCTTGATAATTGGAAGGAAAGCTCAATGTTTGGTTCCCAGAAAATGAAATTATTTGTTGATGAAAGGTTAATCATTGGCATTAACTTTTAATTCTTTCATTTGTCTGTTAATTTTGACTCTCTATTGCAGTCAGAATAGATTAAATTAATGACTTCTCAATGGTGTGAAATGAAACTCATTCCATGGTAACTCTCCAGTCAACAGTCAACAACTTTCACAGCAACAAAAAGAAAAATGTTATTTTTCTTTCCTGGATCGCTGATCTGGTCAACTGAATGAAATGAATTAAGGTTCCATGTTGATGTTTGTTGATGTAATAATAACAATAATAATCAAATAATAAATATCAACAACACAGCAACGCCAAGAAGCAGTAATAAGCGGTAATAATGTGAGCAGCCCCAGGCCTAAACCCATTTAGAGTTGTGTTGGTGATAGTTGTTGTTTGTTTAGGTAACCACGGGAGTGAAATTACATTTTGCTGATTCTCTCGGTGAAGAGGCAGATTAAGTAGCTAAATTAGCAAATGAACAAGTGATGATGTAAAGAGTAGCAAAATGTGAGGATGAGTTTGTGTTTCAGCATTACCATTCAAGATTAAGGTGATTCCTTTTTCAGTGATTAAACTTGTACAGCTATCAAGAGCACCAAACTCGCTTATCATCATCATCACATTCAACATCATCAACTTGATGTGTCTTATAAAGGATAAGGATGTAAAGAGATTAATGGTGAGCAAACAAAAGAAAACCTTTTCATGGTTTCCTATTATTATTGATAGCGTATGTTTACATCAGGATAATCAAATCACCAAACATTGACATTAACAAGTGAATATTGAATAATATCATCATTTTAAAATTGCTCTGCCATCATTTCTCCTACACTAGTAGTCAGGGTTAAGTTAATAAAAAAGGGTCAGATTTAAGTTAATTTTTAAGTGTCGCCATCTCGAGTATTTATCGCTTTAAGTAACACAAAACAATGAAATCTATGAAAATTAAATTCGATCTTAAAGGTACTTTTGTTTCTTGTTAGATGGCGACTATGAAAAAAATCGCCACTTTTCTTAACTTAACCCTGACTACTAGTGTATCACCGAATCCATCGCTCCGTATTAACACTGCGTTTTACCAGAATCACTGTATATAATCAATGTGATGTTGATCAGAATGGCCAAAATTGAAAAGTACAAGAATTACAGAACTCACGAGAAAAGCAAAATTCATCCTTTTCAACGTTCTTAATCCAATTCCTTGAAAAAAAAGAAATAAAAACAAAATAAAATGAAATCCCAGTTGAAGCAATGAATAAAAAAAGGTGTAAACATAAGTTGATGAATTGGATGAGTAGAAAAAGATTTCAAGAGGAAAAATAAGAAGCAAAAAGAAAGATAATAAATAGGATTACTTATTTTTTTTCATCATCTTTCTTATTCTTCATCTTCATCTTCTTCACCCATCTTACTCTTTGTCAACATCTTAAGCCTTACCTTGTTGGTTGATAAAATGTAGCTTTTGTTTTGTTTCTAGTCCTGATTTACTACGAGCTTATTGAATTTTAAAGCTTATCAAATGATTTTCCAATAACTGAATCTACAAGAAGTATAAGAGCGCAAAAGAAGATGGAAGGTAAAGAAAAACATTAAAATACATTTACATTAATATGATGATTATAATTGTTGTATGATTGTTAAAAAAAGCGAGTCCAAAATTGTAACAAGAGCGCCATAAAACAAAAATATATTAAAACTATCCTGATCATCCCAGTGATCATGATCATTACCTTAACAACCTTGACTCTCATTACAAGGGAATGTAAAGATGAGGATCAAAAATAAGGAATCAAATTGGCTGTTATATTATCATCATTAATTCAGTTAAGGGTTGGGCGTTCATCAACTTGTTAAGTGGTCTTTTGGCTTTTGGGAAACCCTCTTTACATTTCACCCACCAACAACGTCTTTACCTTCTAGGTGAGAGAAAGAGAGAAGATGAATTTAGAAAATGATTTATACTAGAGAAGAAGGGAAAATTAGAAATGAAATAAAGAATAAGCATTGAGAGAAGTAAAAGAAGAAAATTAATAGGGAAAGATGATAATGAAAGTTTCTTTGATTTTATTAATACTGCTGTTGACCATGATGATGGAGCCAATCATTTGTCGGTTTTTTTGGCTCTCATCAATTTGATACTAATACTTCATCACCATTTTCACTCAGTTTTTGCCATTTTATATTTCAACAAAGAAACTTCTTTCATCATCATCATTATCATTATCATTATTATAATATCTATTATCAATGATATTACTTACATGAGGCTCACACTTGGAGCAAAGGAGATGAAGAGTGGGAGAGAGGGTGAGATGATAAGTTAGTGAGAGTGAGTCGGTTTTTCATTTTGAATTAATGGATACCATTGGTTAAATAATAAGTTGGCCAGCATTTGGAGAAAACCTTTTCCTTTTAGATATTCTCTCACCTTTATCAGAATTCTTATCATCATCATTTCTCACTTCAGGGGTCTTTCCATCAACATTAGTAATCAATTGATTGAAGGAGATTCAGTTAATCATTCTTTTCATCGGCCAAAAATTATTCATCAACCGTGAAGACCAAGAAATGAATGCAAACGATTGAATAGCTTGGGTTACTTCAGTTTAGCCAGTAAAAACAAGAGAAACATAAAACCAAATCTTTGCCCTCCAACTTTGACCATCTTGACCTTTTCGGAAAACTGTAAATAAGACAAATAAAAAAACAACATAAATTTGAGGATAAAAAAAAGATGAATACAACAAAGATAATTATTATTACAAATCGTATTGCTGTAAAGTGAGTTTCTTTCTTGGTTGATAGGTTATTAGCAAGGCTGCAAAAAAAAGGTTCAGCATAATCATCCATTTTTTTCATCTCCTCCAGGATGAGAAAGAAAGTGGCCAAGAAGGAGAAAAAAGAAGATTTTTCGTAAGAGAAATGATAAACACTCCCTTTTTGCACCAAAGCGATTCCATTTCTTGATCCCTCATCAGGTTTATCTTTTTTCCTTCATGTTCCTATTACTTTGACTATGAAAACTGCAAGAAACGTGATCAAGGAGAGGCTAAGGGATCCAGCGGTGGTGTTGTTATTAGATAACTTTTACCTCTCATCTTCTCCCATCATCATCTTCATCGTCCTCATCACCATCACCACCAACTACATCAAATCATCGTTTTTCTCCTCGTTGTTGTTTTTCTGGAAAATAAAAAAAAGTGTATAATTTAAGTATTGGTTGTTTTTGTTGTTGTTTTTTCTCTTAGGTAAAGGTAGGCCTAGAAGGTGAAAACGATCAAGCTTATATGTAACCTCAATGTTAGCTTCTTGTCCACCTCCCCCTCTCCTCACCTCCTCCTCATCATCATCTTTTCCCTCTTGAACAAGTGGTTTCATCATTTTCATCTTCAGAGGTAAACTAAACTTGCCTCAAACCTCACCTCTTATTGGCTAAGGAAAAGATGCAGAAAAAAAATGGTGAAGAGAAAATAATGAGCTATTGCCGAAAGAAGAGTGAGAAAGAGGAAAGTAAGATGAGATGATGATGAGAGTAAGGTGAAATGATGATAAGAGAGGGGAGATAGGAGAAGAGCAAAAAGACTGACCTGTCAAAAACGAAAGACTATTTTTCACTTGTGGTTTCACTTTTTTACTCAAAAAAAAGATTTTTTTATACGAACAAAGCTTTCATTTTGAGCCTTAACTTTCTTCTTCTCCATCATCATCATTTCATTCTGCCAGATCAAGCCTAAAGTTATCATCATCTTCATCAGTTCATCACGATTAGGACCGGGTAAGACAGCAACAAGTACACATAGAAGCCCATAGACAGTATATATATACAGTGTAGTTTGTTTGTGAGTAAAAAAGCTGAAATTGAATAGAAGACTTGAGAAGTAAATAATAATCAGAAGAAGAAGAAAAAAACTCAACTTCTTAAGAAGGTTTTCATGATTTTTCGTTTCTTTACATCCATTTTAACTTTTCTTGTTGTTCAATCTATTCAACACTATTTTGGTTTGAATGATAATCATCACTCACAAAGCAACAAAATAATAATCATAAATTCAGTAACAGATTATTTTAGATGTATATTATTATTATTATTGCTGAATAGATAATGAGATAAACTAGAAATTGATTCAGGTTTGCTTTTTTGTCCAGTATTTTGTTCACCAAAAACAATTCAACTCCGTACATTATTTTGAACATTGAAAAGCTTCAAAGTCAATCAACTTTCATTCAACTTATCGTTGATTAAGTTAATCAATTTACTGGTAAGATAAGCAAGAAATGTTTTGGTTTTTTTTCATCAACATCATCATCATCGAGATTAAATGTTGATTGAAAAAGAAGACTGACACGAAAAAAATTTCATCTCTTTTGATTGTTTGTTCAATCAACTCGTCATCAACCTCTACGTCTATTAATCACAAGTTATACTATTTACAGTTCATGTCAAAATCCTGTGGGATACACAAAATGACAATTAACCAACAAAATTGGACATCGTTGCAATTTAACTGAATATTTGCAAAAAGGTTGAAGATGAAAAATGGTTCAAAATTGAATCTGAAAAAATCATGAAAATTGTATGAGTTTTAAGTAAAGGTTTTAAGTTTAAACTTACATTTTAATAGAAATCCATAAAAGATGTACCTTTCTTTTTAACTTAAAATCAAAGATGATCATGATGATGGGAGTAAAACCAGTTCATAACATTATCAGAAGAACCATAAATTTTGTCATCTTTCCTCTTTACCTACCGAAAAAAAAGTCCAGACAAAAAGGTAAAACCTGTCTTCTTAACCTGTCATCAATTTTTTACTTGTTTTCCACCGTAAAAATGTTTTCACTTTCCTTCCATCCTAAATCTTGACCAAACTTGAGGCTGTAATTAATGTATGATTTAATTGATAACGATGAAATAACTTCCAGTTCCAATTAGGAAGCAATCTTGATTAACTTGCAACATTGATGGGAACAACGAGAAACATACAGATCCATGTTTACTCAATTTCAATCCATTGAAAGTTACCAGCGTAAAATTTTATAACATATTCCTTCATCTAAAATCATGTTTAAAAGACGATAAATCAAATAAAAAACGCAAATTACTCAAAACGGGTAAATTAATCAAATTGAGATGGTTAATTGACTCTTTAATTAACTGATCAATCCAATAAGAAAGGGGTTAACTAACTTGATTGTTTCCTTTTTACCCTTGGTAAGGATTGTTGAAAGCCATCTGTAAATATTGAAAGTCCTCAAAGTTACAATTTTAACAAATAATTACCAGTTCATTATCATCATGATTATCACAAAAGTAAAGCAAGTTCATTGACAATTTGATAAAAATAACATTAAAAACAAATGATCAAATGATTTAACATGGATTAATTAAATTAACAGATGGTTACACAAATATGGTTAAAAACAAAAGCTCAATCAAGATGGCTTCGTCTTCCCTAATGTAAGAAAAATAAGGCGCTAAATAGATAGCCAATCAAAATGGAAGCGCCAAAATTGGTTTAATCAACCAAATCTGGATAAAAATGAATTGAATGAAAGATTGAAAAATAATTGAACCCTTTGAACAGCTATCAGTTTAAATCTAAAGTCTAATCTGTTTCCAATCACAGTCTCAACAATTGAATAATAGCTATAGTATCATGTCATGTCCCCAAAAAAAACATATTAAGGTTAAAAGTTTCTGATTAGAATAAACATTAACTTGTTCAGTTGACTTGGATTAAGTATTAAGATTACATTGAATTGCTTCTTAATCACACCCGTTTACTTGTATTACATTTTAGCCTTGACCTGATCAAGTTTGGTGAGAAAAATGTATCAAAGAAATCAAAATGAAATGAACAAATCAAAAGGAAAAGTAAAAAAGGTAGAAAAATGTTATATATTCATAAGACGTTCATTTTAATGGTAATTTGAAAATCAACAGCCAACAACATGAACTTCAGCTACTGAATTGAGTAAAATAAAGAAGGTAAATATATTCTTGATAAATTCACAGCATTTAGCTTCAGGAAATATAATCACAGTCCAGTCAGAATTGAAATTGTAATGGAAATAAGTTAACCCAAATTTGAGTTTACCTTTTCCTTTCAAAACAGGCAACATTTCAAGTTAACCTTTTTATTTCATGTTACCATTTTTATATTGAGATTCATTTCTGTCTCTTTTTTCACTTTTATTTCTCTTTTTCTCTTCAATCAATTTAATCAATTTTTACGCTCTTTAATTAATAACAACATTTTAATGAAAACATTTTTGCCTTCAATTACTTGTAACCTGTCAGTTGATTGTGCTAATCTCTTGGGTTAAGGCTTCATGTATAATCAACTTGAGCTTTAACAATTAGACTTCTTTTTAATGTGAGACTTTTGTCTTGTCCAAATTTACCTTTTCATTTAATTTGCTTGATTATCCTTTTTACATTCTCACATTAGCAATTCAATTTAATTCCAACTGTTCGTTTCCCTTTAATCAATTCTGACTCCAAAACATGACTTCAATTATGACTTTGTTTCATTGATAATTAGATAACATCTAAATATTTAATCTTCATATTTGTCAAACAGTCAATTTAACATTCCTCTTTACATTGTTTATCGACTTTAATTCAATTAAATGAGTTTTAATTAACAAGCCTGGAAATTTTCCTTAGAACTCGTTAGATGGCGCTGAGTAAAAAAAGTGGCTAATTTTCATTTTGCTTTTGTAATTGTCATAGTTACAAAGGGTTGATTGGACTTTTTTGTTTGGTGAAAAGAGTTGATTGAATTTTAATTTTGATGAGCTTTTTCATTCCGCCATTCTTGAGTTAATTAAATTTTTTCTTTTTAATTGAGTAATTTTCACCTTGTACTTTTCATGTTATTCTAGCGGTGAAATGATTCCTGAAAGAAAGGTATGCTATGTTATGTTTTCTTTTATTAATTAAAATAGCTTTTTGACCAAAAAATTTGGCGTTTTTATAATCGATCAAACCATTGAACTTTTCCCTTTCCCTTTCCTTTTTTTCTTTTCTCAGACTTTCCTTTCTTGTGTCTCTTTCTGTCTATGTGTTTTTGGTGTGGGAACCTTACATTCAAGTACACAGTTACTATTTTTATGGGTATCTGGTTTTAATTGTTTCTTTCTTTCTTTCTTTCTTGTGTAACTTAACATAGGAAGCAAAAGATGCAGAAGATGGCAAACATGTGTATGGATAAGGAGATAATAGCCATCAATAACTCCAACTGATCATCTTCTTTCTTGGTTTCTCACATAAACACTGGACGAGGAAAGAAGAAAATGAAACTTGAGAGGAGAAAAGATGGCTTTACGTTGACATACTCATTAAAAGGCTATCTAATGTTTATCATAATTCTTCAATAAGAGTTGCTCATTTTCACTCTTTTTGTTATTAAGATTGCATTCATGTTAAGGGATGAAAGGAAAATGAAAAGAAACATGATGAAAATAGAAATAGTTATACTTTCTTTAAGAGAGAAAGAGAGAGATACTCTTCACAGTCTCCAATATCAGATCAATTCAGGTAAATAAAATGGTTCACTTGTGTTGACCAAAAAAGTTTTTCTCGTTGAACAGAAAAAAAAGTGTTACTATTTAATTGTACCACAATCATTTGTTCAAAATGAACATTATACAAGCATCTAATCCGTTTGCTTGTTAATCATTAAACTTTTTCCTTACAGCATTTTCATTTCATTTATATTTTTTATCCTCATCTTTTTTTTTATTCTTTCATTTTCGTTTCAGTCTTTGCCCACCTCATTCTGTTCTTTAAAAGGCAACAAACAGTCCAGAGGGCTTCTCACAGCAGGACCAAACTTCACCAAAATTGATCTGCTATCAAGACAGACTTCTTAATACCTGAGGCGAGAAAAAAAACGAAAGACAGGCACAATGAAATAAGATGCTGATCAAGGAAAAGACTTTCATGATGTAAGCCCATCAGCCTTTTTTCTTCATCGTCATTTCCCTCCCTACTTCTTTCTCATCCTCTCCTGTTTTTTTCTTCTCCCTCTTTTTTTCTATCATCTCTTTCTCTTCTCTTTCGTTGGAACATCCTTAGCACTCTAAAGACCGGTCTTGAGGGTGATAAAAAGTCTCCAACCGAGGATGAATGTTTCTACCTCACTATCATTTTGCTACTTTTTGCATAGCAAACATTTTTTGCAAAGTGATAGCCTTTAATACTTGAGATGGAAGGAGAAAGGTAAAATAGGAATGAAACAAACTTCAAATCAGATTCTAACAAGACTGTGAAAAAAAAGTAAAAAGATACTTAATATAATGTATTACGAATATATACGCATACATCAACCTTTAATGAAAGCCATAATACGTTTGCTAAGTCATTTTTAATCATTAAATAGTTTATCACTTTACCTTTTCATTTTCTCTCTTCTTTTTCGCAGATCAATTGACAGATTAAAGGACACCTTTGGTCGCCTTAGAGTAAACTCTTCACCACTTCACTTCTCATCTTCCCTTGTCTCGTAACCTGTCACTTTGATCAATATATTTGTCACATAAAGAATCATTGAAATGAAAAAGGAAGTCGGAAAACAAAGAGGCGAAGCCAGTGCAAAAAAGAAACAAAATCAAGGTCCACTTACTGTTAATTACATTCAAATCAGTGAACAAATTTAAATCTTTTCCTCTTTTCGCTACAATGATCATTGAGATTAATTTTTTTAGCCATTACCTATTACCAATTACCAATTACCACAAATAATCATCTTTTTTTTGAGCTCAAATGATGCTGTCAGTCAAGCAATTTCAACTGAAAGTCCACCAAACAATCAACAATCTCCAAACCTCATCAACATTATAATCATCATCACCATCATTCTTATCATTATTTCAATATTTCATTTTGCACGATTTGGGCAAAACAAAAACAGTTTGAAAAAAAGATAAAAATGAAAATGAGAAAGTTGGCAAACTTGAGATGAAAAAGTTCTTATTAGATGAAACCTTGAACCTTTTTCTTACTTTTACCTTTGTAAATTGAACTCATTTTTGTTTTCCAAAGATAAATCAATTCGTCTTGCAGTTTGAAAACCTGGAAAGAAAAGGTAAAGGTAAATAGTAAAGAGAACAAGAACAAGAACAAGAAAATAAAGTAAAAATAGGCAAAGAAGAAATCAAGGGAAAGAAGTTTATAACAAGAAGTGAAAAGAAGGCCAACAAAATGAGGCCAATAATTAGACCAAGTCCACAGTTTTCCGTAACGGGTTGATCATCATTATCCTTTACAAAAACATCATCATCAGCAAGTTGCTCAGGTAAGAAGTTTTCAAATTCATTTGTTAAAATAAGATGAGTTAAAAAACCACTGATGGCTTTTCTTGAGGGTAACACCTTCATTCTAACTACTAATCTTTTAACTTCTCTTTTTTCCATTCTATATTTTTTTTCTTGTTAATTCTAGTTTGAGTTATTCCAATCAAGATGAAAATTTTACTAGGAAAAAAAGCTCACCGCCACCCAACTGTGAAATGTAAAAGAAGATGGAAAAGCAAAGGTTCTAATGGGAAAAAATGTGGAGACAAAATTAGTTCATTGGTACAAGAAGAGGAGTGAAGTGAACAAGATAAGAGACCTTTGGAAGATGAAGGAGGAAGAAAAATGGCATTTTTTTGTGTGTGTCTTATTGTTCAACGAACTGTGAAGTTTTGGTTTCATCGTTTTGATTACAAGACCAATGAGACATGTTATTTGTCAGGATGAAATTTTAATAAAGAACCGGATCAGCGTTATGTTAATCATCTTGATAGATTCACTGTCTAACCATCAACTTAATCATCATCTTAACCGTCAACATTACCTTCATACCTTGCTGTCATTAGAAACAACGAAAAGTCCTGGAATGGTTTGCCTTTTTTTACCCTCTTTTTATGGTTAATATCTGGTGATTACTGGTGGTTAGTCAATAATAATTGTAAACTAAGTATGCATAAGTAGGAACAGGTAAAGAAACAGTCTTAACATTGTAACAATATTGAACTAACATATTTACTGATTTACAGGTAAATCACATTCACGGACTCGTCAGAATATTTAATGTGCCTTTAACTTCACTCAAACATCAGAAAGCCGTCAAAATTTCAACCTAATCCAAGATAAATAAATGAAAGGTTTTCACAAGAATGGCCAGTTTTAAAATAATTATCACAAAGAAAAGGCAAAAGATGATGATGATGATTATTTAAGATGGTCAAAAGAGAAGAGACAAGTTACCTGGAATAATAAGGAGCTTTGGAATGTATTGTTTGGTAACTTCTTTTTTTTCTTCACTTTTCCATCATCTTTTTATCAATACTATTAATAATAATGATGATAATATTAATAATGATTTAGCACAGAGTATAAAATTGGTGAAAGAAGGAAAGCTTTTTGCTTTCTCTATCAAACAATTTACAGTTCATTTCAATCAAAAAAAGTACAAAACCCAATTTTTCATCTTTCAAGTTAAATGTGTAAACTACAATAATATATTAACTGTGTTCAATAGATTGATGACTTTTTCCTATCAGCTGCAAGAATGAGGTAAATCGAGGAAAGCTCATTGTAACAGTTGTAACATTTTCTACTGATTTGACTGACGGTCAAGTTTATTACATTTATAAATTTAATTTTAAAATTATCATTATCAATTTTATATCATTTAATGGTATTGGAAAATGATGTTAACGTTTAACTTGACTTAAATTGTTTTTCTCCTTTTATTTTTGATTTTCATCTCATGTTTATTAGCAATGAAGGAAACCAAATGGAGTCACGGAAATTCAGTAAATGATACTCAAATCAGATTCACATGACCCTAGATTAACATTGAAACACTCAAAAAGGATACCTCAATATATATATTGCTCAAGAAGTAATAAGATGTTCAACAATAAATGATGATGATAATAATAATGAAATGAAGGATACAAGTTGTGATGGGAAGAAGAGGAAAAGTCAAGCCAGGAAGAAGAGTAAAAACAAGATGAACAAGTCGAGAGTAAAAAAAAGGACTCAACAAGATTTTTACATTTAACTCAGCACTTTGCTAGTTGATAATAATGCGATTTTGACCGAGAAAGTGAAAAGTTGTAAATGAAATGATATTTAATATGGAAACATCATCATCAACATCATTAGATAATCAGCATAATAACCAAACATGAACCATGTGTATTCGGCACAACAAGACGAGTTGAAAAGAAGAAGAAGAAGATGAAGCAAATTTTTGGACCCAACCTACAATTTATTTTGCTGTGTTCATTACACTTGAGGAGAAGAAGGAAGACTTTGATATTTCTTGGAGAGAAAAGCCTCAGAAATCAAACTCCATGGTGAAAATGGAGCAAAGCAGATGATAAAGATGAGGAATGAGAGAAAAAAGAAATTGGAGAAAAAAGGAAGTTTATTCACTGAAATTTCTAATGCTGAACACATATTTGTGACAATACAGAGTTTTCCAACCGAATTCACCAGTTTTTCCATTTGAAAAAGTCGGTTTTTAATCCGGATTAAGAAAGGGTTTGAAGCAGTCTAGTTAATCTTACAGTTTCCATTGCTTTTAACCTTTTTTCCGAAAGAAAAAATCTGTGTATGTCAATTTTCAATGACAATTTTCCGAATACAAAGTGACTTGTATTTAATCATGTTTTTTGTGGTAATAATTACCTCTTATAATTAAAGCTTGAGCATCGGATAAAATTTTTTTGTATTGACGGCTGTGTGAATTATTTTGGGCTAATGAAAAATGAATTGATAGAAAAAAATAAACTATACTTGACCAAACACTGACAAACAAGGTTATGGTAACAAGAGTCGAGATTCTGATCTTTTCTTTTGGAAAAAAGTTGCATTGCAATGGAAACGAAAAGATTAACCTATTTTCTTTAGGCTGTTTCTAAAGCCCAGATTAAAAACCGACTTTTTCAAATGGAAAAACTGGTGAATTCGGTAGGAAAACTCTGTACCTCTTTTACCCTTATTCATTGTAAATATTTACTTGAGATTCTTTGGTTTTTAGGTTGTTACAAAATATACATTTTCAGTGTTACCCTGGACAACAGTAAATATGACTGTTTGCCTATTGAGATAAAAATGGCAAAAAGTCAACGAAAGCAGAAGCAAGCAGCAAAAAAAAAGGAGAAAAACACATTTTTGGATGCAAAAGGAATGAAAGACATTGAAGACAAAGAAAAGGAACAAAATGAAGATGATATTGCAAATGTCAAATTCAACTGACAGATTATTTTATTTCATTGCTGGCATATCTTACATTCCCTGTTGATCATCCAATATCATCACCAATCTAATGGAAAAATAATTTACTCCAGAAACATTAGCATATAATGTTGCTAATATCATCTTCAGCTTGCATCTTATCTGGATGAACCAAATTTCACTCTTGTTCCTCATCTTTTATCACCTTTACCATCTTGATAATATGCTAATAGCATTAAAACTGCGGGCCCATCCCTTAGACATTGAAACTGTTAATATCACTCTATCCATCTATCCGTTTAATATTATCAGGCTCATCTTCATCACCAGCCTGTGAAAATTTAATTAACAAGGTTAAAGCTAAATTTGGTGATCATTAATTGATATTATACAACAACAGCAAAGTAGACCTTAATTAACACAAGCCGAATCAAAAAGAAGTGTAAAACAAAAGGCAAACTTGTATTCATACACATTTGTATTTAACCATGTTAAGTGTGTTAAAACACGAAACATTTCTGCTGTTAATAATAAACTGTAACCTACCAAGTTATCAGCAACATCACAAGTAAAATTACATGAAAAGTTAAATTACAATCTTAACACTGATTAACTATTTTCACCAAGGTTAACTGAATCACACTTTTTTCTGCCAATAAATAAGTTTAATAAATAGCAAACTATTATCATTAATTTTTCTCCTTCTAGTTAATGTAATATTAATATTGTTAATAATGTAAAACACTAGATGCCTTTGATGATAACATTTTCAATCTAATTTACTGGTGTTCAACATTTTTTGGTAACTTTTTTTTCTCATTAATATTCTAATCAATCGTCTTACAATATAAATTATATTCACTTACCAATACACTTAATGTACATTAATTTTAAGAAAGCAAAAACGACCAGAGAATATTAATAATGAAATTATTTTTACTAAATCAGGTTCTTAAAGGTATTCAAGTAACTTCCAGTGAACTTGGCTTTTATTTAAATTGAGACAAAGTTGGAGAAGAAGAAAAGAGTTGGAAATGAATGTTTAAAGTTAATTAGTAAAGTTAGTTACAGGGTAATCTTAGCATCAATCAATAATGGCAATTCAACAATACGAAGGGCTAAGGGTGGTAAAAATCCATTGAGGAAAAAGAAGGTAAAGAGATGATGAAGATGATGAGAAGATGATGATAAGAGTAAAGACAGTGGAGATAGTGAAGAAACTCTTGTTTCTACCTGATTGAACCTTAGTGATTCTCAGTGTTACTTTAGTTTTAAAGGTAAAACTTTTTTTGGAGTAAACGCTTTTCAGGTTAAAAATGCTCATTGATAAGTTAACAAGGTAACTTTATGAGGGTTGAAGGAAATGAAGAAGAAGAAGAAAGCGAAAAGGAAAACACATTAAGAGGTAAAAGTGAAAGACAAGGTACAATATAATGATTATAATGATAATAGGAATGGTAATAATAATAGTAATAATGATAATATTGAAAGACAAAAAAGTTGCTAAAAAAGGGAAAACTGTAAAAAAAGGAAATGAATAAGACGTTGAAGAGAAGTGGAAGAAAGATGAAGAGAGAAGAAGAAATGAGAAAGATTTAAATCACCTTAGATTCCTAATGTTAAGGTTCCTAAATGATGTGTCGTTGCGGGCAAAAAGTGGAGGGAAGCAAAGTAAAAACAGTGAGCATCATTTTCAAACGAGATGATGATGATGATGGTGATAATAATAGTAGTTTAGGTATAGTGATGAAGGTGAAGACGAAGGCCCAAGAGTAACCAAAATGGCAGAAGAGACAAAAAATGTTTGATTCTGGAAAAGCATTTTACTTTGAGTTTGTCTTTTTTTTACCTTCATAGTCATTTTTTTTTCCTATTACCAGGTAAAGCGATAGTTTGGATGAAAATTATTGTCAAAAATAGCCTAAGAGCCTAAGAGGGCCTTCGGTCATTACAACGAATCATCATTTTATTTATCTTAACTTTTTTTTTCTTGGGCTGCTTGTTGCTTTGTTTTGTGGCCTCGAGAAACGATGAAACCAGTGACTAGTTGTTGCTGTTATAAAAAAAAGTGGATTCATTATCATCATCATCCAAGGATGGAAGAAGAAGAGTGGAGAGTGTAGACTGAGTGGACTGAGGAGAAGCTTCTGTTAATCATTCTCAATTTGGCAAAATAGTTTGGTTTCAATGTGGCTTAACTTGATTTCTCAGGTCATTTTAACTTCATCATTATCATCATTAACATTAACATTATTTTGATTATAAGAGGAACCAGACGGCACAACATTTAATCGACATCAAGATGATCACAGCCACCATCATCATTGCAAATTATTAGATTGAATTTGAAAGGTTAATTTGGATAACCATTATATATCAACTGTTGCTGGATCCTTTCCTTGTTCAACCAACTACCAATGGTTTAGGCCTGAAACAGAAAGATATGAAGATGAGTAAAGAGTAGGATAACTGTTTTATACTCAAAATGCTGGCTATACATCATTATAATTATCATCTGACTTATTTTTCAACCCATTACAATTACCAATCGATATAAATTGTCGCCTCATAATGGTTAATGTTAAATAAATGTTAATGGTTATATAAATATATATAAATATATATAAAACTCTTAAACAGCAAAAAGATAGGACAGTGAAGAGAAGAAGAAGCGAAATAAAGGATTTGATGTTACATCAATAAAAAAGTAAATTAAATTATTGTCATTATTATTATTTACCATTATTTTCTTGGTGTAAGAAAATAAACCTTAACCTAAATATTATTAGATCAAGTGTAGTTGTTGTTGCTGGTGATGATAATGATGTTGAAAGGAAACATTTTTACTTACCTAATACTTTTTTTCTTTGTTGCAAGACTTTCTCTCTCCTTGAGATTGTGTTGTACATTGAATGAGAGATTTAGTTTTAATTAACTCTATTCTCTATCAATAGAGATGAAAATCAGCAATTTACTCGACAAACTTAATAAACTATTAGCATGGTTATAAAAGGAAATTGTTAGCATTCTTTATCCTCAACAATAATGATTAACGATTTATTTTTGTTTATTGAAAATATTTTTATTCAAAAATTATACATTTTGACCGTTAAATAAGATACTGATGAATAGCCCGTGTTGACATTATTTTCACTAACTTCTCTATTAAAAGAGCAACTTTTGTATGTGTTTACCTAATGAATGGTTAATGTAACTATCTTCTGTGGCCAATTTAATTATCAACTTTGTTTAATTTACACGGTTAAATTCACCTTTTTTTCATCACTACTAGCTAAGCAATGATCGTTTAATCTTCTCACATGAATATATTGTTCAAAGATTCACAAGGTAAGACCAATTAATTGAAAAGCAATTATTACGCTTATAAAGTGTGAAAAGGCTAAAAACAAAAGCAAACAAGTAAAATTTAATATCCTTGTGTTAATAACATCTTGTTTCATTTCAGTTCTGACTTTCTCTTTCATCTCAACGGATATTATTGATTATTGTTATTATGGTTAAAGATGATTCGGATGTTTCTGGGGACTCAGAAGATTCTTCAGTGTTATCATCACTTCCCGCATTATCTTCTTTGGTTAAGAGCAAAGAGTAAATGAATTTATAGCGGAAATGATTCAATCAACTCCAGTGAAAGTAAACAGGGTTCATGAATGCTGACTATTCTGAATCTTAATAATGAATCCTTTTCCCTTAACCATGTTCACCAGGCTTTTTGAATGGTAATTGTTTTCTTCTTGTAATTACTATTGCAACTAGAAAAGCAATTACAAAAGACTCTGACAAAGCTTTTGTTAAAGGCTGTGTGTTAAAAGTAATGGCGATGTTAGAGACTTTTATATCAATTATATGGATATGACATGGATATTATCATCATGGATTTGTATTAATCATTATTCACGAGTTGAACATCTAACAAAGTTGATAAAAAAACATTTGATGCAAGTCAGGACCAAGGAAGTGAAGCTCATAAAGCCAAAGTAAATATTATTTTTTGTTACTTTTTTAACAATATCAACATTCAAAAGTGATTGTAAATTAGATTGACCAGGAAATTGTTGCTTTTAATATTTGCTCAATTTATTTTGATTATAAAAATAATGTGCGCTTTAAATAATCGAAATTGATCTTTTATTAATTGTTATCATAAATAACATTAACCCTTAATTTAATTTCACTTTTGACAATTTTTCGACTCAATACATATGAATAAAATCAGAATGTAATCCAGATACGATTCATTGACAGAAGCAACAATAAGAGGATGAAAAAAACGATAAAACTGGCAAAGATTGATAATCAATAAGAAAATAAGTCAAAATTTTTCTCTTTTTTCTTCCCTTAATTTATTAGTTGATTAAAAACATGATGATAAGCTGACACAACTGAAGCTAAAAAGCTTAAGATGGAGCTGAGATGAAGGGAAAAAAATCGCTGGAAAACAATGAAAAGGCTGAAAAACATATGATTAATAAACTGGCTGATGATTTGATTGTCAACAATATTTAATTGAATGGAGCTGATGATTGAGCAAAGAAAATTCGATTTTTTTCATCTCTACTTCGACAGACAATCAAGCAGAATAAAAGACGACAAAAAATGGTTAAAAATATCAAAATTGAATAAAAGAAATGAGGTTCTTCATTTTTACTTTTCTGGCTAAACGGTTTCGAATTTAAGGTCATTCCTCAGGTTCCTTGTTATCGCCATCCTTATTGTCATCACTCTTATTCTCATCTCCCTCATCCTGATTAACATCAGGTGAAATGGTTTGGTTTTGCTTTACACCTTCAAATCACTATTGATTTTACACTTAACCATTCTTGATGGTTCCATTGATCAACTGAAGAATTGATTTCGATATTTTTCTCATCTCCTTTCATCATTCATCTATTTCATTTTAGACAATTACTCATTGGTGCTAATTATTTCTCATCAATCGACTGCTGGATTACAATTTATTCAATTTTCCAACTTTTGTGCAAGGAAATTGATAGATTACCAAACGATCATTTAGTCTTGAGATGAAGGTAAGTTTAGAGTTTATGAGTTTAACTTTTCTTTTTTTTCCTTCTTTACAAATTTCCCAGTAGATCAACAATTAACCTAATCCGCTATCAACCATTAATCAATCTTGTAAAGTTGAATAGTGTAATTTGTTCAAAAATTTGTATAACAACTTGTTTTCACTCGATTCTTTCTTTACAGTTTATTGGCCATATTTTTATTGTCATCTGTTTGACCGATGTAAAATGGACCACTCACTGTTCCCCGTCAAACGTGAAACTTGATTTTGGAATTAATCTTCCACCAATGACCTTTCGAATGCCTAGTTTCAATTTTCCTAAACTCAAGGTAACTGCTGTTATCCATGGATCAAAGCAACCTCGTCAACACAATAGGATAACACTTCCAGCAATCAGTGTAAACGCTCAATCATTAGAACCAGATACTGGTAGTTGGTCAGATGGCAGAGAAACTGAATCACATTACTATGAAAGAGATGGTGAAAGTGGCAGTGAAAATTACTCTGATGGTGGATGGAGTAGTGATTCAGATGGTGAAGAGTTAAGGGTTAATGAAGAGCCTCGGTCAGTGTCTGTTCGAGATGAGCTATCTCAAGTTCAATCGAATAATGAAGAAATTAAAGAGATGAAACATTACCACGGTGGTCGCCCTATCGGACTTGCTGATAAAATTGCTGAAGCTTCTGCATCTGCATCGCCTCCATCTCCATCTCCCTCTTCGTCATCATCATCACCAACATCCTTTTCAAAATCAAAAAATCATTTTCATTCTAATAGATTGCGTGAACCTCAATCCAATCATGGACAACAACAATCAAGTTTAACTTCACCACCTTCATGGTCGCCCCCATTGGACACTTCCGTTCCACCGACAAACAATTTAATTATTCCTGATGGAACCAACATTAATGCTTTTGAGTATCTTAGGAAAGATTTCAACTCACAAGCTAATCATGTTTCGATGAATCAAAATCGAGAACAAAATCAACCTCAACAATTGATGTTTTCACCCTCACCTCAAACAGTTAATCAATATCATGCATCTCATTTAACTCTCAGTCCAAGTGAACCTTTTATCGCTTATGGTGGAGACTCTTCATTGGTCAATAAGATGACACCTTTTGTCAGGCAATCAACAACAAATGTAAAAATGAATGAACCCAATACAGCTCTTGGACAACCAAATAGCAACATCAATTATCAACAATCAGATAATTCAAGATCATTCAGACACTCGCAAGTTGGTATGGAGCCAGCAATAGGAACAATTATAAATTATCAGGATTCACCTCAACTTTTAAGTCAAACAATGGAACCTTCCTACATTGGCAGCCTTTTACGTCCAATTAATCTAACAAATAGCTAATTGTGTTATGAAAAATCTCATAATTTGCCGCAATTAAAATTGTTTGAGTAAATGATGAAAACTTATTAAAGATGAGAACCAAAAGTAACCTTAAACGTTACAATAAGAAAATGAAAGTTGAAACAGATCGCGAATAAATTATAAAAAATAATTAGATAAATAATTTAAAGACGAAACAAAATGACAATATCAATGATTGTTATTAAGTAATAATTATAATATTACAAAAGAAGTGTTGGGAATGACAATGTTAATATAATTCATTGTTGTTGATACAAAACAGTGGCTCATGATTAGTATCAATTTGATGAGAAGGATGAAAATATCACAGGTAATACTGGGTCTATCTGAGTGTGTAGCATTATCAAGGTGAGCAAAAGAGAAGAGAAAGAAATGATCATCAGGTTGAGCTTTTCAATTGTGATTTCCATGTAACATCGATTGACTATTTACTCATCCATTTGGACATTAAATTTTCAACCAACAAAGAAAGATGATGATGATGATGATGATGAACTAGCTGGCACATAGAGCTACACACTTTGATATTTAATGTTATTTACAGATAACTTTTGTTTCCATATAAATTAAAGTTACAATAATAATACAATCAATTCAATTCTTACAATCATTTGATTTTTCTTGTTTAACACTCCCAGAAATGGTATAATTGTTATACCATTAAAAATTTAATTATTGTTGGCAGTAAACATAAAAATTGTTCACTTGATTTGGCAGAAAGCGCAACTTCATGATGATGGACTTGAGCTTGGATTCATTGGTTGAATATTAAATTGGTTGATAACAAAAAAAAAGAGATTGATTCAAATGAGAACAATTGAATTTGATAAATTAACAATAAATTAAGTAAAAATTAACAACAGCAGTAACAACAAGATTTAAAAGCTTTTATATGTTCAAGTTATTTTCACACAATCTCAGGTCTCCTTTGATCATTTGGATTAACCAGGGAAAGGTTTTCACGTAATTGTTGATCAATTCGGTCTTTGTTGATATAATTCACAACCTGTGATTGACAAGGATAACAAGCAAAATTAAGTTGATAGTGAGGATGAGAGGATGATGATGGTGTTGATTGAGAAAGGCCTGAAGGTGCATTTAGTGAAACACCAAGTCCTGAAGATCGCAATGAAACATTTTCTTGAACTATTGCTGGTAAAGCTTGTAAAGTTGATGTTAAATCTGTTGATTGTTGCTGTTGTTGTTGATGATGATTAATATGATGATTATTGATTGGTAACATGAAGTCACCTCCATTGTAAATTGAATTGTCTCTCCGTTGGTATTTATTTGACTCACAATCAACCGGCATAAACAGTTTAGCCGTGTAAGGATCATCATCGATACACTCATAAACATGTTCAACAACTAATCCAATGGGCAAAGGTAAACCTGTGGCTGTTGGTCGCATATGATGAGTTGGATGAAGGGTTACACCAAGAATACCTTGATTTGGAGAGGAAAGTCTATGATGATGAATTTGCTGTTGAATCTGTTGTTGTTGCTGTTGATGGTGGTGTTGATTTGAAGCGGCACTTGGTGCCGTTAACGAACTATTGTTGACAGTTAAAGTGTTCATTAATTGGGAACAACCATAAGTTAAATCTTTAACAGATGAACTAGAGTTGGTTGTTGAAGGAAGTAAATATTTTACTCCTAATGGAGCGATCACATTCAATGTTGACCCTGATCCTGGGCCAATGATGGGATCGCGAATGTAATGAGCTGCATTTTCCGATGCCATGTACTTGGATGTTGGTGTAACTGAGATTAAATGTCCACCTCGTTTGCGAAGGGAAGACACGTCGTCTTTAAGACTGGCTCCTGGTTCCATTGGAGCAATGTTTCGAGAGCAAATTATTTTACCATTCAAGGCAGAGGCCAGTGACAAGAAGCGATTCTTGATGTTGCTATCACGAATGTAGAGGTAGAAAAAGAGTCCAAGTGCTGATAGAGCGGCACCAAGGGCAAAGACAATGCCCGTTACAAGGTTGTTGGAAGATAAATTGCCTGATAACCATGAATTGGTTGACAATTGATTGCTCTTTTCATTAATCATTTCTGATCCTGAATCACTTTTCATCCACTGTTCATCATAACTGGATGCTGTTGAGGGTGACGTTGATGGTGGAACCATTGTTGATGAAGATTCACGATTAACACCCGGATGTGGATGTCGTATAAATATGGAAGGACTTCCATATTCTGTTGGTGAAACTTTATCTAATTTAACATTATCCGAATTGGATGATGTTGAAGACAATGAGGAAGATGAAGAGGACGGAAGAGATTCATAGATATTTATATAATCAGATTCACTTGAACCTGTGGTACTTTTACGGTGAGATGGATAAGGCGATGGTAAATCACTTTTACTCCTGGCTACAGAGTAATCACTTGAAGTGTCTGAAACTATTTCAGATTCAGATTCTGAAGGTGATCCTGGATGAGGATGTCGTATGTAAATGGGTCGATCATCAAAATCATTTGCTGCTACTTTAACACTTGTAGTTGATGCACGTTCCGAGAGTGATGATGATGCTTTGATTGGTGCTATTGTTGGTGATGATGTTTCAAGGTTTGGTGTGATTGGTGATGATAATTTGTTATAACCTATTGTCGATGAAGGTGTCGATGGAAACACTGTTGGCTTAATTGGTGTCGAAGATGGTAAACTGGTTGAAACGAAATTTCTTTCAATTGGATTTACTTTTAAACTAATCAATTTATTGGACCCTGATTTGGCTATTGATAAACTTGTATCATAATCATCTAATCGAGAAGCGTTAATATGTGTTGACGTTCCTGCGGCTACTGAATAACCCGAGTTTGGGTGTGTCAACCCATTTTTCATTGAAATTTCATCTTTTGAAGTATTGGGATGAACATGGTTAACTTCAGGTTTAAGGGATGCAAATGATAATCCTGATGTCTGAGTGACTGAAGGCAACGTTGAGGTTGTTGTTGATGAAAAGGAAGATGAACTTGGTAAAGATGTTGATGGTGATGATAATGGTTTACCAGGTAATTTGCTTCTTGAGGTTGTTGACTGCCATCGATAGCGTTTCTTTTGATTGTCTGAAATAACAAAATGGGGAGAAAAAAGAAAAAGAAAATCAATTAATTTGCTAATTTTTCCCTTCTTTTTCTGGTTCAACCTAAACTTTTCATAAATCATTTTACTCCAATTTATTCCAATGGTTAAAAGAAGGAAGAAAACAAATGAACATTTTCTGGAATTTTTTCCTCTTTTCAATTTGAATCATTTTGGTGGGAAAGGAATGATGAGGAAAAAGGAAACAACAAGAGTTGATGAAAGTGAATGTTTTGTTGTTATTATCATCAAGTGGATCAAATTGTTGATACAAAATATGCAATAAAAAAAGAGATGTGAAAGAGAAAGGCTTTACAACAATGGAAAAGGTTAAGGATTCAAGTTTGTGTTTGGGGTTAAAGGTAAGGGTAAAGGAGGGGAAATTTGGTTGAAAAGAAATGTTGAGATTGTGTTGACAGTAGGAAAATGGAGTAAAATAAGCGAAAGAAGGTGAAAAGGTTAAAAGTGTTCAGGTAAGATTAGGATAGAGAAGAGGATTAAGGTAAAGATAAATAGAGAGAGAAGTTACGAATTTGTTGATCAAAAAGAATGGTAAAGAGAAGGTAAAAAAATGGAGATTTAAAGACGACTGAACAAGTTGATTGTCAATTGTTATCTGCAAACAGAGGTGAGTTTATTCAATGATAAAGGTTTCAATGAAATATATCAACAAGAATAGGACAGTTTATCGGATTAAACGAAAAGTGAATGCAGCAAAGATTAGCAAACAAAATGGTAAACCGATTGAAGATGAGGAAGAAGAAAAAAATGTTTAAATAAACACGTATTTTATATTTTTGGTCAAGAAAAGATGAAGGTAAAGGTTAAAGGATAATAACTCGTGCAATAGCAATGAATTAGCAGTTAATTCCTTGCTTTTTTAAGGTTAGTCAGTAAAGAAGCTTAAAAAATTTGTAGTCAGATATAATCTGAAAGGATAATGATGATAATAGCCAGCATAAATATAATGGCAATCATTATGTTAATATGACCTAATCAATGTTGTAATTTTGTTTTTTTTTCATAAATTTGGTCCCTTACATTGAACGTCTTAAGTTTGACCTGAAGACTTGCAGTAAATTAGGAAGATATTGAAGGATAAGGGAAGAGAGGATGAAGACAAAGATGAACTGTAACTTGAATAGACTGACTACAAGACTTCAAACAAAGTTGAAGCAAAAAAACTCCATAGGATAACAGCGATTCGCATTATACTCTTTATTTTGACCCTAGGAGGCCGCTCATATTTTGTCTAGACGTAAGTCTAGATTAGGGTCAAGATTGGCAATGGTGATGAGAAAGGACAACAACGATGACAACAGGTCAGTGGTAAGATGATCAAGAAGATGGTTTTGGGTAAACGTTTAAAAAAACGTAAAAGACTGTGTGCAAAAATGTGCTTTGGAGTTGAATAAAAAATGTCTAACAAAAGATATTTGCTTTTTTTACTTTGCTTAAAAAAATATTATAAATATTAATAGACAACAAAAGGTTCATGCTAAGAGTTTTTATATTACAAAATAATAAGTAACAAGGTATTAGGAGAGCCAAAATTTAATATTGAAAAGAAAGCAAAAGTACCTTTATAACGATATTCAGAGTACATAATGCACATAATGTTTAAATGTTGATAATAGCAATGATAATAGGAATAATATGAGTAACTAACGAGAGAAGCTAAAAGTGGAAATTACGTTCAAATAGAAATGGTAAAGTAAATATTGATGAAAAAGTGCAAAGTTATATTTGCTTCCTTCCTTATAATATATCCATTGGATGAATAGATAAAGGTATTCAAAGTTTAGAGGTCAACATTTTTAAGGTAAAGGTTAACATTTTGTATTTATTTAAGCTTACCTGGTAAACATTGGTAATGGGCTTCAAGATATTTTGGAGTTTCAGGGCATGGGTCACCGAAATGGCCACTATTTGCAGGAATAACGCAACTTTGTTTCATGCCACAGCTGAAAGAGGAGAAGGTCGAGATTAATTTTATTTCAATATTTCAAGTTTTGATATTTTTCAAGTTTAACAAGGCAAGTAAACGAGACGCCTGATTTGAATGAGAGATGTCATGATAGAGTATGTTGAGTGATGAAAAACACTGTTGTACTTTTTCTGGAAATTTAGTTGTTCCTCAGATATTTGGCTTTGAAATTTGGCCATTTTCATTGAAATGGTTTTTAAAAAATGTAAAATAGTCTAATCAGTTCTAGTCTAGTAAAGGTATTAAGGTTTATTAAGGCAAATTTATCTGAAGATAAAGATGAAGTCACAAAAGTAAAGGTTAATCAAAGTGCAGGAGCCAATACAATTGAACGATTCATCTTTGTCGTCATGTTATCACAATTTTCATCTTAATCTTGAGATAATTTTGCCAGAAATAAACCTTAACATCCTTTAGGTAAAGGAGTAGGTGAAAGTATGGAGGTTTTGGGTTGAAATGTCGGTGACTTTTTTTGTAAATTGCAGGTGATTTCATCAAATCTTAATCCATCGAATCGAGATTAATTTTTTAAATTGAAAGAATGATGGAAAGATAAGGTGTGATGTCACAAGTAGATAACGACATATTGAGATTTTTAATTTCAATGAATGGTTGATGGAAGTCACCTTAATTGGAATGATTTTTGAATTTTGTAATTTTTTCATGGTTTGAAATAATTTGAAATTATGTAGTTATGAAAAATTGAAGTTTTGTTATAGCTTAACGAAATCAATAATCAACAAAAACTGGAAAAAATTCCAATTCAAAAATTCAAAAATCATTCAATTTAAAAAAAAGTTACCGAGATTTCAACCCAAAACCTACAAGGCTAGCCCTGAATGTACTATCTTACAGTTTCTTAAAAATCATTTCAATGAAAATGGTCAAATTTCAAACTCAAACATCTGAGGAAACACTTGATGGAAAAAGTACAAAAGGGTTTTTCATAACTCAACATGTTCTATCCTCTTTCATTGAAATCCCTTCCAGGCGTCTTGTTTACTTCCCTTGTAAGTTGAAGATGATTGGAATTTGTTTGAATCCTGTTAATGGAAATAAATTCTTACCTTTCTTCCATTACTCTGAAGCTGATCGGTGACACACAGTCAACCTTCATCTCGTGACTTCCATGTTCGTTACATGTTTGAATAGAGAAACGTCCAAAATTGGCTCGAATCAGGTTGATGTGAGTATCTTTTTCACAAACAATTTCCAATACACTATTTTCACAGGCAGTTGCGGTCCGATACTGTGCTCCTACTGCACGACATGAGATGGCACAAAATGAAAACAGTAAGATTAGCATGAATAAGTACATTAGTTGGGACAATTAGAAAACATAACAAGAACAGAAGAGTTGATCAATGAGTTGAACAGCCGTAACTTCATCAGTAGTTTCAAGTTAAGTTAAACTTTACGTGATGGCAACTGTACGTGTTCAAGATAAACTTTACAATGAAGTTCAAGTCACTATCCTCATATCGGTTCTGTATTCCTTCCACTAGGTGGCGGTATTATGGAATGTGGCAGCAGCCGCCATCTGGCAGAACAAAATAACACTTTGAAAAAGTCATAATTTTCAGATTTAACATCAAGTTCAAGCTTCATCCTCAGTTTTCAAAACAAAAAGTCATCTTTGAGATTGAAAAAGTCTGTATCTTCAAGATACCCGATGGGCAGTTTGTCGACTTAACTTTGTAAGTCTAAGTTCCATCCAATTTTAGAAACCGACTTTTTCCATCGGCAAAAGGACTTTGCGCTTTGAAACAGAGGTTTTAAAATAAAAGCTTAGCTTCAACTTGAAGAAGCTTAAACCTGAGCGAAGATTATGACTTTTTCGCACGAAAAAAGACTGTATTGAATGTCTGGGTAAGTGAAAGCACTAAAAATAATTCTTGTTTCTCAGTTTTCCCTCAAATATTATGCTAAGCCGAAAACCAAACAAAGCATTAACAGAGTCTGGAACATTACAGCAGGTCAAAATTAAGCACAGTTCTCCGACTGAAGATAGCGGCACAAGTGATTATACAGCAACCGTTGCCATCACTCGCACCTACACTAGCACCTACACAAGAATCTGAACTCTTGAGTCCTGAATCTAGACGCGCTGCTTTATCTTCATCTTTATCACCTTCAACTTCCACCACAACGTATGCTGTATATTTTTCATGGAAAATGAAACTAATCCTGCTACTTTGGGTTATAAAATTCTCATGACTAACATTTCTTTGCCCATTCTACGTAAAATATTAGCTTATTTTTCCTTGCTGAAACTCCGCTCTGATTCATTTAAACCTCCTGAACATGAGCCGATCAATCAAGCAGCTCTGATTCTTGCAATAAAAGGAGTATTGAGTGCCATCGAAAGAGCAGAAGAGCCTATAGAATTAAGCTGGAAAAAAGTGAAAAATTTTGAACTCGCAGAAGCTGCGGGTTTCATCTCGCCAATGGATGATGCATCGCCTCAAGACAACCCTCAACCATCTACAAGTACATCTGCAGCGTCTGTTTCAACTACTAAAGCATCAAAGCGCTCAAGTCAAAAATCAACCGGTAAAAATACAGGTTCAAAAGCAGTAGCACTTACAGAGCCTGGAACATCACAGCAGATCAAAATTATGCAAATTTTCCCAACTGAAGATAGCGGCACAAGTGATGATACACCGTCCGTTAAACAGATGACTGGATTATTAGTACCAAAAGCTAAAGCTGTTCGTTCAGCTGCTCGGCGAGGACGGAACTCATCGTCTTCACTTTCTTCTGTTACTCCATCGTCATCTCCGTTCTCTCCAACATCTCCATTTTCACCAACATCACCGCCGATTGAACGTCCACCTGTTATTGTTCGTGCACCGCAACTTTCCCCTCGAGCACCATTGCCATCATTTGCAAATACACTTGCACCTACACTCGAACTATCACTCGAACCTACTCCCGAACCTGCACTCGAACCAACGCTCTTGAGTCCTGAATCTAGACGCATTACCTTTTCATCTTTATCACCTTCAACTTCCACTAGAGCAACATTGCCTTTACTCGAACCTTCATTCCTAAGTTCTGACTCTAGACGCACTCTAGTAGATTCATCTTTATTACCTTCAACTTCCACTGCAACGAGCTCGAAAGAACCGACATATGGATTAATAGTTAAATTTGTGGTTCCTTTTGTAAATCCTTGTCAATTTTTTCGTTGATAAATAACCAAAATCATTTGAATGTACTAGCAATGAATTTAGATTGTAACTACAATGTATGCAATATGTTGAATAATTTCATATTTATCACATTTATTGAGCAGTGATTCAAAATAATGGGAACTCCTAATGTCACCAATTGAATCCAATCATCTGGTTAAAGTAGAGTCATCATGGATGGATTAGTTCACTGCAGACCATCGCAAAGTTGCCAACTGAAAGGTAAATTTCATCTTATTCCTAGATTTACATCTTAACTGCTTCCATTGATTTGATTTTACTTGGTTTCCTCATATAAGACGTGATATGGCTGCAATAAGCTCTAATTCAAAAAGCTTACTAACTTTTGATTAACTCGTGATCTTCATCTGCTCGACATTCACTTGAATTTGTTGCTAGTCTCGGGTATCAATTATTCAACCTGAACCTAAATGGATTCCCAGTAAAGAATAATCTGATCAAATTAGTCAGAGAAGCATTGATAACGATCGTTGTACTTAGGTTGTTTGGTGATAATCTAAGGATGATATTCTTGGATTATAATTAAGGTTATACTCAAAGATTAAAGACATCTTAGATCATTTGACAAAACTAAAATGATGAATTTATTGAATACAATTGAACACTTAAAAGACGATAAAAGATTATATCATTGTGAGCAACATTATGAACTTTAACAAAGAGTTAGTTTGCGTCAAGGTAACAAAACTCTTCTTTAGTCATCCAACTTTAACCGCTAATTTCAATTTGCATTATTATATCGCAATTTCAGATAAAATTACAATAAATCGACTGATTTTATCGCCATACTTGCTGTAAATCCATTGATAAATGTATTGTTTCATTGATAAATAACCAAAATCATTTGAATGTTACTCACAGTGAATTCAGATTGTAAGTACAATGCATGCAACATGTTCATTAATTTCATATTTATCATAATTTTAATAAAAGTTGGAAATCAGTTCGGAGAAACTAATGATAGATGTCGCTAGTCAACACACAATTTAACAAAAATCAAAGCTTCTTTGCTGTTAACTAACAACTAAAACAACTACCAACATCAAACATTGGAAAGCTTATAACTCTCGTTTTAGCTAGTGTTTCTTAGCTAATAGCTATTTCTCTGTGAATCAGTTGATTTTTTTTAATTTTAAATTAACATTTTTCTCCAAGTTCAAGTGTTGATTTCACCAATTATACTGACAATACTCTCACTTTTGAGTTGCTTTCTCTGCCAATTGATAAATCTTTTAATCCTCATCATGACCAAATACAATTTCTCAAAAGGACAACTTGAAACTAAAGTTGCTCCAGTTACTGATGATTACTTGATCAGTGATAAAGTTCTTGGTCTCGGTATCAATGGAAAGGTTGTTGAATGCATTCACAAGAAAACAGGAGCCAAATATGCTTTGAAGGTAAGCCATTTTTCGTTCATTTTCCCTCTTCAATCCCTTTTTATTAGCTTGAAAATTGTATTGTAAAATTTCATGTTTTACTCTTTCACTTTTGTTATGTTCAAGTGCTACTTTTATCAATGAGAGTTTCAATGTGCTTTTAAGTCTACTTATATGGTTAATGTTTCCATTTTATCATTTAAATTTAGTTCGATTAATATTCCAATTTAAGCTCGTTCAATTATATTACTCTATTTTAATTGACACTATTGTAGTGTGAAAAGTAAGGTTAGATTTTAGCTTATCAAAATACCATTATTGCTTATCGGTAATCATTAGGCAAATTAAGCAATTCAGTATTTTATTTCAAGAACATTCAATTTCACTCGTTAACTTTAACACCAAATCAACCAATATCGATAGAAAGTAAACAAAGCACTACAATTGAACCAGTTTTACGATATCATCACAGCATTAACAAGCTTTCTTAGGTACAAAAGCTATCTTCTGACAAAGTAATTAATGATAACTTGCTATGTAATTCAACTCTTATGCTGTTACAAGCTAATCTGATAACATTAATTGCTCAACTTTACTTGAAAAAGCCAGTCCAGTTGTAATCTTTGTAATTTGGTAATAAGCTTTTTTACCCGCTCTTTTCAAATTTTTTTACCCAAAAAATTCTGGTAATTCCATGTTACATTTATCTCCATTTCTAGTTTAAACAATCTTTTACAATTTAAAGCTTAAACAAATTAACCTTGTAAAATTGTTTAAAACCAATTACGTTGATAATTGCAATTTAATGTTACGTTAGAACCAGTTTTATTTCATTTTCATGACTCTACAAGTTCACTCTAGATTGATTTGTCCAATTCAGTGGAATTTTTTAGATAATTTTTTTTTCTTACTTTTCCAACCATTTCTATTGCAATCACACACCTAAATTATTATCAACAATTTGTTCATCATTGTTCGATTGTTCTTACAGATAGTTAACTAGCCAATCAAATTGAGATATTCATTCAATTCAATGGAATCGATTACAATACCTAATATATCCGGAATAAAATTAGACACAATCAATGACGTTTGTTAATCAATCTAACGTCAAAATTAACGTTAATCATGAAAGGTTAAACCAAGCAATTTATATTTAAAAAAGGCTCGTTTCAGCTATAAAACACAACTGATAGTGTATACATAATTAATTATCTTGCTAATTACACTTTCCTCTGGTAAAACCAAAAATTTCTCAATTATAATTGTTCATCTTCTGTACACAATTCCAGTCTCTGTATGCCTCAACCTCACCATTGATTAACCAGTACATCAACCTGTTTCTTAAACCTGATTAACATCAGACCAAACCTTTCATTAATCATTGCTTGTCAATTCTTACTCTGTTTAATCCTGGTCGGATTAACAGCACTTTCATTGTTAATCTCAACCCAATAGACCAAAACATTTCACTCAATCTGTTCAATTGGTTCATTATTCATTTAAAATGTTGAATGTCAATATTTTTAGATCAATAATCCTATTCAGACAAGGTTAAGGCATCCAATTGAGCAAATTTTCATCATGATAATCTGAATCTTAAAATTTGTCCCTGAAGCTGTCGATAACATGTTTCCTTTCCGCTGTTTATCTTTAAATTTCAATCATCCGAAGGACCTCTGGTTCCTCTTCAACCTTTTAAACAGTTTCAAGTTTTACTAATTGTTTTATCTTTCTTTCCTTGCTCTCTATCATGATCATGATGAAATATTCTGCTATCACTTTTGGATCAAAGCCATAGCATGAAAAAGAGACTCAACTGATATCATCACTGCTCTGATTGACAAAAAAACAACTAATTTCCTCACAACCTTTAGTAGTTTTTTTGTCATCGTCTTATTTTTAGCTTAAACCTTGTTTACATTTCGTTTAATAATTCTTGACGAGGATGAATTTTCCCTGTGAATTACACATGAAACCTTGTTGCCTTTCCTTTCATCTACAGGTTTTCCTGTTGATTTATTTTTAACGACTCATTTTAAAGCATAATTATCATTGAATTGGCCTAAAAAATGCCAATAATGATCACTCTTTAAGATTTACCTTGTAGCTTCCAATCTCAATTTTAGTCGTTTAAAGACACACAGCCAGTTTAATGCCATTGAACCTACAATTCAACTTTTTTATTCAATTTCATTTTCACCCAAAAATTGCAATAGCCCCGAGAATTCCAAGAAAACACATCAGAAACAGGAATGAATGATCTGATGAAGATTGTCTATTTTTTGTTGAATCAAAGTCCATTTCTATTTTCTCCTTCATTTATTTACTCTTTTGTTGTATCCGTTTTCCTCTGTTAATTACAATTTAGTCTCGCCTTGAATTACCGCATCAAATGTGTTAACAATAACATGAAACCAATCGAACCTGAACTTCCTCTTTCTCCAGTCACAGACTCAAAATACAGATTTACTAATTTCACTTTTTCATTTTCTCTTTTTTCCTTTATATCAAGGTTCTTCGTGATAGTCCCAAAGCCAGAAGGGAAGTTGATCTTCATTGGAAAGCCTCATCATGTCCTCAAATAGTGAACATTGTCGAGGTTTACGAGAACCAATACAGAGCCAACAAATGTCTTCTGATAATTATGGAATGCATGGAAGGCGGTGAATTGTTTACTCGAATACAGGAGAGGGCAGAAACTGCTTTCACTGAACGTGAAGCAGCTGCCATTATGCATGACATTTGTGAAGCCATTCTCTACCTTCACACCATGGACATTGCCCATCGTGATTTGAAACCAGAAAACCTATTGTACACCTCAGCCGGACTCGATGGTAAATTAAAGTTGACCGATTTTGGATTCGCCAAGGAAACCAGTTATGCTAAAAGCTTGCAAACTCCTTGTTATACACCCTATTACGCTGCACCCGAAGTATTGAGCAGCGAAAAATACGACAAATCGTGTGATCTTTGGTCTCTTGGAGTTATAATGTACATTCTTTTGTGTGGATATCCACCTTTCTATTCAAACCATGGTCTAGCCATAAGTCCTGGAATGAAGAAACGTATTCGTGCTGGACAATATGATTTTCCAGAAGATGAATGGCGAAATGTTACCAAAGACGCTAAAGATTTGATTAAAAAGCTTTTAAATACTGATCCAGCGAAAAGGTTGACCATTGAAGAAGTCATGAAACACAAATGGATTAACAAATATTTAGAGGTTCCTCAAACTCCATTATGCTCAATAAGGGTACTTAAAGAGGATTTGGATCAATGGGTTGAGGTTCAAGATGAAATGACCCAAGCTTTGGCTACTATGAGAGTTGATTATGATTCAGCAATCCATTTGAAGAAACTTGAATCGACGAACAACCGTTTATTGGAAAAGCGTAAACGTAAAGCTTGAATATCAAATGTCATGCTTACTCATGGAAAAGTTGGAAATTGGTATTTTTCATTTTTTTCCATGAAAATAATTAGCCATTTTGATCAAAGCAACGACAACTATCATAGTGCATTTATTGGGATCAACCGTTTTATTTGTCTGCATTGTTTTTTTCAATGTTAGATTTGCTCAACTTGTATACTTGAATTACACTTTGGATTCATATTTTGCTGTCACTCAGATATAACTGTAACTTAAATCAACTCTTTCTTTTTTTTGTTGTAAATATTATTGCCAATTTTAGCAGTTAATTGCTATCTATTAATTTCATCACAATCACTATGCTCATCGCAAAGCTCATTGAGTTTAAGCATAATCTTTTGACTATAAACGTATAACAGTGTTTTTGTATATACAAGTCAACAATTAACACTTTGTTATCCACCATTTACTTCATTTACAATCTGTGAACTAATTGTCTTAAAGACTACATATTTCATTGATTACCATTAAATTTAATTTATACATTCACGCTTTTCAACCTCAAATCTATTTGCTTTTATAATTGTTAGCTACTGTTATTTATTTTCTGTTGCTTTATCACATTCTCAAAGCTTTCAGTCATTGATAGCAATGAAAACCTTGGATCAATCTTGTAAATTGTAAAATAATAGCTTGTATAATATTATCAGGATTAATGGCAAATCATTTTATTGTTTGAGTTTCAAAATAAATGTCAAGTCAACGTTATGTTATTGAAGAACGTAAACAGTAGACAATTGAGTTGATTAAATTGCTGTGATAAAGTGTAATCAAGATAAAAGAAACAGAATCATCGACACAATATTTCAAAGAATAGATGAAATGTTTTAATGAAAAAATAACAAATCTCATAACAAGGCAAAGCAAAGATTGAAAGTAATAATGCCAATTTGCACGGTAATCGGGAAAATTTTGTTGGTCATTCTGACAACTTCTTGATGGATCGTTTACATAATGTTGATTCGAGGTCAAGAAACTGAATTTTCGGAATTATCTGTCAATGAGACAACCAATTGCTATTTCTCAAGCAATACAAGATGAACATGAAAATTTTCAATTTTTGTTTGTAAAATCTTGACAATAAGAGCAAATGATTATTAGCCAATTGATGAATGCACTGTGATCCTTGAATATAAAGTGGACCTGATCCTTGATTCCTATTAAATCCTTTAACTATTCTCCTGATTCTTCTAAAAAAAATTTTCTTCCCTCTTGATTAGTGGTTCAAACCAAAACATATGACATTAAGCGTATTAATAACAGTTGTGATTGCAACTATTCAAGGTGAAATATGGTTGTGATTAAAATAGGGAAATTTTGAATCATTGGGAAATGATGAAAGTGATAAATCAGTTTATAAATAATACACTTTAATTTTTAGATTGACCATGAAAAACTAGGATGAACTTTGAATTGAAGTCATTATTATCGGTTCTAGTGATGTACAAATATTATTGTTTGAGCAATAATATTCGATATTTCTCTCTCGATATTTTATCGATATTTTTATACAATACAGTAAACTCTCACTTATTTTGACAAAAAAAACAGCTCCATCTAAGGTTATTTATTAATACCAACATGTCTCCAACAATTGATTATGACACTTTCAACAGCTCACCAAGCTTGAGTTATCAACATAATAGCCTCAAGTACATAAATTTGTTTTAATTGTTAGATTAATCAATACGGTCAACTAATTTTCTATTGAGAAGCCTTTTATAATGATCTTTAAAGCTTTTTATTATTCCACCATCCATTGTTTGCGTCACTGACGTTGTGTGGGCAAAATCCAACATGTAAGTTGTTTACATTTACCGGTATTTTATGACCTCTAAAATTGTCTAATAATAATAAGTCTTTCTGTTCCTTTTCTTTGTACTCTTTATCTAGGTTTGCCACCCATTCACCAAATATCTCTGAGGTCATCCATGCATTTTTACTATCTTTTTAATTGACCATTTCTTAGATATTAATGCCTTATGAGTAACGAGAATTTTAGGATTTGCCAATTATCATTGGTGGCAACATCTTGACCAACCGGACAATATGTCCTATTATTTACCTGTCGATAAAACACAGCAGTCTCATCTACATTAACAATTAGATCCCCAGTATAATCTTTCAAAAAAATAAATAGCTCAATCAACCATTTATTAACCTCACTAGTATCGACAGACTTGGCTTCCCCATTGACTTTTCTCAACACAATTCCATTCTTTTTCAATAATGTGTCAATCCACCAAGATGAAGCTCTGAATGTTGTCAACTCTAATTGTTCTGCTTTCTTTAAAGCTGTTGCTTTTATTAGTGACAAATTGTCAATATACATTTGTAATTCCCCCATAAAACAACCTCAACTAACTAATCAAAACAATTATTCAAAAGTCTCAATCTAAATCCTCTATTCCCCCTTAAAATTTTATCCAACCTTTCAATGTAAACAATTTGATAAACAAAACAATTATTTATACAATCAAAAACATTGTTCAAATCAAACAAAAACAATATAAATCAAAACTTGTCAACCAATAAAATACAAATGAAAAATACAAATTGAAATTTCTCAATTTATTTGAAATCAACAATTAATCTTTGCTTAAAAGCAAGATAACAAATTTTGTAATACATTGTGTAATTAAATCTCTTTTTCTTTTTCCATAAAAAGATAACATAAAAAATGAAAATTAAAAACTGAAAATAATTATATATATTCCCGGACCTCATCCGAGCTCAAGAAACGGAAATACGAGGAACGAAATCCTTGAAACAGCCAATCATTCAGCCAGAAGTAATCTTCTTCTCTTATTTATGACCAGAGATGGAGCTGTTTTTTTTCAAAATAAGTGAGAGTTAACTGTATATCGAATATTCAAATCAGCTAAAATTTTGCTATTAAATGTTCATTAATGGCCAAACTCAAACTTCTCGCAAGTGAGATTAAAAGTCTTACTTTTTCTGCTCATTTTTAGACCTTCAACTTGACAATTTTTTTGTATTAATTTGCTAGAAATTTTATTCTATAAATCAAGTTAACTATGAATCCCCACTTGTCACTATAAAAATATTGTAAAAGATGCGATATTTTGTTGATATTAGATATTATTGCTGCATATTGCTTCGATTTTAATATTGCAATATATTCGATATTCCTTGCAATAATATTGTGCTCTTCGATAAATATTTTTTTCAATATTGTACACCACTATAAGTCATCACTATATGTCTTGAATTAGAGTAACTTGATTTGCTAGTTTAATCGAAGCCTCGTGTGGGTTTGTTGAAAACATTGTCACTACTTTTTGCGCCAAGTAGTAATGCTATCAATCCTTGGGAATACTTAGATACCCTGTTATTGTGCCATTTTCAACTGATTGCCTAGCAATTACCTCACCAGGCATCTGAAGGAAACTAAAATCATCTGTTTTTGTACAAAACTTTATTGGTAATTTGTTCGCCTTAAGCGCAAACTACAAATGAGTATCTTATTACATATTTATATTAAAGGATATACATGTACTTGTACTTGTTTACAATATTTAATCGCGAGAGTAATGACAGACGATAAAGAAAGAAAGAGACTCGATCCCAGGTTACATATTTGATAGTCAGAAGCTATATCCATAGGGCTACATCCACATTTTTATCCACATTTAGGCCAATTAAAATTTTTTTCCATGATGCACATTATTCACAAATTGTTAGATTAAATTTTTCTGATAATACAAAATAGACTTTCCATTCGTTCCTGTTTTGATTTTAAATCTGTGAACTAGCAGGTTTATTAAAATTTTCCAAGTGAAACTTTTTTTTGTCCTCCTGTCCTCCTCCAGATCGGTGTTCACTGACTAGATGTCCATCTTCATGTGTAACTCTCGTTCTTTGATCTATTTGTAAACCATCTGTTGTAAAAACGACTACTTCTCTGCCCTGGAGTGACGTTGAGGCTAGGTGTTTGGTTTACAGAAATTTCAACGATACTCAATTGTCATATTTCAAGGTCATGGCCATTCAAGGTCATTTCGTTATTTGACCTCTAACTGATAATTGAAGAAAAACTTTATTACTAATTTATGTTACAACTAACATATACTGAGAGCGCGAAAATTTCATCACAAACTTCCAAATCCTTTGCAATTATCTTATCACTAGTATTATTAGAAACTGGTGGTTTCTTCATGACCAAGCTTTCGTAAACAACATAACAATCGGGATCAAAGTTGTCTGGCAAAAAATCAACCTCTCGAGCTAAATTATATTGCATGTTCTTAATACTGGCATCACAAGTTTTTTGGTTGCTCAATCAGTTGAAAATGATACTGACAAAGCAGGAGATGAAGAAGTAGAAGATTTATCAGTGAATACAGTGACGGATGATCGTTGATTTGGAATTGGTTGATCTGAATTGAGCTACACATAGGACCTGAACCAAATGCATTTGACTTTACAAGATAAGCGAGAAGATTTTGATCAGTAATTTTGTTGAAAAATTGAGCAACAGACTGTTCCTTACATATCCTTTACAATTGGAGACACTGTTTTGTAATGAACTAGCTAGCTGCTTGTGAAATTTTGAACTATCCATTTTTTTGCCATATTTGTCCATATGTTTTTCACGTTCAACGGGAAAAGACATACAGGGCATTTCAGCTAATTTTCCCGTTGTTAATTGGCTATATCTTTGCCCCTGAGTGACCTTGAAGTTAGATATTTTGTTTATGAAAATTTGAGCGATACTCAATTCTCATATTTCAAGGTCAAGGTCATTGCGTTATTTGACTTCCAACTGATATTTGAAGCTCATTTTCTAATAGTGCAAAAATTAACAGATTAGTTGAGGCTAGTAACATGTTCATAACTTATTCTAGTCAAAAGATAAATGCATTTTTCTTGAAACCAATTGATCACAACAATGTGTAAACACTCATATCTTTTGACCAGAATAAGTTATGAACATGTCACTAGCCTCTTAGAAAATAAACTTCAAATATCAGTTGGAAGTCAAATAACGCAATGACCTTGAATGACCTTGACCTTGAAATATGACAATTGAGTATCGCTCAAATTTCCATAGACAAAGTATCTAACCTCTAGGTCACTCATGAGCTAAAATATAGCCAATTTACAACGGGAAAATTAGCTGAAATACCCTGTAAAATTGGAACTGCCATTGATATCATTTCCAAAGCTTTCTGGTACCCTTGAGTGAATCGCACTCAACTTGCAGTAGATTGGCCATTAGCACACATTTCACGACGAAATTTACGTTCTTTTATCATTCCAACTGCAAAACATTTTTCGAGTCTACATTTGCGGCAATGTTCACGAGTAGCGATGGTTATCACACAATTGTCATTTAACGGGCAAGCCATTTTCTAAGTAGTTAAAAGGAGATCAAAGGAAAACAATGTTTATTAAACAAGGGGATAAAATGAAAAGATAAATTGCTTTTTATGTTCATGATTATGATTAAGGTGAAAAAAGGGGCGTAATATGGGATGTGACAGCAACAGCCATCTGGCGGTACAAAATAACACTAAATTGTGATTTTCGGTGTAGAGTTCAATTTTATAAAAAAAATATTGATTGTCTGTGTTAGTGAAACACACTTTTCAATTTTTGTTTCTCAGTTTCGCAAATATTATGCTAAGCAAAAACAAAAAAAAAAACCTTATCTTATTGCCAGAACAAAAAAACAGTAAATGAAGTTTGCTGAAAGCTCTGTCCGAAAGCCAAAGTAGACACTTTCAGCTATGGTGAACTGAAGCAAAATTGGGTTTACTTCACCACTATAATAAATTTTATTGAATCATATTCAAGATTTCCTGTCAAAAATAGAAGTGAGTTACCAAAGATCAATATGCAACATGAATTATCATGAAAAATTATCCTCAAATTGTCCAACTTTTCTTCCTCTAATTTTCCTTTGGAAACATTATGCACCCTCTAATTTAGCATACAATTGCTAAAAGATATTTTTGTTGTCAGGAAATTTCGTTTTGATTAATTTGGAGCAATTTAACATTTGAATGTTTTCTAAAAAATAGCACAAATGATGAATATTACACCAAAAAAGACCAAAGAGACCATAAAGATAGACCGATTTAGATTCTGGTTTGGCGACAAACTGATTTAGTAATGAATTGTGGAAGGGAAGGGAACTCTAGTTGGTGTAATCACAATAATTTAAATACTTTTTGATAGTTAAAGTGGCAATAAATTGAAGTTTAAGTTGATTGTAAAAAAGCAACATTTAAATTGACATACAGTTTCCCAGGTTACCGATGGCTACAGTTGAATTTGAGAATGGGTGGAGTTAGACTCACACAGTTTTCACGAACGAGAAGAAAAGAAAGAGGAAAAGAAAGAGAAGAAGAAAGGGAAGAAAGAGATAGTCTTACATTTTACTATGACTAATAAAGTAACAAAGAACGGGAAAAAAGCATGAAGAAAGGAAAGAAACTGGATAAGATTACAATACAAAATATATTGTTAACGAGGTTTTCATATTTTAAAATATCGGAGCCGCCATACTTGGGTTTATCCTTATTCCTCTTCTTCTTTCCTTCTCTTTCTGCTTCTCTTCCTTTCTCTCATTTACTCTTCTCGTTCTCATCATTGTTGTTCCCTCTTCTTCTTGTTCTCCTTGCTTTACTTTCAACCAATCCATGGATACATTTTTACCTAATTACCTATTCTTTGAAGCCACCATCATTTTAATCCATTCTCATCATCCAACATGATGTCCAGCGGTTACACTTAATTTTCATGACCATCATCTTTTCCTCCTTGTTCATTATTTTCATCTTCGTTTTCAACTTTCTCCTCTTCTCTGCCTGAATATTCCCTTTTTTTAATTCAGCCCCAGTCTTCATTCTGTACAAACTTTTGGTGACCTAATCATCGATCTTGAATCGAAGATCAATTTAACTTGGTCAATATAACCTTCATTGATACTTATATGTTATTCTGTTCATCATTTCCTCACAGTTATCACCACCTCAACTTCCGCCCTCTCTATCCCTTTATGTCCATTACTTCCTTCTACTTCTCTGTTAGCTGTTCTTGACTCTCATTGCTTGTGATATAATTATCATGTTACTGCCGATCATTGATAATTTCATCAATGAAGTTAACAGACTTGCTGATGAACCAAACTCGCCGGGATTTGAAGAGGACCTAAGCTGCTGCATGTTTTTCATGGAAAATGAAACTAATCCTGCTACTTTGGGTTATAAAATTCTCATGACTAACATTTCTTTGCCCAGTCTACGTAAAATATTAGCGTATTTTTCCTTGCTGAAACTTCGCTCTGATTCATTTAAACCTCCTGAACATGAGCCGATCAATCAAGCAGCTCTGATTCTTGCAATAAAAGGAGTATTGAGTGCCATCGAAAGAGCAGAAGAGCCTATAGAATTAAGCTGGAAAAAAGTGAAAAATTTTGAACTCGCAGAAGCTGCGGGTTTCATCTCGCCAATGGATGATGCATCGCCTTTAGACAACCCTCAACCATCTACAAGTACATCTGCAGCGTCTGTTTCAACTACTAAAGCATCAAAGCGCTCAAGTCAAAAATCAAGCGGTAAAAATACAGGTTCAAAAGCAGTAGCACTAACAGAGCCTGGAACATCACAGCAGATCAAAATTATGCAAATTTTCCCAACTGAAGATAGCGGCACAAGTGATGATACACCATCCGTTAAACAAATGACTGGATTATTAGTACCAAAAGCTAAAGCTGTTCGTTCAGCTGCTCGTCGAGGACGGAACTCATCGTCTTCACTTTCTTCTGTTACTCCATCGTCATCTCCGTTCTCTCCAACATCTCCATTTTCACCAACATCACCGCCGATTGAACGTCCACCTGTTATTGTTCGTGCACCCCAACTTTCCCCTCGAGCACCATTGCCATCATTTGCAAATACACTTGCACCTACACTCGAACTATCACTCGAACCTACTCCCGAACCTGCACTCGAACCAACGCTCTTGAGTCCTGAATCTAGACGCATTACCTTTTCATCTTTATCACCTTCAACTTCCACTAGAGCAACATTGCCTTTACTCGAACCTTCATTCCTAAGTTCTGACTCTAGACGCACTCTAGTAGATTCATCTTTATTACCTTCAACTTCCACTGCAACGAGCTCGAAAGAACCGACATATGGATTAATAGTTAAATTTGTGGTTCCTGTATCAATCCCTATTCAACAAGGCTTAGTCCGAGTTTTAGATCCTTATCGAAACAAGATTGAAACCACGCCGATCTGTGGAAATCACATTTTCATCAAGTTGAAAGATAAAAAGGATATCTACTTTTTAAAGCGTCAAATTGAAATATTAACGCGCTTGAGTCCTCGAATTGTTGTCACCTCATTTTGGCGGTATCAAATTACGGTCATTAAGCCACTGTCACCCACCATAAAAGAATTTGTAAATCTCAATGTGGCCACGTTGAAAGGTGAATTTTATGTTTATTCTCGAGCAATTTCAGAAGATTGTGATAAAATTATAATTTTTGAGGTTCTTGCTGACGCAGAATGTCGACGGTCAATTGAAAATGCATCTTGTCTACTAAGAATTGGAGCAGAAACGCGTAAAGCAGTTATGGTTGATTTTTACAAAGAATGTAATAGGTGTTTTTTCTGTTATGATGATGCTCATTCCGAGTGTTCTAATGCAGTACTCATGACAGAAAGTGACTGATCTGAAACAAAGCATGTTAAAGTTCCTAACGCAACCCTTGTTATATACCCTATTCTAAACGATATCTATGAGCCAAAACTCGTCCAATCTCAATCCAGTTGATCCATATTCTTTACTCCTTTCCCTTCACTATAATCAAAAGTTTTACTATTTATTTATATTTTAAATTGACTCAGTTTACACCATGACTGAATGGAAATATTTATTTTAAAACTTTTCATTTATTAGTATTTATAATTTGACTGTGACGGACACAAAATTAGGTTTTTTCACTATTTTCATGTTATTTGCGATTTTTTCCATCCCTACAATCATTGACCAGATAGTCCCATAAACAATTGCGGCTATTGACATCAAACAATGTATTCGGAGGACATGTGTATTCGTACATCTTATACTTTTCTTCAATTGAAATGCGTACGCAACGATAAAATTTACGACAATCTGTCGGGTGAATGAAAGTTCCTGGATATTTGCAGACTGCCCCGGAAGGCTTACCGACTGATGGAGCTGTGGTTACCGTTGAAGAAGTCGCATACGGATTTGATGTGGACGATGTCCATGCTGTTGATAGGGAAGAAGAAGGTTGAGGCCACCAAGTTGAAGGTGAAGATGTTGACGAAGGTTGAGGCCACCATGTTGATGGAGTCGAGCTTGTGTGTTGATGATGAATTGTTGGAGCTGTTGAATAAGTCCATGACCATGGCCTATCAGTAGTTGAACTCCACAAACCATTATCAGGCTTATTGGTTGACCCGCTTGTTGTTGGTGGTAACTTTGATACTGGAATTGAGTTATTTGTTCCTCTAAGCTCGTTTACAGCAGACTTAATCAGTGGAAATTTGACTTCAGAGAAACATTTTCCGGTGAAATCATCATTTTCAATCGACCAAATTCCTATCCCAGCAAGACCATGGACTCTAGCATATCTAGATTTTAAAGCGAAACTATCCCGATCATCATAACCAATAAACAGATTATCCTTACATGCAAATGGTGCAAGAAGATTTGAATCTCTTTGGATATTCCACTTTGCATTTCGCTGCATTGAACATATCTGAAATAAAGAACAATTATTCATCATATCATCATGAACCAGGAAATCATCATCATTACTCAACATTGTGATATTTGCTCGACACTATTTTGTGATTTTACTGTGTGTTGAACAATACTTTTGTTGGAATGCATGCAATTTTTTTATCAAACTGAGTAATACAAATCAAGAGATTGTGGAATAGAGTCACAAGCTTTGACTTGAGTCTACTTTTGGAACGAATCTTCAATCTTTGTCGACCAATTGAGCATTCGAGGAAGACATTATTTCTAGCTTAACTACTGAATTCTTAGTCAAGTTATTTTATATTTCGTTCCTTTGACGTTTCCAATTGTTTCTCGGTTATTAAGTCATTTGTATTTGATTTCCACTCAAAAGTATTGTTCCTGCTGTAAACCTTTTTGTAAGTCGATTCAGGGACGTCATGAAAACATATTCATTGCATTTAAATGTACCATGCTAAACTATATCATTCAAATTGCTTGATAAATTATGAAACTTCAAACCATACAAATACATAGACAAAAAGTGCCATAATTTATCCTCACAGGTTAGTTGAATTTTATCGCAAGATGCTCAAACTGATCATTGCTCATTGGAATGATGGATCCTAAGTCATTATTATTAGCTTAACATGTTCAATCTTATTACCTCTATATTTAACTATAATTATCTACCTCGAAGTAAGCTTCCAGTGAGCACCCAAAGTACAAAATTGACTTTATTTTTTACATTTTTTTATTCCTATTCAAATCCTTGCCCTTTAACTAACCTGTTCACAATTTATTGTACAAGTGTTATTTATTTATAATAAACTGTCTGAACTTGAATTAACAACTTTCTACCTGACATGTAAGCAAAACAATCATTAAAAGGTTGTTTACTTTGTAAATATTAATTAACTTACTTGATTAAAACCATACGATCCTATTTCAGGTGTATTTGTATCATTATGACTTGGCTTGAAAGCTTTAGCTCCAATAAAGCAATCATCAGGATTCTTAATAGCAAAGCTTCTCCCAAAAGTAGCCAAGCCAAGAATTAATTTATTAACAGGTGCTCCTTTTTCAAGCCAATAATGAATTGTATAATTCTGATTTAAATTGAATCGAAAAATCAATAGACAAATGATTTAAAATCAATAATACCAATTGGATGGGAAAATCTTACCACATTTAAAATTGAATCAAGCCCTTGATCTGCTGATTTACCAAATAAGGGTGAGTGATGACCAGTTTTACCTTCCCATCCACCATGAAAATCAAATGCTAACACATTAATTAAATCAAGATATCTAGAAAATTGAGAATGATTAATGTCAATTAAAATGGATTCATTTTAAATATCGTTTTTTCAATACTTGAAATTGATTGTTATTTCATTTTTGTCTTTTCAGGTTTCAACAGGTCAAGTTACTTACTCTGCCATTTTGGGAACATCATAACCACTATCAATGACCAATTTATTTGCTGAAACGGATGCTGTGATTAGATAATTTTTGGGTTTCAAAACTTCAACCAAATCACGTAATAGAGCCACATAACTTTGTTTATCTTGAGGACTACCGCCACGAGCTGAAGGATATTCCCAAGCAAGGTCGATCCCATCAAATTTGTGTGTTTCAAGGAAGGAAGCAACCGATGAAGCAAAGATACGCCGAGCTGTATAATTGGAAGCCATTGATGAATAACGGAGAGAACCTTCATTCCAACCGCCAATACCAATCAAAGTTTTCAATTGAGGATTGGAGTTTTTGAGTGCATTGAAACGGCGATAACCTGCTTTACCCACAGGTTGATCCAAATCGATTGACGGGTCAATTGATTTAATCTTGGAGTCACTGTCAAGACCGGCAAATGTGTAAATTAAATGAGTACACAGACTTGTGTCAATATTTTCAATTGGAAGCTGATCAGATGTTGTCCAATAACCACTCCAGGAACCATAATAGCAGACAACGGATTTACCTATTAACAAAAAGACAAGACAAATTACGAATTGATAATCAGTTTCTTGCCATCCGATTCACCATCATAATATACTCACTTGTAGGCGAAGACACTGCTGAAAGAGGAGGCGATGGAGATGATGATGACGGTGAAGGTGAAGGTGATGATGCTGATGATGAAGGAATTAATCTTGGTATTAGTTTTCCGACTGATGGTTTTACTCGAGGTGCACCTTCACGTTCATGCGTTGGTAACCGAGGTAAACTAACTTCAACATTACAAGAGGAAACAATGGACGATGCAAAGCAAATTAGTGTTAAATAATTAACAATTGTGGTCATCTTAATTTATTAATTACAGTTTACTAAGAAAACTAATTTAGTGAGATGCTAAAAAAATTGGCTGGTTTTTCATGGGATTGATATCAACATTTGGTTAACTGTAGCCAGTAAACTTTGTACCTAAACTGTAAACCAATTTGGTTGTTGATTATGGAATGAGGATGATGAGAGTGAAGATGATGAGAGTGAAGATGAAAATAGTGAGAGTGAAGAATACCTTGATAGAGCCGATGAACTTTCAAGTTTTAAAGTTGAACTAAAATAATATCTTAGATTCACTGGAAATAAATGGCAAGATCAAGTATAATTGAGGTACTAATCGTTGGGTTAACATCTTGATTTAGAGACAGGTATAACAACTTTTCATTTCTGGTTTGCCAGAATTGATATTTTTGAGTGAAAGCTAAAACTGTAAATTAATACAATCATGAAAATTGATTGTGATTGATCATATTGTATGTGTTCACATATGATCAAATGGCTTGGTATGAATGATTGACCATCAGAAGCTAGTGAAAAGCCTATGAGCTATAAATAAAAGTAATCCGTCTTTAGTTGCTGTTGATGAAAGAGGAAATCCATTCATGGGTTCAATTAACTCGACAATTTCAAGTTTCTTCTTCCATAATTGTTGCTATCAATATTATTATCATTGGAATTACTTATTTAACTGTTAAATTAATCCTTACTTAAAACAGATTTTCAGGTTCTTGACATAAACACCGGTAATGGAGCATCAAACTAAAAGTACTTCATACAGTGCATCACCTGATTACCATTAAAATCGGATTAACTGGTATTCAAGGATAAAATCAATTTTAAACTCTTATTGAGCCCAGCCCGATGACAATCAAAGCTTTGTATTGATCCTCAAAATGCAGAATTAAAAGAAAAAGCAAAGATGTTCTTTGAAATTGAAATTTAACTAATCATTACATTATATTCCAGATTTTCCCTGATTGTCTGACTACCGATAGATCAATAAAATGTAAAGGATTACAAATAATAAAAATCAATAGGAAAAATAGATTACCGTCAATAAATGATCTTAACTCATTCAATTATGAAATCTTCAGAACGATTTAAACTCTTATTAAAATCTCAAATCATTTTGATTTAATCATTTCCATCCAGATTACAATTTACTGTAACATTTAAAAGGTTTTATCAAAAAATCTTATTGAAAAATGCATTTTCTGAGTCTCTTTGAACGTCTTTTGGTCAACTTTGCCTGTCTTCGCAAAGGATACCAACAAAGCTCAGAAATAACCAAACCTCTTAACCCTCATTTTGATCTAATCAATTGGACAATCAGATTAACAACGATAGTTAACTTGTACCGATTTGTTCACCTAATAATCTCAACCGACTCAAGGGTTAACATTTATTTAGGAGATCCTCTTTACCAGTCACAAGATAGAGGATTGCTTTACTCGACTATGATCTTTGCCATGGTAGTTATGTTTATTGCTCGTGAAATGTTTTTATTTCTTGAAGCCAATGGATATTTGACCATTTTAAAGGTACTTAACACTTTAAAGTCCAGTAACAATCAGCATTTTGATCATCAAATGACTCCTTTAAAGATGTCAACCTTTCTCCGTGTTTTAAACTTTGAATGTTTAACCATTTGTGCATCAATGTTTTTATCCATACCTTTTATATTGATCTTGCTTAATTGTCCTTTAATAGTGAATCTATTGTCCTTTTCCATTCCTTCATTGTTAATTTATGCTCTTCTCTGGTCAATCTCCCTGTGCTTTTCGTCCATCTTTCTATTAAATGCAATATTTGCTCAAGGTGCCTGCATTATCATTTGTGGCACTTATTATTTCTTCAAATTGAAATCCTTATGTGAAACGATAGACTCTATCATCACTCACCATTACCAACAGGTTAAGCCTCGAATCGACCAGCTACAAGTTAAATCTTTCTTGGTGGATGTTACTCTTTACCTGAATGAGATTGATTTACACATAAAAACTCTACGTTATGTGATTCTTTACTTTTTCCTATTGATAACATTGAATAATAATTTTTACATCTTTGTTGGTTTAATTGCTAAAACCAAAAATGAAATTGTCAACAATCTTATATCTGCTTATGGAGTTTTAGTTGTCCTTTTAATTTCTCTTCTCTGCTACATAGCCAGTGATTTTGTAGAAATGGTAAGTTATTATTGCAATCAAACTTCCGACAATGAATTTTGATCTATTTTTCAGATTAATTATGTTGCCTGTAAGTTGAACCATGTCATAGTCAACTTCAATGGTTTATCCATTGCAACAAAACTAAAGGTGAGCCAATCGCCGATGAATTTTTGATGAACCTTTACTAATCCAAGTTTTACATTATTCATTCTCAGACAATTGAATTCTTGGACAGGTCAAAAAGCTCTTATATCGGCATCAAAGCTGGAGATTTCCTTATATTAAATAAAATAAATTTTATTCTGGTAAAATGACTTGTAAATTTATATGATTTGAACCGACAGTTGAGCCTAATTTTGTGATTGTCTTTTGATTTTCAGTTTCTTTTGGAAAACGCATCAACTTTACTTCTTTTAACCGTCAATTTGAGGCCAATTTTGGATTAAACAAACCTGAATGGAGTGATTCTAATGGTGATCAAACTGATCGGGTTTGAGTTAACCTTCAGCTTCACGAAAAATGTACAAATGGCTTACAATTACATTTGAAATAAACGCTAACATTGTGGTCATCTTGAGAAGCATCACAAAATTGAAAGCTAAACCTTGAAATATTTGTGAATGCAGATGATCAGTTGCTATTAGTTATATAATGGTGAAAATTAGGTAAATGAGCATGTTAATGGTAATTTAAGTTTATCCTTGATTGATGGAAATGGTGTTGTCCTCAATTAATTGCAATACATAAAATACACTGTTTGCTTTCTTGTTAATGTTGAGTCTTTTCCGAATAAGATGATGATGATTAACGTCTCCAACTGATTAAATTTTAATGTGAAAATGATTAAATGAATCAAGCTTGTTTATCGTGACTTTGGCAGAGTTGAAAATAATGTTTATACAGATAACAATTGACTGTAATTCGTGGCGTTGAAAGATAGTTAAACATGATTAGCTTTTTTGTTTTCACATTTAGATTTTTTCTTCTTATGATCTCTAGATATTTGGTCAGAATGAGACTAATTTTAGCCGTTTAACATTAACTAAAACAATAAAGTGTTGGTCAAGATGGTTGATAAGGTTGTTTAGTCTGGAAGTTGAGGAAATTATTTCAAAAATGATTTCAAATGGCAAAATGAAGTAAACAATCAACAAAATTGATTAATATATTCTGTTATTAATTGATCAATACAGAGTACATTTCAGTCTTGCAGCTTTGTTTGATATCCAAATCACTGAATGCATAGATTTGTCATTGTCATCATGGACTAACCCAGGAACAAAAAAAAGGTAAGTTAATGAGTAAAAGCACAGAAAAAAGGAAAACAATTAGCATTTTGATACAAATCAGTTGTAAATAAATTAAGAGAAAGGCAACTTAAAAAGGAAGCTATGAGAGTTGAAGTCATGACACAATTAAGACTCAAGATTTAGGAGATAGAAACGATTTAAAAACAATTATTCAATCGTTATGTAAATTATAACAATAGAAAAGTAATTATACACAAAATTCTGGTTTCAGGGGAGACAATAAGTGGTGAGAAGACTTAGAGATGATAATAGATCTTTGAGTTTCTTTTTTGCTTGAAAAGGAGCTTTCCAATGATATTCATCCAGGTTTGTTCCCATGAACTTTATCCATGAGCCACATAAGGCCTTTAAAAATCTATTTCATTGAAAATATAAATTTCTTTGTAAATGGTTTTTATGTATAATTTATCTCGATTTTGCTTGATAATGTTTAGTCAATTTAGAGTCAATCTTGGCTATGTTTACAATATTCAGTCAATAGTCGTCTTGTAGGTAAACCTGGGCAATGGCAATGTCTCCAGTTGATAATGTTTGAATGGAGGCATCAACCAAATGCCGGTTAATTGAGTTTGGTGTTGATGTTAATATAATTGATTGTTTAGTTTCACTAATCGAAGTGTGACAGTTACAGTTACAACAGCTTCTCTGAGATACAATTGATTCCGATGGGCTTAGGCTTTTACGATTATCATTATTATTGTTGTTATGATTATAATTGTGATTATTATTATGGTAGTTGTTGTTGACACAGTTGACCATTTCTTGGGATTGATTAGATTCAGAATCAGATTGATCGTAATAGTCAAAGTCTTCCATATCGTTGCCTCTATCATCATCCGATTCACCATCTTCCGAGTCACTGGATAAATTGTTGGCATTACGATCAGAACCATCTTTACCCTCTGATTGTTTACGAGCCAATCTTTCCAATTTTTTAGCCACCTTTTGAGATCCTTCAATTTTGGCTTTAATTTCCTCAGTCATATCGATAAATCTGGAATCAAGAAAGATAAGAGTTTATAATTAGTACAATTTAAAAACAATCAATTGAAGTATTGAATCAAAGTCAACCCAAGTCAAGAAGTAAAGTGACCATAAAACTATTATAACCTTATGAGAGACATTTATGATGGATTAATGGACATCCGATGGTGATAATTGACTGTAAATATAAAGCTTTGAATGCGACATGAAATTGTGACAACAATTGCTCATTAAAAGAGTAAATCAAGTCAATAAGGTTAATTGTGTCGACAATTTTTTCCCTGTACTTTGCATTAAATGTAAATGGTCAAACATGACTTCTTCCTGTAATATTTCATGGTGAAACTTTTCATAAAACTCCTTCCTCATCAATCTTGAACATTAACTTGAAACCAAGATGATGAACAAGATGAAAGATTAAACTGTAAATGAGTAAATGGCCGAAAGTGCAATTTGTTATGGTAAACGTTGGTTTTTTTGATAAAAAAAGGAGAGAAGCAAAATGTTCATGTAAAGGTGAAGGTGAAAAATATACTCTTGAAAACAGGCAAGAGAAGGAAAAGATGGGATAAAGGTAAGTGTTATGATGGCTGAGAAATAGGAAATGATTTCAAGATAGATCACGGATAATCAACTGATAGTAGATGCAAGCGTGACCAACTCAATGTATGTGCCTAATGTACTAAGGTAAAAATGCTCAGGTCATTGGTTTTATTTTGTGAATAATTTCTTTGTCTATTGCCATTAATAGGATTTAACCAGAAAATTTTACCTCTTTTCTGATTACACACATTGTATTATGTTTAAGGTAATAAAGGTAAATATACAAACACTTACACCTTATAAAAAGCTGGTGAATACAAAATGTAAATAAGCAATAAAAGCCATATTTGTACTAAATGTAATAACGATTAATGAACAAAACCTAACCACGTTCAAGATGTTTTTTTTGGTTTTATGGTTTGAAAAATGTTAGATAAACTGTTAACCTTATTTGGTTTACATTAATTTGGCTAAAATAGGAATTTAAGTTTCTCAAGATTTTGCCTTAATCAGATTAATCGGGTTTTTTGTTTTCCATCAGCTGAGTAAATTGGAAACGTTAAATCAACAATTTAAAGATCACATTTTGAAAGTATTTTCTGCTACAAAATAGGTTAAATTGTCATGGTAAACATGAGGAATGTAAAATTGAATCAACTTGTTGGGTTGAGTTGTTAGATGTTGAGTTTGAAGATGAAAAATAGAAACAAATTTTGTCCTAAAACAATTGACAATTAGGTAACAGTTGATGGTTGTAACTAAATTGGACAAAATTGAAAATTAAGTCAAATTCATTTGGTTGTTACTATTTTCAACTGATATTGGTAAAAGCATAAGAGATAGTTGTATAATTAATAGAAAGGTGATTAACATGATATTAATAAACTGAGTTTCTGCATGATAACAAGATGTGAATAACAAGGTTTACTGACATCAATAAACCAGCTGAATATCAACAATTTAATAATATGATTAAAATTGTGAATAAATTAAAGTAGATCAAGTTCGTCTACTTTGACTGTTTAATATTTGTGAAAAGGGTAAAAGTAGATTCAACTAAAACAAACTACAATTTGGACTCAATCAAATTTTGTGTGCAAAAATTAAGTTAACAGCAAAAAATAATAATAACAAGTTGAGACTGAAAATGTGAGACTTGAAATCAAAGCAAACCCTGAAGGATGGCGATGCTAATGGTGCCGATGATGATGACAAGATGACAGACAAGCCTTTAAGATAAAATCAAATTACCAAAAAAAGGACAAATGGTATTAAATTTACATTAATATTATTTGAATAGATGTTTAAATGCAAGTCGATTGAGGCTGGTGATCATTTCAACACGGTAAAGATACTCAGTTCAGAGTAAAGTAATACGCTGCAATTTGTAATTCAATCTATGCTGAATCTACTGACCATCATCATTATACTAACCAGTAATAATGGTAATTTTAATAGCAATAATAATTGTAATATTAAACATCCTCATCTACAGTTAGACTGTCAATGGTTGTGATAAGTCGACATTTTCAGGTTTCTTTTTTTCTTCTTCTCTTGAATCAAATTCATGTTTCCTGAATTTTGCAAAGTAAAATGCATAAATTGTCTGAATTTAAATTAATTTTCATCATTGTTATTACTGTTATTAGTATTATTATGTCGACTGTTCAAGCTATTGTTGAAACAAAAATGATAACTTAACACAAGAACGTGATTTGTTTCAAGTTGCTATTTTGTTTTGTTTAGTTTTTTTTCAGCTAATTTTTCATTCAAACCAATTTAGCTTTGTTTTTTTGATTCATCCAAGCACAATTTGATTGTCAAATTATTTTACAAATTCCTTGATTGTTGCCAAACGCAAAACAACAATCAATGTTAAACTGTTAGCAGCTGATTTAATTCACTTGTGATAGTCAGATAATCTTGCAATTGGTTGAGAGTAGCAAAGAAGTTAATTGCATTAATAGATGATTAACACAAATCAAGCAAATGCATTTCTTGTAGCTCTTATTAACCTCGTCAATTAAGCTAATTATACATTAAATAATTACACTTTAACATCAATTATAATGTTCAAGTTTTTCCCATTTTCTGATTTACTTTGATTTTAATCTTACAATCATTACAATGTCTATCAATCAAAGTGTTTCAATTGCAAGAATCAAAGTTTAATCAAGTTACATGATGTAAATTTAAGTAACTGCAATTGATTAGAATGGTTTGTTACTCCTGAAAAGCAGTTACTTTTTTAAGAAGAATATTGTTCAATGAATTAAATATAACAAAAGTTCATTGTGAGATGAACATTTTGATTCATCTTGACCTGTTATTAAATTATGAGATAAACATTAGCGTTATTATTGTATTAATATTTCACACTGAGAGAGGTTTGTTTTGGTTTCACCAACAATTTCAGGTAAACTGAAACTCAAAGTCAAAGAGGTAATTTAAAGTATTACACACAAACAGGATAAACCATGTTATACAATAATGGTGAACAGTATGAAATTATTTAACAATGGAAAATATTATTCCATGAAAACTTCAGGAGATAAACAAATAATTGATATAAAAAAATGTTTATCTGGAAATGTCAATAAAGTTATTTTAAGAGGTGAAAACTTAGCATGAGTTGAAGGTAAAGATTGGGAAACAATTAGATAAATATTATAATGGAATGAGTTGGAAAAATTTCATCAACTGAAGTATAATTTCAATTGATTGTGTTTTTGGTCAATTTGAAAGTTTGATGCAAAAAAAGGCCAGTAATGATCAGTTGGTGTCAGTCATGCAATTGAAATATAATACATCTATTTGTGTTCATGTTTTGTCTGTTGATTGTAACAATCAAAATATTGAAAACTTGAAAATTATGTTCAATTTAACTGTTTAATGGAAAGATCAACTGATGTAACCTTTTCTGGGTGAAGTGATTGATGATAATGATCATCTTCAACATTCTCATCTTTAATCACTTTTTAAAATATCATTAGCTGACCTAATCCGGTAAGAGTCAGGATTCAGGGCAACATTGTAAAGGGAAAAGATGATTTTCATGATAACCTGTGAGAGGGAAAATTGAAAGATGGCTTTCAAAAGGTGAGGAAATGAAGTTTGGGAATCAAATGATTAACAAGGATTACATGGAAGTTGAAGTGTGAGAAAGGTTTTATTGAATCATTTGAATACTTGAGTTAATACAAATTATGATTCGTTTAATATTGATTATTGTTTAGCAATAAATTTTCACTAATTTTCATTTTATCTTTTCTCTTGTTTCAGGTTGAACTTTCTGGTAAAAGGTAATCATTTGAATCGTAACTAATTGTAATTATGTTTCAAAGTTAACTGATTGATATCAAATTGTTAGATTTGTAAATTGTTTGATATTTAAGGTGTAAATTGTAAAGGTAGAGCTGGAATAATGGTCATAATAATGGGAAGAATGAGAAATGATTTTCTAGATAAATTCATTTCTTGTTGGAATTAGCTTTTTGTAGAAATTATTTTTCATGATAAACATAAAACATTATGATGAAAAGGTGTAACAAGAGGAAAACTGTGATTGCCAATTGAGATAAAAACCAGAATTGAACTGAAGGAAAAATGTAAACATTAATTCAAATTTTCAGATTGTATTTTTCAATATTTTCATCATTGAACTTTTTGTTGGACACAAAAATTCAATGAAAAGCCTTGCGGGTTGAGAAGACAGAATGGTCAAGAATATGATTCAATTTTTATGGACAGGGGAAAATGGAAAGCAATCATTGAAATATATCAATTGAATTGAGAAAATTTTTGTTCCCTAAAGTGTGCAGAATTTTTCATTGAATTATAATAGACTTGGATCATTATGAAGATGAAGAGAAATGTTTTTTATGAGCAATTTCAGGTTGATTTTTGTTTCCTGAAAAAGGTTTCAGTTAATATTGGAACTGATAGAATCGTCATTGGAATATGAAAGTGCAAGTCAACAATTTTATTACTATCAGCATCTTCATGATACTTGAATAGTGAATGATAAGAGTTTTTTGTTTGAAATAATTTCTTTACTACTTTAGTTACCTTTAATTTCAACATAACATTTCAATTTTAGAGCTTATCAAATTTGAAATGAATTATAAGGAAATGAAGATTCCATTGAAACAGTAAAATCTGGTGTAGGTTTCCAGCTTAAATCACATTCAATGGTATTAATCATTCATCAATATATCATGATCAGCAGAAAAGTAATCAAGGTAAAAAGAAAGGCAAGAAAACGTTTCACATAAATTGTGTGTTCACTCTGGGTAAGGTAAAAATAATCAATTTAAGTGTATCATTAAATAATATCTTTATAAATATTGTTCATTTTAAATTGGTTAGATGAACAAGTTTCAAATGTAATATATAAATGTTTAATCAAGTTGACTTGTAAATCAACAAATTCATCAACAAATTTACTGACAAATGCATCAATAAATAAAGACTGTATAAGGATAAAAAAGACATTTTGTGAATTTCAATTTTCACAATTTAACTAACAATTTGATATGGCTTATAATAGGCACACCAATAATTGTTTAATTTAGCTAATAAAGTAAATTTATTAAGAAACAAATTGGCAATTGTGAGCTTCAAAACCAAGAATTGAATTATTGTTGAAGCTTTCAATCAAGGTTTCACATTCATCATCACTTGAAAATGTAAATTCAATTATGAGATAAATTAGTTAAAATAATGAAAAGCTAATGTAGGAGAGAGACAATGTCAAAAATCAATGTTAACACAATTGTTGGTTGATTATCATTTGTTATTTAAGATCAAGTAGGCTTTCAGAGTTGATGATAGACTGATAACCAAGGCTACAGTGATCTATTGATTAAAGTTTCAGTAGTTTATCATTTTTTGTTTGATGGCCTAAAAAGTTAACCTTTAATACAAGGCTAACTGATTGATAAAATTCAAAGATTCCCAGTGAGCTTGATAAATTAATCATGATGAATCAAATTAAAATTCATTGACAACTTGCTTTCTCAAGTAACTGCTAATGATTTAGTCGATCAACCTTTTTTTTGTCATTCAATTGAAAAAAAACAAGACTGTGATTAATGATATAAAAGTCAATTGGCTGTTAATGGAAAATGAATCTTCTCAATGGATAAATGACTTTCAATTGAGGTTTTGCCTGTGAAATTAGTTGATCAGTTTAAGGGACAAATTAAATGTGCTATTTATCAATCAGACGCAATTAACTGTCCCTAAACTGTACACAAAAATCTTGAATTCAAAGTGAATGTAAAACACATCAGTTTTGTAAATGAAATTACAGTTGACTAATCAATGTTGCGCACATTAGGGTTGGTTAACCCAAACAATTGTAATTGTTTCCTTAACTTATTATGACAATGAGTGATGATGTTTTCACTTTACTTCTGACTTTTTGGGAACACATAAAGCAGTAACAAAAAAAAGATCTTCTCATAATGATGTGATAAGGCATCAGGTAAAAGTGAAACTAGGTTACTCACCTTAGTAACCTGATTTCTCTATTACTGAGGATAACTTGTTTTGACTCGGTGTTGTACAATTTTTGCTTTAAATCTGTAACTTCCATGTCAATTTTGCGCAATTTTTTACTCGTTTTAACCTCTTCAGGTTTTATTTTGGATAAAACTGCTTCTTTGTTTAACTGGGCAAGCAATTCCAGATACTCGGGTTTAATTGATTTATGCATTGAAAGGTAAACATCAGGCACTAAAGGGTAAACATCCCAGACTGCTGAGTAAATCATGTCTTCAGTTAAAGGTCTATGGCTCCAGAATTTTTGGTCCCGTCGGAAACTTTTTTTAACCGCTTCTTTTCTAGGGCTCAACGTTATTCCAGTATAAAGTTCACATAAAGATTGGAGTGAAATAAATTTTGATTTGTACACAGGTTTACCACAGTTTTGCTGTTGTAACACTGAATGGGCTACTTGGGTGTCAAAGACGTTCATTAATCTGATTCCATGTTGAAAGTAAAGTGCACTCGAATCATTTCGTACATCATGGAATACTTTTATCACATTGGGAGCTTCTAATAGTCTTTTTAGGCAACCAGAAAGAAAATCTGGATTAAAAAGAACGTCAAAAATGTATATTCGGGGTACATTTTTGGTTCCAAAACGAACACCATTTGATTGATTAGCAAATCTTTTACTGGTAGGCGAAGGTGGGCGAGACATGACCGCTATTTCGACTAATGTTATAGAACCGGAAGAACCAAGGTTAACACCTTCACAGTCAATGGCAACAATTGATTCAGTGTTGATTATGTCGTTGACAATTTCTTCTCCTTCCTTTGTTTTGCTGACTATTTGAGTATAACGGAGTAATGTGGCATCAGAGAAGACATTATGCGGTTGAGAATAGGAATCTGAATAATTAGAATGATGATTATTATGATAATGGGCTGATGAGGAGGTTGATGATGAAACAGAGGAAGAATGGTAATGAGAGTTAACATGATGGTTATTGTTATTCATGTTGTTGTTGTTAAAATGAGAATTGTAAGGTGAATTTTTGGCTTGGTTAATGTAACCATTTTTGTACATTGATGCATTGTCGGCCAGTGCTTTCATTATCTGTGATCTAACTCGCTGTTGAAAAGATCCCGCTGAGCTTACTCGGGAAGGCGATGAAACTGGTGAGACACTAGACACTGGAGACATTGATCTAGGCGGTGTAAGGCTGCTGTTACCACTGTTTTGTTGACTGGGTGGTGAATTATTGCTGATATCTCGGTTTGAATTGTTATGCTTGTCACTGGCTGGGGATGAAGAGTTGGTCAATCCATTGGTACCATTGGAGGTTAATTTTAAAAGACTATGATTTTTTTGTCCACTACGAATTTGTTGCTCCCTTTCAGGTGTTAAACTTACATAAATTGATTGAACGAGAAATAATTTAGAATTCATTTTGAGTAAAGTACACAGATCATTTGTGTTGTTCACCATACGAGACCAGAGTTCATTTGCATGATTATCTTTCATATAATTAAACAATTCATCCAATGTAATGGCAGATGTTTCTGCATCATTGTTGTTATTATTATTTCGGTGGTAATTTTTATCATTATTGTTGTTGGTATTGGCACGTTTCTTCTCACATTTATTACTCAAGGTAAATACAACATCTTCCAGTAAATTGACAAGTTGCTGCATTAAATATGGATCAATGGATACTTCCTCGGGCACTCGACGAATGGTCAGCTGTTCACCATCAGGACCAACTTTTTCAAGGACACTTTTCAGTACAACATAGTCATCGGTAACAACATAGATGTCTTCATTTTTACAGAGAAAATCTTTGAATTCTCGAGCAGTTTGACCAGAAACGTGACGTATTTCAGGTGGAGCTTGTGATCTATGGCCAAATAAGCTTTTAATTGGGACTTCTGCATGGCCATATTGTTCCAGCTTTTGACGAAAATAGTCGGCAGCTTCTTTACTATAATCTCTGCGTTCCTTGGTGGCATCTTTGCTAACCATATTTGTAATGTAAACCTGTCATTCGGGTATAATGAAAAGATGGAATAAAGCATTAGAAGTTTTGTTATGACATAAATGTTGATGGAATAATCTCAAAAAAATGTGTTTCCATAATTTTAATTTTCTGGGTAAAACAGAAAAAAATGACGAGATGTTTGAATGATTGAATCGATTTGTTCTCTTTTACAATCGATAATTACTAGAGATAAAACAATGAACTGAAGGAAAGGTAAAGGTTAATGAAAGAAGGGTGGACGGAATATCTTCAAAGTTATTGATTGATATGAAAGTCATCCATAAAAAACACAAGATGAATTAACATAACATTTTGAATTCATCAACATTATGAGTCAATGACTTTATCGGAAATTATCGATACAAAAATTCAAACAAACAAAATTTTGAGAAAAATTGTCACATGTATATTTACCTGATCATCTTCAATGGTAAAAAGAGATGGATATTGAGATAAAAATTTTCTCAACCCTCGCTGAGAGCCACCAGCAATCTGTCTCATCTCTTTGGTAAATCCTTTGGTACCAAATTGACAGGACAAGTCATGTAAACTTCTAGGTTGACCTTTGTCCATGAGTCGATCCAGAAAAAACATCAACGTCATATTTCGTATGTATTCATAATCAGAGGAATCCATGATGCTGGTTGTTTGAGAGTCCGTATCTTTGTCTCTCTGTTTCTTTTGATAACGTGGTAATTGAAAGATATGTTGTTGGCAAATATGTATAGTTGTTGAAACAATCCTTTGAGTTGATTTAAAATGGGAACAGTAGGACTAGGATTAATTATACCGGGTACATTAATTATCTACACAGTATGTTGAGAAATAATTGAACCTCACAAGCATCCACAAGTGAGACAAAAAGAGAGGAATACCAGACACAACCAGAAACAGTCACACCAAAAATAAACCAAAGGTAACAATGAAACCAGGGAAACAAAATAATAGAAATACCTTGTAGCTTTGGGTTTGTATAAAAAAGAAGATGAAGAGAAAGAAGAGTAACAAAAAAACTTGGTAAAGTTGTGTAGAGTTGATTCAAGTTATTGAGTTTCTTTGTTTATCATTCTCGATGTTGAATTGTTGTCGATGGCGTTACAAAATTGTTTGTCGTAAACTATTCATAGGTAATGCAATGCAAAACGGTGATGAATGATAATAGTTCAGTGGAATATTGGTATCATGGGAGAAGCAGAGGTAACCCAGAGAGGGAGGAAAAAACAAGGACTAAAGTCAGAGATGATGAAAGATAGGATAGCATAAATTATAAATTTATCACCTGCATTCTTTATGAAGCTTTTTTCAACAAGATCAACAGCATTTTTTTGCGTTTAATTGACAAAATGGTTTCAATTCAACTTGGTCATGTCCATCTTGAAACTGGAAAAACCTCTCTGAATCTTTTTTTCCTCTCTCTCTCTCTCTCCCTCTCACTCAAACACTTTGTCTCCTTTTCAATCTCACTCAGTTCATCAAGGATGATGACCTATACCACCAAAAAAAATAAGGAGAGGGAAATATTGAACAGCAGAGGAGAGAGAGAAAAAGAAGCAGAAACGATCAACAAAGATGAAATCTTTTCCTTAAACGATGAATGAGTGAGGATGAATGAATGAAAAAATGAAGAAAAAAAACAGGAGAGAGTTGTTCGGATCCGGTTAACCGGTTTACCGATTCTTCACTTTTCCCACAAGGCAACTTCAGCCAAACTTGACTTTTGAATGGTATTTTGGTTGTTACTTGTTCCTCCAAAATCGAAATTTGACACTATGATCTTGATCAGTTTGCCTGGTTCAGGTTGTTACCGGTGTTCATCCCAACATTAACCCAACACTATGAGAAGATAATTTGGTTATCCATTTTGTTGCTATTTAAAAATATTTGCCAGCCGGAAAGAGAGACAGACAGACTGAAAAAATAACTAATCTAGAGTAAAAAGAAAAAGTCACATCATATGGTTAATTATGAGTAGAAAGAGAGAAGGGGAAAGATGAGAGAGGATAGAGGTGGAAAGAGGAGAAGATAGACAGAGGAAGAAGGAAAAGGAGGAAAAAAAACTTACATGGCAAAATACAAGTTGATTGAATGAATGATGATCAGAATGTGAAGCAAAGTAAAACATGTATGATAACATGTAAGTTGACTAGTTGACGATACAGAAAAATGTAGTCGTGAAAACACGGTTAATTAGCAGCAATTAGTAACAGGAAAAAGTAAATAAAGCAAGAATAAAGATTCAAAAGGGGAAAAAGTTAATAAATTATATTGATAAAAAAACCTTTTTTCCGATAAAAAATATACAAAAGTATTAGATTGAATCAAGTCAATTATCTCACAAGAGAAACTGTTCATCAAAAGTTCTGGCTATTCAACGGGTTCATTTATAATATTAGCTAATTCAACCCAAACTCTGAGCCAAAGTTACTCAAAGGGTTAAAGGCAAAACAAATAAAAAAAGTCGAAACAAACTCGATTTCAGTTTCATGTTTATGAAATTCATAAACAAAACGGTAAAGTTAGCTGTCACCATCTAGCGACAGCCGGTGTAATAATTTGTCAAATGTAGCGACATCTTTTAGCTACAATTCAACTTTTTCTGTAAACAATTTTTTTGTAAAAAAGTTGAAAACTGAAAAGTTATTGATGATTTAATAATGAATTTTATTGTTTATTTAATGTATTTTAATGATAAGTAAGTGACGTTATTCAATTTAAATTTGATCAAATTTATTGATTAATTTCTATTCGCGTCTATGATTTCATTTTTGTTTCCTTCTGGGTTTCCCTCTTTTTCATCTCTTAAAGATTGTCTATTTTTTTATCTGTTTTATTAATTAAATGACATTATCATTGTTAAATTGATATTAAAGTTTAGCAATATAAGTTGTTTTACGTAGATTTATTATTTACTTTCATAACAACTTCAATAGAAACGATGATAATGTCATTTAAATGAAAGTAAATTGATAATAACCAAGCTAAACCTAGTAACAAATGGCAATCAATTGGAGAATGTAATATGTTCCTATCATAACTTATTGCCATCATGATGATTATTGCTGAAAATTGGATCTCTCCTTGATTTTTGTTTTCAAATCAAATAGATTTATTAAGGTGATGTATTCTTCTTCTGATAATAATCATTCTCATCATTGATAGAGTACATTGCATTTAACAGCTTTATCATTTGATGACAGCCAAATGTTTCAATCGAGCTTTGTATTTATTCATGTCTTGTTGATTCTTTTGCAGATTGGGATGGCAATTTAGCTGAACAATATTTCAAGAGCAAAAGAGGAATGGATAAAGAATCAAGTCAAGGATCGTAATTTTGGCCACAACTCTGAATATGCTGTGCAATAAGACGATGCCTTGTTGGATGCCATTTCAAGCCGTCTTTCATTATCATTATCCTGGAGATCCATTCGCAATCAGATTTTTATCACCAAATTGTCAATTAAGTTGACTGATCAATGACACAAAGACAGGGGAAAACAGTAAACAGAGATTAAAAAAAGTATGATCTCAATCATCACTGCTTTACGCTACATTGAGCTGCGTAAAATTTTGATTGCAACCATTTCTCTGGTTTGTATACTTTTGCTTATCCATCGCATTGAAAGGCACCAACACACGCACACATTATCTCTGTTAAATTTAATTAATACTTTGATTGAAAAATTAATTTTCATTTTCCTCTCTCTCTAAACCAGGTTAACCTTGCAAACCAATCTTCCCCCCTGATTAATTGATCCTGTTAAGACCTAATTTTTTCTAATTTTGTCAATGTTCTGTTGTTGTCATCATCATCATCACCAACACCGCCACCAACAAATGCCAATTGACTTGAATCAACTGATTAACTATATTTTTCATTCAATTTCACTTTATATTATCAAGGTTAATCAATGTTATTCCTAGTTATGCTTTTTCACTTCACTTTTCTGTTTCATCATACAAAACATGATTACTTTGCCTCCATTAATCAAAGCCAAACATATTGAAAGACCTTTTAAAGCGATAATAATCAAAGATGCTCAATCCCTATCAAGCTGACACTGGAAAGGTAATCTTTTATCCTGAAATTTCCAGTCCAATATTGAAACAACAGTCAACATCGGTAAAATTGGCCTTTAATCCAGCAATCCATTGACACTCTCATCATGAACCTTTGAGTAGCCATTTATGCTTATCTTAACAATCCTAGATCAAGATTGTTACCAGATTGGATTTTGACCGTTTATTTTAAACGCAATGTGCTGATGATGGATTGATAATGATTAACAAAAAGTCACATGTAATGTGAATGTAAGTGTTGATTAGAAACTCCTTCAATTGTAGACAATTTATATTCACAATCAATGACAAGGACAAAAGGGAAAAGACGTAACAAGACCAACAATCAAAGACTGTACAAAAAAAGCAAGATTAAATTGAATGGAGTAAAATCATAAAGTGAAATGAAACAAATTAAAAGCGTAATCAAGCAAAGAAAATTAAATTAATATCGGAAGCAATTTAATCATCATTAATCATTATTAATAATTCATACATAAAAATTGCCAATAACCAGAGAGTTTTGTAAACATTACATATTGATATGCACAGAATGGCAAACTTATGGCAAGAAACAAATTAATTGCTTACAAAATTGCTTCAAACCCATTGTAAACTTGTTACAAATTTATTACTGTCTCATAATGTAATCATCGGCTCTTTTGCCTTTAATGGTTATCCTTCATAATTGCAATTATAAACCATCATTATTAATATAAAAAGAAGACAGATTTACAGTGAAAGAATTACGATTTAATTGATTTACCTTGATTGAAATGAATGAAAGGCCTTTAAGGTTCGTGTGTGACTTCAACTTAAAGTTATTACAATCATATTTACATTTATATTACAAATGGTTTTGTTATTTATTTATTATTGATTAAATCAGAATTTTAATGAAAAATAATTGTTGCTTAAATTCAATCATTTAAATCATTGAAATTATTGAGATGAAACAGAGAAACATAATTAACATGGGAAATGAAATGAAGAGAAAAAATTTTACCTCATTTTCATTTCTAATAATTGTTAGACATTTTATAATATGTATTTACAGCTGCGTAATTAACATTTGCCAACAATTAATCTTAATCAACCGTAATACCAATCAAGTTTGAAAATTTCTTCAACTTGAGTCCATTTATTGTAAAGGTTAATTCATTGAACACTTGTATCAGTTGATTAAATAACTGGATAGACAAATGTTAAAAGTAAACATTAAATGTCAGTCTGAAAGCACATTTTGTTTCAATTTTCATGGCTTGTATTTAATTGTTTCAAATGACCGTAGTTTTATCAAAATTTTAAACATTTACCAATAATTGCAAAGGTTGACCATAATACAAATCATCTTTTCATGTTACTCTTATTTTATATCAAATAAGGGTGAATCCGATCAAGAAAATTATTTAGATAAAAAGAGATAAATGTGAATAAAAAAGATAAGAGTGAACAAAAGTGTGACGTTTTTACTACGTCACATTTTTAACTTTTCCGAACTCATATTTTTACTAAGAATAGTGTCTTGCGCTTTCATTGATTTAAAAACGTGGTATATTTAAATTGAGTTTTAATTTGATTTGTTTAGTGCTATTGGGTTTAAAATGGTTTTCTGATGGACTAAACACCCAGCCAAATCAGAGAAAATTCAATAGAAATTATTTTACTTGAATTAGAAAAAACTGGGACTAAAAATAAATCAAAGAAAGCTTGGTGAATAGCTAAAAAGCTTAGCTATTTTCACGAAAAAGCTTGGTTTTTAGATTAGATAAAAACATTTTTTTATCTAATCGAAAGATTTTATTTCAATAAAATTTTTATCTAAATAATTTTCTTGATCGGATTCACCTTAAATTACCAATTAATACATATCTTGAATCAATCTTTTGGTTTTTCTACAAACATTTTTCTTACATTTTTATTCCAATTCAATTGTCTTATAAAGGATTTCATGGATTATCAATTATATCGCATTTTGCTTTTTTACTCTCTCTCAGCTTGGTTAACTATAAACTGTATTATAATATGAACAGATATTAACAAAATTGTTGGTTAACCAAAAGTTAATTATCATTAATTTTCATTTTTAACCCTGAACTAATAGTAGTACAATTGGAGTCCAACGATATTGTAATTGAGATAATCTACAAAAGAAAAGAATAGGTAAAAGAAAGAAATTAAAATTTTGCTTTTCAAAAAGGTTATTTTATCAAAACAGATTGAATCTGTTTAATTTTGCATCTCTGACTCTCATAGTGAGTGATTTTTAACTAGTTTTTTTGTTCATAAACAATGGATATTTTTTGCAAGGTTTGGTTTCCCTTCGAATTGTTGCTTTTTTGTTGTTTCGAGCAAAAAAGGCATGCAAAGTATATATAAAAAGTGTTGATATTTTTTTATGTTATGGTTGGATTTTGTTCTCTCTTCATTCTTTAAAAGTTTCACATGATAAACAAAGAGAAATAGGAAAAAAGTGGAAAATGGTACAAGAGGAAGAACTAGAAAGAGATGAAGTAAAGAAGAGAAGGGAAAAGGGAAAAAAGACAGTGAAAAAGAGAATCAAAATTTTTCTTCTTAGCAGATAGCAAATGATTTCTAGGATTTCTCATGTTAATTAACTAATGTAATGTTTTTGTTTTTTTTCTTTGAAAAAAAATTGATAAAGTTAGCTCTTTTCTTTCCATTTGTTTCCATTTTTACTCGATTCCATTGAGTTGATACAAATTGTATATTATACCACAGCCATTAAAGGATTAAAAATTGAATTTACAACCAATTTTACATGGTTATTTCCGCTTGCTTTTTTAGTATTGAAACTGAATGTAGAACATGAACATGATAGTGAGCCTTGTGAATTCAAGTGTGTATTTGTTGAGATATTATGGTTGATGTACTCCTTTTTATGTCGAGTTGAATGTGCGTGTGTACATCATATCATTTCATTTGCCAATATCTCCCATGATCACTACTGGATTAGTATTTACTCCAACATCAGTTGTTGATAATTTGGATTCAGTTTGGGTTTCTGCGTCTTTCAGTTTACCATTAACTAATTTATTATTAACAATTTGGGACTCTTGTAAATCATTAGAGTCATGATTTGAATGCACCACTCCATTGGTCACATTATCGTTGGTAGTATTGTTGTTAACATTATTGGTAACGGTATTGTTAACATTACTAGCTATATTAGAGTTAACATTACAGTTGGTATTACAGTTGACATTATTGTTTATGCTATTATTTGTATTAGATGTATTATTATCACTAGTATTTGTATTATTGTGCGAGGACGATGAGGTTGTTAACTTTTGCAGTTCTTGTTTCAAATTTTCTAAATGCTGTTGTTGATGTTGCATTTGTTGTTGCTGTTGAACTAGTTGTTGAAAACATACTTGGGTATCCTGAGCATTTTGCGTCTCTTGAGCTTCTTTGGCAGCTTCTTGCATGGCTTTATTTAATTTTTGCTGTCGATTGCGGAGTAACAAGCTAATTTGATTACGAATTAAAAGAGCAACTGTTCGAACATCTTCTTCCATCAAGAAACCTGTAGCCACCAAAGCTAAAGCAACTTCATCAGCGTTGTCTTTATCGATCTCAAAGTAAAATTGGATAGCTTCATTTTCCTTGTATTTATCTTTCCTTTTTTTAGGATCAGTAACAATCAATCGGAATTCAATCTTGTTACTAGTACTGTTGATGTTTTCTTCTTCATTCACAAATTCAACTTTAAATCCGGTATTTTCTTGAAAAAAGTCCATTTGGAGAAGCTCCTTGACGGTGGGCCGTTCAGTTTTATCCAGCCTAATGCACATTCCAATTATATCACGTATTTCTTGATTTTCGACTTTGTCGAAACTTGCTGGTGGCACTCCGGAAGTAACCTTTTTGTAAATTTGAGCTGGCCCAGAACACTCAGAATATGGATATTCTCCGGTTGCCATCTCGAGCATACACATACCGAAAGCATAAACATCAACTGATTCATCATAATGTTCTTCATACATTTCTGGTGCCATAAATTCCGGCGTACCAATAACGCTTTTGGCAAATGAACGATTTTTCAAGGTGGCAAGTCCAAGATCACCAATTTTAACGGAACCATTGGTGCCCGTAATAAATATATTGTCACATTTAAGATCTCTATGGATAATCGGTGGAGTCCTAGAATGTAAAAAGTTTAACCCTTTTAATATTTGACGACACCAAGATTTTAGCACTTTGATGTTGATCTTTTTAAAACGTTTTAAGTATGTTTTAAGGGTACCGGAAGTCATCAATTCCGTTATTAAGACTAGACACTTTCGGTTTGGCGAATTAACCTCTATATAATCATAAAATCTCACTATATTGAAATGCTGTAGACCTTTGAGCATTTCAACTTCCTCACGAAATCTTTGTCTTTCACATTTGGATAGTCTTTCTTGAAGCTCACACCAGGCTACCGCAGCCCCAGTTTGGGTGTCCAAACCCTTATAAACTGTTTTAAAGGAACCTCGACCAATTTGTTCAAATTTCAGGAATCGTCCATCCGGGGAAGATTCAACCGCATTTAACTTATCATCTCCATCATCACTATCCTCGACATGATTATTGTTACCATTTTTCATGTGTTTCTCTGTCTCAGTTTTTTGATTCTCCTTGACTGATGGCTGTTCAGCTACCTTTTCATCGGGCTGTTTCTTCAATCCGTCATCTTCAAATGGATTGTCAGGATACATTGCCATTTGCATTAAAATAAAATAAAATAAAAAAGGGATAAGAGAGGACAACTGGAAAACTGGAACCTGTTACAACAGAAAAAAAAGGATGGAGAGAAAAAGAAGAGAAAAACATATATATAGACACATAAAATAACCAAAAAGCTAAAGAGGAAAAGGATAGAATGATTGACTCAATACCAATTGATCAGACTGGCCCAATTGAGGGTTAATATTATCTGTATGAGTAAAATAGTCATTCAAATGAAGAAAAGTGTATAAATCTTACCTCAGATTGTGAGCAAAATTCACTTGTCTCTTCAATTATAACTGTAATCAAGAATAAAATAAAAAAATGAAAATTTGACTGCCGTTCAGGATTGAAATGAAAATAATGATTTGTGTTCCTGCACAAACGCAAAGATAAATGAACAAATATTTGTTAGTTCCATCTTTTAAACAAAAATTGAACCAACATGGCCACGCCTTGATCAGATGAGCATTTTTTGCGTTCAACATTTTTTTAAATCATCCGCGTGAATAGCTCATCATCATGGTTTGCGAATCAAATATTGTTTCCAAATTGTTATTGTCCAATTTTGAATAATTTGTTTTTTGTAATTTTGAAACCCTTAATTGCCTTGTTTTATTATTTAACTTTCAATTTCCCTGGTGACAAAAAGTTTTCCTTGCTTAACTGTTGTATTTCGATCACTTTGATCAGCTGTAATCTTTTTTATTTTGTTTTTTTTCGCCATCTAAATAGTGTTAATTTTGTTCTTATTTACCATGATTCGTCGAGGTACTAAACGTAAGCCTACCACCACACAGAATCAAGGTCCTGGTCCTGGAAATCGTAAACCCAAATCTGAATTTAATCCTCCAAAACTGCCGGCTAATGGATATCCTACAGAACATCCTTTCAATAAAGATGGATATCGTTATATTCTTGCAGAACCTGATCCTCATGGACCTTTCCGCCAAGAATTTGATGAAAATCAAGATTGGGCGGGTAAACCAATTCCTTGTTGGCTTTATCGTAGGCTTTGTCCGAAATCCGTTTTGGTTGCAATGCACGATAGAGCACCACAGTTGAAAGTTTGCGAAGATAGGTTAACTGTTACTGGTGAAAGGGGCTATTGTATGGCTCGTGCAACTCATGGAGCTCATTATGGGTCGTGGTTTTATGAGATTAAAATTACTGATATGCCTGATGGTTCTCATGTTAGACTTGGATGGAGTCAAGAATTAGGTAATCTGCAAGGTCCCTGTGGATATGATAAATTCAGTTATGCTTGGAGATCAAGAAAAGGAACCCGGTTTCATGAAAGTATTGGCAAGCATTTCACTGACGGTGGTTATGGTCAAGGAGACGTGATTGGAATGTTAATTGTTCTTCCTAAAGACGATGATCCTGAGTCGCCCAATAATCCTAATTACTTGCCACCAACTTTCAAAGAGAAACCATTAGTTAAATTTAAAAGTTATCTCTATTTTGAGGAAAAGGACGATATACCTGCTGCATTGAAAAATTTGCAACCATTAAAAGGAAGTAAAATTATTTACTATAAAAATGGCCAAGAAATGGGAACAGCATACGAAGACATCTACAAAGGTGTTTATTATCCAGCAGCTTCTTTTTATAAAAATGTTACGTTAACTTTTAATTTTGGGCCCAACTTCGTTTATCCGCCAAAAGGAGTTGAATACAGAGCAATCGAAGAATTAGCCGAAGATGCATCGTCTCGTCAAACGCTTTCCGATCTTGTATATTTTGCAGAAAATGATGGTCTTCTAAGACTTGATACTTTCTACGGGACCGCTCCTGTGGGAAGTTAACACTTTTTTCTTAATATTTCGCTAATCATATCATCCATCAAATGTATATTTTGTCAAAAATCATGATCAAATTATTTTTTTCCCAGCAAAGTTCGCAAATGTAAAAGTGATCTCATCATTTGTCATCATTAATATTGAAATTTTTGCACAAGAGAAACACTTATAGTCATCATTTTGATCAAAAAATAAAAAAATTCCAACTCAAATTTTATGTGTAACATTTATTATACAACTATTAGTTCGAAGGATTTTTACAACAAAATTTATGTTAACCTGTTAAATTAAGATTGATTACGTGGTTTTGAATGAGCGATGGCATTTAATATTCTCATAGATTTTAAAGTTTGGACCAGGTTAACACCATTAAAATTGCCATTATTGTTTTTACAGATATTTACCAATTTTAATAAAATTATACGTAAACATCATAATCGTAAAGTGCAAGTTCTTCTTCTGATGGCAGTTGCGATAACATTTTTTCAGCAGGAATATAGTCGGGATCAATATAAGGTAACCCTAGCTTTTCACGTCGCTCTATTTCAAGATAAGCTTCCCTCAGTGCCCAAAAGTCCCATTGTTGACGACCTGCTACTATACCCGGACCAGAAAGGATATTTCTAGGTGCATAATCAGGTCTATAATAACGAGAGATAAGAGCTCCCCAGACAAAAAATATAATAATTGTAGTGGCTGCATAGTAATGCATCTCGTATCTATCGTGTTTTTTGCTTATTGGATCGCAACCATATGAAAGCCAATTCTTATCTTCACCTTCGGGATTCAAAAAGTCTTCAACAGTTTTTGGTCCTGGTGGTCTTCTCTGTAGCCCAGGGCGAAGGTAGATGTCACCATCACCACCATAAGGAATAGATGGAGGAATATTGTCATGGCCAGAAGCTTTGCCTCCACCAGTACCATCATTGCCAGTTTTTATTAAACGCACCGATGAGTTATAAGATGTACCAATTAGGTTATGTCTTCTAAATAGTCTCACAGTATTAAACAATCTAAACAAAACAAAAATTAGAAATCATTTCTTAGTTATCGGTCAATATAATGAAGCATTTGTTTACAAATGATGATGAAGATGAGAGAGGTCATAGAAGTAAATAAAAAGGCAAATTCTGCAAAGAAGTTTGAGAGAGAATGGAATAAACAATTAACAGTGAAAGCTGCTCACCTGAAAGGTATCATCATTCTGATGGTAAATATGGATTGTTAATAGCGAAAATCGGTCAAAATTAAATAAATAAACAGCAATTAAGGTCGATACACAAAACCACTCACAATTTCAGCTCAGTTGAGGGACCGTTTCCATATGAACACACGTAAAATATCAATGGATTTAAAAACTTGAGATTATTGGGAGTTATTCAATTATTTTATGACAATTATGGATTTTATTGAAAAAATTTACTAATTTATTTAAACTATAGTTTGTTTTTGATGACCTCAAAACAATAATTTATTCTGGAACAAATGAAATTGCATTGAGCTCAATTTAAGAGTCATAAGATTGACAGAAATATATCAATATTCTTGTCCAATCTATGATATTTGAGTAATTCATTTAAAAGATGAAGATGAAAATCTGAAATTAATTATTTCAATTAATATTTTCCATGTTTATTCAAAAAAATTAAATAACTTTTCTCTTTGATTGTTATTTTAATTTGAATTTGGTCATTTACATTGTTTATATATTTCCCTTAAGAGATGGCGCTTCAACCTAATCTTTGAATCATTTTTGTTTTCATTCGAAGTTTCACTGTTTAATAAATTGTTATCAATTAATTAGTGTTTTCAATTGATTTTTTTCAATACTGTGTTTGCAGACATCTTAATTTGTGCCAGAAGGTATAGGAGTAGTTTTTCAGTGTAAAAATATGGATGTTAAACCTGATTCTGATTTGGTTGCTGAACCTGCCAATGAAGAGGAGGAACTGTCAGCTGAGGAGATTGAGGAAAGAAGAATCAAATGTAACCAATTTAAACAAGAAGGGAACGAAAAATTTAAAGAAAAATGTCTCGATGAAGCCATTAATTTGTATTCTAAAGCTATTGATCTGTGTCCTCTTTCCGATATCAAGGAGAGATCAATTTTGTTCAACAATCGGGCGGCTGCTTATTTTCACAAACATGGAGAATTAAGTGAGCAAACTAATGAAGAAGAAGTGAATGAGGTGGATGAAAAAGATGAACTGGGTGAACCGAGTGAAACAGAATGCACTGTGAAGAAAGAAAGTTGGCTTGAAAAATGTGTTGCAGATTGTACAACGTCAATTGATCTTAATCCAAGTTATGTAAAACCATATTTAAAGAGAGCTCAAGCTAATCGAAAGATTGGAAAAGAAAATTTGGACAAAGCCTTGGAAGATTATGAAATGGTTTTAAAGATGGACCCGTCAATTAAAGAATCGTATTCTGCCATCAATGAATTGAAAGTAGAGATTGATAAACGCAATGAAGACCTCAAAAACGAGATGATTGGAAAACTGAAAGACATTGGAAATGTTGTTTTGAATAAATTTGGCCTCTCCACCGATAACTTTCAAATGGTCAAAAATCCCGAAACTGGATCCTATTCCATCAACTTTAAAAGTTGATAGTTGATAATTAAATACAACGACACAACAAAACAATGTACCGTATTTAAAACAAAAGCTGATGTATTTATTAAGATGAAATCATTTAATTCCTCAATTTGTTATGCAACCTCTTAAAAAATGTATTAAAAATCCTTTTCATGTTAATCTTTGCCGTGTTTACTATTCCGAAAATTGTTTCAAGATATTTTTAAAGCCCAGCACACGCCATTGACATGTGTTTGGGTTAATGATTAGCGCCGAAAGAAGCAGCATTTGCTGGGCGAAAGTAAAACTAGAAAAAGTGACAATTTTTTCCATTGTGACAAGATTTGTAATTTACGGTAAAGAAACCCAAATGTGCAAGTAAAAACCTGGTCAATATATTTTTAATTTGGTAATTAAGCAAAAATGCACGAGTCAAACCACAAAGTTGACCACATTGAGAGTCCAGGTATGAAGACTGCACACCAAGAAACCACAACAATAATGACAACTGTAATAATAATGTCAATAAATCATAGTAAAAATGTCATAAATCAAGTGTTGTTAGCATTGAGAAAAAATATGTACATCAACTCAAACATCTACATCTTTAGATACACAAGTTGATTAACATTCTCATCTATTGTAATCATTCAATACCAATTGTTATTTGACTTGATGGTCACCAAAAAGAGATGAAAATTATTGATAAAAGTATAAATTGTCAACCATATTAGATGTCGTTTCGTTTACTTTTATTATTACAAGTAATAGTTGTACTTTTATTTGCTTCATCATGATTGTCATACAATTTTATTAGATACAATTAAGATTGCTATATAAGATATGATTTTTCATCTAATAATATTAACATGGACATTAACTCCAATCTAAATGTAATCATCAATAATGTTAAATCCTATTATACTAGGAACACAAAAATGAGTATCTTTTAAATCATAAATTGAACCGTATAACTAGTGGAAACGGTGAAGAGTCCAATTTGCATTATTTTCAACCGTATAAAGTAGTTAGATGAAAAGTTTATATCAACAAAATACTATAACCATTATCATGATAATTTAGTTTCGCAAATCAATCTAAAAGATTGATTATAATTGTGTAAAAATAAACATAATCAACTTTGACAACAATATCACCATCATTATTACCATCATCATCGCTAGTGGCAAAAGTGAATCCAAGGAAAACCCGAAGGAATTGGAATTGAAATTATTTAAATTGATAGGCAATACTGAATGAATAAAAAATGTTATCTATTCTATTAAATCGATTAATTATTTAAAAATAAAGACAATTTTAACAGCCTTAAAAACAATAATGCCAATAAGGGTAATAATGATTATTTGAACAATAATAATTTGCCAATAACAAATAACCAGACAAGTTGAAAGGTAAGAGGAGAAGTGGTGAAAGAAGGCAAGGAAGAAGAGAGAAAAAACAACGAGAATTTGTTTGAATGGTTTTGAACATTAGTGAGTTTTGCGAGATGTTATTGTGTTATTAGTTGCTTCAAGATCAGTATAATATTGACCTGATACCGCCGAAGGAGCAATAATAATAACAATAATAAGAGAAGGGGAAGAGGAAGAAAAGAAGAAGAAGAAGAAGCCACCCTGTTGACTCTTCTTCTTCCTTTTCTTGTTTCTTGAAAAATTTTAATGGGCATTGCACCCACTAAAAAAAAGGTAATACCCAGTATTGTTAAAAATTTTATGGAACCTTGGCTATTCACGAACGGTAAGACGATCATGTTGATGAGTATGATGAGTATAATGATGACGAGTATGATGGTGAGTATGATTGGCAATGTTTTACTATGTTTTGTTTTTACCATCCATGGTCTTATCACGGTATATTGGCCTTATATATTACTTTAACGTTATCATTGTGATTTAGACTTGATCACCCAATGCCCAGAAGCTAGGTACTTTGTTTCACTTGACCATGTTACAACGTTTTACTTTTTCACATTGTTTAGCTTTCTGGACAGTCCATCATTTGTTTTTCATCAGCTTTCATCAGTATATTGTCCATAGACCAGATAGACCGCTACTTTCAAGACAATAATTATAATTTAGTATACATATTTGACCATCTTTCCGGCTTCTCTGTTCACCAATCATTGAATTCTGTTGCATTCCAGTTGAGTCTGTGAATCTGGTGATGATGGGGAAAACAATTTGACTTGTTAATTAAATGAATCACAATGAATAGCAATTAATTATGAAGGCTTTACTTGCATTTAGATTAATAGTTTCTATCATTCTATCTCTCTCTCTTTACATGCCATTTTATGAATAATTTGGTTAATCTTTTTTAAATGATGAAATAAAAACGGTTAAAGCACACTAACAACTGAAACAATTGTATAATGATAGGATCAATGATAAAATTATAAATGATGAGAAGAGTAATCTATTAATAAATAATGATTTAATGGAAACAGAAATCTGTTGCTGAATATAAAAACTAATTTCTCTCATGATAATTGGAATCATTAATTAATCCATTTAATTTCATTTTACCCTTTTATTTTGGTTTTACCTTTTTTCTCATTTAAGGTTAACCTATTTATTGCTTCTCATTTATTACAGGCAAACCTCACAGCTTGAACAAAAACCAAATCAAATTACAAGCAAATCAAAACAAGTAAAGCCAGTTAATCAATTAAACCAGTTAACAGTAAAGAAACCTTACCTTTATGGAATACATCTTTGATCAATTTAAATAATTTCCTAATAATCACACAATTAAAACAAAATCAATACAAAACTGGAAACATTTCAAAGCCGAGATAGCACAAAAGAAAAGCAAAGTCCTCTCAGAAAGACCGGCTGTTAAGGTAGCTAAAGTAAAATATCTTTTCTCAATTAATTCTATAGAATAAATTTACTTGAGATTTATAAAATTTAGGATAACAATAAAACTCTGAATCACTTCTAATCATATTAATTGATTAAAATAAAGTGAATTGAATAAAAAATTTAATTGAACCAATTTACAATTTCCAAATCTATTCACACTAAAATACTGTTAAAATAGCGTTAAGCGCTAATCTTACTAAAGTTACATCAGCTGAGTAAGTCAATTTTCCTGATCCTCAACAGTTGTTATGTTAATTTTTTTACTAATTAATGTATTGTTTTACTTAATTATCATTGTGTCAACTTTAAATAAACATTTTTTTCATCGACTTCATCTAATTTTCATCAGTCTATCAAAAGATATGATTGAAAGAAAACAAGTAAACGCGTTGAAAGGCTAACAATAAAAAGGTTATCATCATCTTCATAATCATCATCAATCAAAATCTTATTTTGACAATCACTGTAAGTATAACAATTACACTTTCATCTTCTTCCTCCATTCTTGCCTTTCTCCTCCTTCCTAACCTTTCCAACTTTATAAATCTTCCTCACTCTCCTCCTCTTCATCTTTTGCTTCCTCTCTTCATCTTTTCATTTCTCCTCTCACTCCTCCTTCATCCTCATCTTCCGTATAGGTTATGTTATAGCTTTTCTTTTGCCTTTCTCCTTTTCTCCAAGATATATCCATCTTCATTTATTAAAGAAAGACCTAAGATGATGATAATCAAGTTGATGAAGAAGCAACAGCGAAAAAAGTCTCAAGTCAATAAAAATCTCATGAGATTTTTCATCAAATTTGATGGCATTTTTTTCTTCTCTATTATTATCTAGCTGAACAAGTGAATAATTTCAATTGACTCTGATTCTAAAAAGATTTTGATGACATTTTCATCATTCTCATTATCATCTTAGTTTCTTTTTTTGGGTGTCTTATATATTCTTATAAAAATTATGCTCCTTCTCTAACATTTTATCAATTTATTCTTATTATTTCCTACAGATATTAGATAAACCTTTATTACAAGAAGATGGAAACAAGATGACAAACGCAAGCTGACTAAGGTAAAGATTTGGTGAACATCTTTACTCATTGTTTGGATCTTATTTTTACTTTGATGACTTTATCTGTTGACTGAACATCGTTGAACAAATAACTAAAGTAATATTATTATTACTATTAATAACAACAATACGAGGAAAGAAAAGGATGAAATCTCAACAAAAATATCAACAGATTAAACAGATTATGCTTTGACATCAGGACTTTCAAGATGATATAATTTTAGCTAAACATTTCTTGTTTATTCTTTGTGTGTTTGTAAAACGAAATTGTTACAATGTTGAAAAAATCAAACTCTATCATTTTTACCTGAGTTCTGATGAGGCTCATTTTAACGATAATAATATTATTATCATTATTTATTCAACATTAGCATAATCGATGTTTACAACACACAAATACAGTGTGAAAAAAAGGTTTTTACATTTGTGACAACATGTAAATAGCTGTATGTGTGTCGCGTGTTATAATACCGATACAAAAGGATCAAGGGTTAGACACACACACATAGACACACAAGGTTGAGATTTAGATTTGGATTAAGTTAACAGATTAGTGTTGTTAAACAGTGATATAACATTATAAAACCAAAAAAGATGCGTTAACATCTTTTTAGGGTTTCATCTCTTACCTCAACAATAAAGTAAGTATGCAATTATAAACAATCAAAACAAAAAATGGTCAATAAGTTGAAGGGTATTTACAGACGAGCAAAAGGGAAAATGGCCTCTGAAAAAACTCTGATTAAACGTTGTTTTAGATGCGTTTATTGATATTAGCTCTGAAATTCAACTGTTCAAATAATCTAATACTTTTTTTTTCTTTCTTCCAGAACTTTCCCAGATGATCTCAAACCCATTTCCTATGGACATTAAGATGACCAGTTTTGAAGCCAAGAAATAACTCAATATTGAAAGCTTAATATTTGGAAATGCAGCTGAATCCGTTTCATTGGAATCCTGGAAATTTGTCCTTATTACCACGAAATTTGGTTTATTTTGAGAGTTGATCGCTTGTATCTTGTTACGGTCTTAAGTTGTTGCGAGCCTCGTACCACTTGAACTGCTTTCTTCTAAAGATACTCAAAGGACGGAATAAATATAAAAAATTTAGATAAGATGAATCCATAATAGACACTCAGATTCATAATTAATAAATATGTAATTAGCTGGATCCATATTGAAATTGATTGCTGAGACATTTAACGTTGAATACTTAATAGTTTATTGCTGATCAGACGCATCGTGATTGATTATATGAAACTTGCATTGGGCGCTTACTCAATCACGGTAAATTTATGTGTACGTATTACAACGATTTGGGCAAAAAAAGTGTTTTTACTGTTATTATGGACGATATATTTTAACTTTGTGATGAGATGTAACAAACGGCAAACACTTACACAAAAGAAACGTTTGCCGTTGTCTGTAACCTCCAACAATTAAACTCTAATTAGACTGTAATTTTCTGTCAATAGATTCCTCCATCTCCCTCCCTTCCTCCCTCTCTCTCTATCTCTACTTCTCTCTCCTTTTTGTAACCAATTAGCTTCTAATGGGTTTACGGTATTTTTTGTTGCCTTTTACTTGAAGTTTACTGTTGATGCTTTACAAACCTCTCTCAATACCCTTAAATGGTACTAAGTAAACTTATGCCGAGTTGACCTTTCTTTTGACTTTACATTGGTTTCGTTTTTCTTCCTCTTCTCCTCCAACTGATAATGGTGGGCGATGATGATGATAATGATCCGACAATATGAAATGAATAGGCAACTAGGATATTGCATTAAAAGGATCCTCTTTCGGTGACCAATATACTAATCATCATATCTCATAACTTTACTGACCATTTAAGTGATAAAAATAACAAAATGGTAACACCAATGATTATTATCTCTTCCTTTTCCGTTGTTTAAACATTTCAACTCAAATTATCTACTCAATACTACTCTGGTTAGATTCATCAACAATGTCAGAAGTCAAAAGCAAGATAAAAAACCAAAGCTAAAGCCATCAAAAATAGGAAACAGAGTCAAAGCTGAATCAATCTTCAAATCAATCTTTGAATCTACTCTGAACTTCATTGAGCAAAAACCTCGAATAAAACTCAAGATGAAAGAAGCTGAAAACCCATTGACAGAAACAACAGAATGGAATCAAACGTTTAAAAAATCTCATTCCAAGACCGATCGCAAGTCATTCCTCAGCAAGCCAGGCCTCATGAAGAGCGCTCCTATTTTCAATGAAAATAAAAATTCATCTGAATTCGAAAAAAAGAATTTCCGACACCGGGAATTGAACCCGGGCCTCCTGGGTGAGAGCCAGGTATCCTAACCACTAGACAATGCCGGATTCAGATAAAGATAAAGTTCTGAAAATTGATAATATTCAGTCTCAACCAATTTTCATTGTTTTATAAAAAGGCTTATTGAATGTGTTTATTGAAAAGTGGCCGTTTTATTGAACATTTAGACTTAAATTCAAAGTAAATATCTTTCATTGAATGCTTAATGAATCGTAAATAAATATAATCAACTTTGTTGAAAAGTTAATCATTTCCATCATAATCATTATTACGATGGCAATGAAATTGAAATTACCTTTAACCGTTCAATACTCTTTGTCACTTTGACCAATTTTCGTTGATCTTTCTTCTCTGATTGTTTGACATTTTCCTCTATTGATATCAATATTATGGTTTTGGACATAAATTTCCAATGGTAATAAGAGGCATCATTGGAGGTGGTTAACAAGGTGTTGATACCATTGAAAGGCCTGATCACCATTCAATGTTATCTTCATTAGAATCAAATGCTCTGTGTTGTGCCCGAGATTATATTTAAAGTCAAAGGACACGCGACAGTTTACCAACAAGTGATGACAATAATATATAAATTATAAACAGACAAATAAAAACGGGACAACAATGTTCAATCAGAACAGTATCACCATTTTTCACCAGTCAAAATATTTGGCTCAATTTTTGAACCGTTTCCAATTATCGCCTCCAACAAGGACAACAACAACAACAACTTTAGCTTTTTGTAATAAATCTTGATCCAAAGGAAAGATGAAAGTTAAAGAGTGACTCTGTATTTATAAATATATACGTGTGTGTGTAAGTGTGAGTAAAAGTGAGACATAAATATATCTATCCGAATGGTCAATGGTCAGTCAAAAAATGTTGAACGTTTAAAAGAAGACATAAAATTTTACAGAGAAAATGAATGAAGAAAAAAAAATAACTTTCTCTCTCCTTTAAACCCATTTTACCACCTTCCATTGAAGTCGATAACAATTGGTGATGAAAAGCCAAATGCTGTTTTAGCTGTGGATGGACACATGAATGGACCAAACAAGAAGAAGAGGGCGAAAAGAAGGACAAAAAAAGGAACCAAAATCAGCCTTCAAAATGACATTCATTTTCGGTAACAACTTTATTATTAACCTTTGCCCAAGAAAAGGCCAATCAAATTACAATCAACTTTATTCTGACATTCACCAATTGATTGAATTTCGTTCATTTTTGCTGTTCAAAGATATTGAACATTTTGGTGGTGACTTTAGTTTAGTCTCTTCGTCGGTAAAGCTAATTGCGATACTAAAATTAGCAGTTGATTTGAAATCATAAATTGATTTAGTTGAGACAAATGCACAGTTTAACTGTTTGATAAAAGGTTCACATTGAAGTGATTATTGGTGTTCATTATTAATGACAATCCATTTGGTATTTTAAAGTAATGATTGCCGCTAATTATCATCATAATGTACAAGACAATAACATTGAATTGAAGGCATAAATTGAACTTCTAAAAATAATGTGAATCGCTGGTGAGGAAAAGTAAACTTTAACCTTCCCTCTTCATGGATTCACAATTGGATGCTAAAAAAAGCACTTTTTAACAGCCTTTTACACTTGATACTTTCACTTGGTAAAATACTTTCCCTTCATCTATCAATGATCATCCTTTTTTTTTATCGGATATTGCTTTTTGTTGGACCTTTTTTAGGACCTTCATCATTCCAGAGTAAAAGTAAAACACTCAACAAAGCGAGGTAAAAAACACGAGAAAAAAGTAAAGGTAAAAATAGATTGAATTTTAAAGTAAAAAATAACAAGTCTTTAGTGTTTGAAGGGAAAAAAGCGTTTATTAAGAGTTTGTTGGTCAAAGTAAATGATGGTTTTAATGAGATTTGTATAGTTACAGTGAGTTTCAATGAAAAGGAATGGTTGTATTGGGTGAGATTGAGGATGATAATGATGTTGAGGTAAAACTTGGAATCGTGTTGGTCGAGGGAACGCTAATGGGTACACTCAATGGACCATTGGGTTGGACATTTGAACGAACTGACATCATAGAGTGACTAGGATATGAGCTGAATGATGCTAAATAAAGCTTGCTCCATAAAGCTTGCTCAGCTAGGCTGAAATAGGCTGCCAGGGCAGGATCAGGGTGGCTGTGCATGGGAAAGGGCCAAACAATTTGCGTTGTTTGACGTTTGTCTGGATCAAGAAGAGAAAGAAAATCGAAGCAAAAATATTAATCAAATGAATTCACATAAACACAGGAAAAACATTTCATCAGAATCACATTTCTCATCTAAACCCAAAAAAAAGAAATTTTTTGAAAATTCAATTTTTCCAAAAAAAATTACAAACAATGAACAACTTTTTCAAGATTCAAGACTTTGAAAAGTCTCTAATCTGAGTTGGAATAAGAAATTTCAAAAGATTTTTCTTGATAAATTATTGTAAATTGAAACAGAAAAGTTGAATTTTTGAGTTTCTTTTCATTTTCTTCTGAAACTGATGAATGTTGAGATTGGATGAAAAAGATTGAATTTTCTTGTCAGATTTGTTTTTAAACTTACTTTTCATCCGTCTGTTTTGAAACCAAACTTTGATTGTTGACTCAGGTAGGTTTAACGATGAAGCCAGTTCACATCGACGAGGCCTTGAGACGTACTGTTCCGCGGTGAACTCCTTTTCCAGTTGAGCTAATTGTTCCCGAGTAAAGGCTGTTCGATATCGTCGATTGGCTGCTTCCGTGGCCGATTGATTGTCGGAACTTTTTTTAGGGGAAATTGTTTTTCTTTCAATTTTCATGGTGATGATGATCACTAACCCCAACTTCAATTCAAATTGTTAATCATCTAATAAAGTTTACCCAAAACTGAAGTCCAACAATCTTGCCAGTCACACTCGACACTGTGATCCTCCTCTTCCTCCTCCTCCCGATCATCATCACAGTCAAAAGGCCAACAATAAACTCCTTCCTAGTTGGCCCTTGATTTTGCGCACTTTTCATTTTTCCATCTTCATCCACTTCTTCATCTTCATCCTCATCACCATCACCGCCATCATCATTATAATCATAATCATCCTCATCCTGATCATCACCATCATCATTATCATTATTATTATCATCTGTTATAGGAAGGAAGAAAAGCTCAATCCTGAAATCTCAAGCAAAGAATAGATTCTGGAAACTTTGCTTTTCTCTCTGATTCTTTCATTCTTAATTGCTCCATGAGTAGCTTTTCACCTTTCATTTGAATTAATCAACTTTTCTCTTAACCATATTGGCCTTTATGTACAACCATTTAAGTTGATTGTTTGCTTCCAGTTTTACGTTGTTTACCTGTTTATTAGCTTTTATCATCAATATTATTGTTATATTACAATCTTTACCTTCCTTTTGTCTGTTAGTGCGAGCTTTTGTTCAATCTGTTTTTGCGCTCTTTGTTTTTACCTTTTATTTCAACTTGTTTCATTTTGTGGCTCATAAATGAAACAAAAAGGTTGCCAATAATGTTTCCTATGATCAACAATCATGCAATTATTACAACTATTATTGGTTATTATCATGATTCAAGGTTAAATTGATTCTCATTCAAATTCAATCTCTTTTCCTATTATTGTTGCTTGCTTTTCATAATACAATAAATGTTCATTGTTGTTGGTATAAAATTTAAATTTACCCATTTTAATTGAATCAATGATTGATTATTGGTTTCAGTTGGTTCATTTTAAATTTTAATTTAAATAAGCTAATAATTGCACTCTAAATGGTAAATTAAAATCGTTTCATCAAGTTTATCAAAATAATCTAAATAAAGGTTTCAGCTTTGGATTTAATGCAACATCGATTTTGCTGTTTAATGTTTATGAGGATGGAATCAATTTTTGATCAAAATTTCCAACATTTCTATCATTACTCTGAATAAAGTCAAGTCAAAGTTTTCCTGGAAATCCAACGAGCTGAAACTCTTTAGTTATATTTGCTATTGGGAAAGTGCGCATTTGATACAAATGCGAAACAAGAGAAACTGTCCCTTATATATCGATATCATGAGCTGTTTATAAGATTTTTCATGATATTTTAGAAAACAAAAGATCCATGTTTCAGATTTTTGCATTTGAAAGATCAGATTCAGTCACATTTATAGACCATTCTAGATCAATGATCGTTCTCAGAAGAAATGCATCAAAATTGAAGTATTTTTTGCAGGATGAAAAACTATGAATATTTGAGATGGTTGTTACAATCCATGATTAATGTGATTCATTTTTCACGAAAATAACATGTTGAAAACGGTGAAATAGGCCAGCTTTGCCGATCTGTTTGATGTGCCAATGGATAAACTAAAATTTGGACAAGTTTCATTTCATTGGCTAATTACAATTAAGGATTGAACAATTTATATTTTTTTAGTCTTAATTTCGAATCTTGTGTATTTGAAAAATGCGTCGATTGAATCTCGGCTAATCAAATTTAATCACCTAATGATCAAAGCTTATACGCTTAAGATCAAAGCTAGTATTTTATGTAAAAAATTTCATTCAAATCGGTTAAGAAATAAAGAAAATAAAAATGTTCAAAATCCATTCATTTTGTTTTGATTTCCTAATAAAACAAACTTACAAACTCAATCTATCGATATCAATACGCTATTTAAATGGGCCTTGATTTGCTACTTGACTTCAATTTAAAATAAACCAAATAATATCTAAAAATCGCTAACAAATAATGGTGATGCAAAAATTACGGTCATTTCCAAGTGAATCAGAAAATATTCTGCTTTGAATAGATGACAGTTTTTCTGCTTCTCTTATTTAGTTTTGAACGCAAATCAACTGCAAAACCATGAAAATGACCATTTCTGGTAGATAAAGTGATTACAAACCTTTTCTCACAATAATAATGACGGCCTTTGATTGAACTTGACCCATTAGTTTGCCACAACATGTGACAATGGGCAAGTTTCCAGTCGAGTTAAACAATTCAAGTTCAACTTTGAATCTATTGACATTGCCTTTTCCTATAAACAATGATGACAATGATGATGAAAAGAAGATGATGGCTGATGGAATCAGTTTAGATGAAAAGAGTGCAAGTAATAAAGGAATAATAAAAATTGTGATCATGAAAAGGGAAAAACGAATGATTCCAATGGGAATATCAGAATGGATTATGAACCTTATTTTCTGTCTCTTCCCTTCAAGTCAATTGAAAAAAAGTAACTTCGGAGTTTTTTCTGACAAAATGACAGTCATGATGATTCGGAATGAATCTGAGCAAAAGCTTGGACCAATTTAATGAATGGAGAGAAAAGAGAAGAAATTTTTCTTCTCTAAAATGAACAGCTCAAATTATAATCATAATGATGTTGATGAATGGGTTTGAAGACAAGTTTAAATGATGAAGGTGTAATAAAGATTAACATTGAATATTGATTGATATTGAATATTGTTACAATGGGAAAGGTAATCCATTTAGACTCACACCAGGAACACTTAACAGTTTAATTTAGGATACAAATATTGTTAGGTGAAAATGTCATGAGCAAGTAAAATGTTGTGTTAAAGGTTGTCCCTTTTTTTGGAGGGTAAAGAGGAGGATGATGGAGGAGGATGATGGAGGATAAGAAGATGAAGAGAGGAGAGGAAAAGGTTGTTTAATGAAAAGAAGGAGGAAGGTGAAGAATAAAGGATTTATCATTGAAACTGTTCAGATGATTAGGATTGGATTGAGTGAAAGCATAAAAGATGGTTAATAATGAGAGTCAATACATATTGGAGTGAAAAATATTGCATTATATTAACCTTTTCAAAGCAAGTATTAGCAACTTATTTACTTGGTATTACATATCTTAACTTGTCAACAGGATAAATGATTGTAGATTTAGTTGACTCTTTTTTTATTAACATTATTATCATTGTTATTCAATAGGAATTAGTTGAGATGACAAAAGGTTTAATCAAGTGTTCATTTTGGTGTTTTTTGCGCCTCGTTTCTGGTTGTTTCTCCTCTTAATCTTGTCCCGATTATTTTACCTTATGTTTAAATAATAGTTTTATTAATGGTAAATAAACAGTTATCATTAGCTGATAGACTTGGGAGTTCAAATTTACTGGGAGGTTAACTTGTTGAAGGCAAAAGATTAGACTTGGAAGCTTACTTTTGCTTATGTTGCTTGTTCAATTGAATTTAATTTTCAATTTTGGTTTATTGTTGGAAGGTTGATTGTCATTTTGGAATAGCTTCTGAGTTTTTAAGGTGAATTTTGAGTGTAATTTCAAGTTGAATATTTGATAGAAGTTTTGTTTTTGATTATTCAGGTCCGCATCTTTGGTTTGATTGGGTTGAGTTTTCATAAGGAGTTGTTATGATTTTTGGTGAGAAATCCAATGAAATGAAATTGATAATGAACTGGATTCAATCTGTTGAGGCTTCAGAAACTCGGGTTTACTTCAATAATCGGAGTTTTTAGGAATTTTTAAGCTCGATTTGAATTTTATTTCATTTTATTTTGAAAAGGTTTTAACATTTGGTTCAAGTCTATGTGGCCATCTATTGGTCGGTTTATAAATCAGGAGTTGCAATGACAAAACAATTTTTTACCATTGTCTGACTAATTTTGTGCTTAAAGTCATTTTTTAGTTTTCAATTGAATTATTCGTTATACAGACTAATAAATGTTGGTATTGCTAGTATAATGGTCAAGGAAAAAGTTAATAGTGAAGTTATAAATTGTCTATCAATGGTGAACAATTGGAGGAAAGTAAATCCAACATTTTTTTCATTCATCCTCATAAGAAACAGTTTGATCTGAAACAAACGAGATAAAGGTTAATATTGGATTGGTAATTTGGACAATTTGGTATCAGATGCAATTACCTCTTGATTGTCAACGTCGTTTCTCATCGATATTTTATGCAGTTCCTGTAATGAACTATGAGAAGCTGAGTTTAGTGCAACCAAATGGTCTACCAGCTGAATAAGGAGAACTAATTTGGCCCCAGTGTAAACAACGAAAGCGTAAAATTGTTTAAATACATCTACATAAGATTGCTTGATAAATACAATCGGGTTGAATGCAACAAGAGTAAGAATTCGAAGAACAATTAAATAGCGTGAAAACTGGTCCGCAGCCTGGCATGATCTGATAGCCATTGAATAAGATCGTCTCATCAAGTTTAACTCTTGAGTTGTTGCATCAATTTTACGAGCAAAACTTGCAATCTGCCAGTTGATCAGTTTAAACGTAAACTCAAGTTCAGTTGATAAATAGCATATTATACAATTGCAACATGTAAAAATGAGCAACATGTTAGCTCTGTAAAATAAGGATCTCCGAGGATTTATCCAAACATCAATCCATTCAGAATCCGATAAAGGTTTGGTGGAGCTTTGCGATTTGACCACAGCTGATATACCAAGGAAGTGTAAAACTAGTTGAATAAATAGATATTTGTAATGTTTCCGTTTTCGAGTTGCGTCCAATCCAATTGGCCGAGTTTCCAGATTGTCAATAAAGCCCATCAAAGTGATACTTTTGACCAACTCCTGCCAGGGTAAAATGAAGACAAAGACAAAGCCATAAACGAGATCACTGAACATAGAGAATGCTATTTCGTGGAAATGAGTTTCGTACCAATGAAATATGCCAAATGTATGAAAGATGGGCAGAGATGCACCAATCATGGCCGAAATCCCACTCAATTTTGTGATTGTTTTGAATGCTAACAAAAGATGATTTGTCAGCATTTTATGAGACTTTTTTATTAATGTTGATACGTTGTAATTAAACTAATAAACAATATAAATGCACAAAATCAATCGAGAAATGGCAAAATTTCAACTAACATTCGTTTTTGTGGTTGAACTTCAAATGAATAGTAGATTGGTCTTTGATGATCTCAATAATGGCTGAAAATATCCATTATTGTTATTTTCACCTTTTTTTCCTTTCAATCCCGGTGTGAAGTTAAATTTTGACATTTCATGGTTTTATTGAACAAATTTTTGCTGTAATAATGATTTAAATCATTTCAAATATTGTATTGTATTCTAATTGCATGGACAGTATTTTAAATAAAAATATATCCATTTTGTGGTAGTATTGTATCCATCCATACTTTAAACATTGATCACCAAAAGTTATTATTGTTTTCAAATTTAGTTTTCTTTTATTAAAGACTTTCTTTCTCTGATCGAGTAATCAATCATGTTTATCAATTCCTGTATCAATTTTCATTGTTCATAGTGTTAGGCAAAATTCAATATGAAGCCATTGAAAGATAATAAACTCCAAAATGTTGGCCACTAGGCACAGATTCTGATGAAAATTCACAACGGTGTAACAAGTATCCAGCAATTGCTTCGTATTATATTTTGCATAGGCTGACACCGCTGCGTCTTCGTACAATCCCCATTGAGGATGTACTAATCTCAGGTCAATATTTGGTTTAACTACTTGTTTAACTTTGATTTCATCGGCTAAGTAAATTTGGAATTGGGAAATAACTTGATAGATAGCACCAAGAGCTCGTATTGAATGATAGCTTGGTTTTGATTCATGTCTTTGCATAAAATCAGGAACTTCTGGGTATAAATCTTTTTTACTAAATCTGTAAGCATCTTCAATTCCTTGCTTAGCAAAATCCAAGGCTCTAGCATATTTAATAGCAAACTTCTTACATTTAGCTGAATTAATACCTTTAAGATCAGATCATACTAAATGAGATTTAGCAATTTTACCGATTGAACACTCTTGAAGGCATCGCATATGAAAATGAACCATTTCTTTTTCATTGATACTAACACAAACGATACCGTTTTGCTTGCCCGGATACTCCATTAGAGGTTTAATGGAAACTCTTTTGAATTCATCGCCTCAAATAACACAATACTCATCACCCTCCAAATCAGAACCAGCAATTTCATCGGAATGTGGTCGATTCTCATCAACTGTAATACAATGGTTGTTGCTAAAAAGCAACAAATAACCCAATTGTCACTTTTATACACAAATTGACACAAGCTTACACAGACCGCACAGAAATGGGTAAAAGTTTATTTTCATTCAAATTAGACTTTGTAAGTTTGTAGAGAAATAAAAACTAAGTGTAATTGTGCGATTTAAAAGTTTCTCTGGTCAATAGTTTTCGAACAAATCGAGTCCAAAGTTGAAACTTCGATAGCTCTTTATACAGTTAAGGAAGTAGACATTTCCATGAAACTTATTTTACTTTTGTAACTTTCAATGCTCGGCCAGAAAATGAGCTTATTTTGCTGAATAAAGTTTTTCGTTTTCTGTAAAACAGTTAAGTTCGATTTTCCTTTAAACCGATTTTAATCTGTAGCCGTTAGGGTACGAGACCTGAAACTTATCATTCTTATAGAGAAACTGTTTGGTCACATCATAGATTGACTACTTTTTTCAATTCATAAACAGTTCTCCTGGGTTTGGCCATTGAACTTAAAACTTTAAGACTAAATATTTCGAGAATGGCATCACATAAAATGATCATTCTTTCACCAATTCAATTCTTAACCATTAAATAATACAATTCAACACAATAACTTTCCATAGGTACATTTTTGTTACGATTCTCGGGCTTTAACTGCACATCAAACAACTTATAAAACAAAACAAACTCATATAAAGCAATATCTTAGTAAATGCACCAGTTTTCTGGTTAAAGAAACAATTGAAATGCAAAAAGTAATGCCAAAGGCTCGAATATTCGAGTGGAGAGATGAGACTTAGAGGAGTTTGTAAAGACAGAAAAACTGAATCCATTGGTACTATTAAATAATTGATCCGATGGATAGTTTTCAATAAAATCGAGGTTAAAGTTGAAACTTTGATCGGCTTTTGTTCGACTATGGAAGCAGATTTTTCGATGAAAATTTCTTCAACTGATGTAACTTCTGATGCTGAACCAGAAAGTGAACTTATGTTGCTAAATAAAGTTTTTCGTTTTCTGTAAAACAGATAAGTTCGGTTTTTCTTAAAACCGAGCGTTTTCTGTAGCCGTTAAAGTACGAGACCTGAAACTTATCATTCGCATAGAGAAATTGTTTGGTCAAATCGCAGACTGAATACTTTTCTCAATTTATAAACAGTTCTCCTGGTTTTGGCCATTGAACTTAAAACTTTAAGACACAATATTTCACGAATGGCACCACCTACAGTCCTAATTCTTTCACCAATCTAACTCTGAACTAATAAATAATACAATTCAACACAATAACTCTCCATTAGTACATTTTTGTTACGATTTTCGGGCTTTAAATGCACAAGCAACAACTTATTCAACAAAACAAACTCATATAAACCAATATCTTGGTAAACAAACCAGTTTTCTGGAATAAGATACAAATGAAATGTAAAAAGTAATGCCAAAGGCTCGATTATTTGAGTAAAGAGATGAGGCGCAGGGGAGATTGTAGGGATAGAAAAACTGAAGCCATTGATACTATTAAATAATTGATCCGATGGATAGTTTTCAATAAAATCGAGGTTAAAGTTGAAACTTTGATCGGCTTTTGTTCGACTATGGAAGCAGATTTTTCGATGAAAATTTCTTCAACTGATGTAAATTTTGATTCTCAACCAGAAAATAAACTTATTTTGCTGAATAAAGTTTTTCGTTTTCTGTAAAACAGATAAGTTCGATTTTCCTTTGAACCGATTTTTTTCTGTAGCCGTTAGAGTATGAGACCTAAAACTTATCATTCTTATAGAGAAATTGTTGGTACACATGATGGATCCATAACTTTTTTCAGTGCATCAATAGTTCTCTTAATTTTGGCCATTTGTCTTAAAACTTTGAACGTCAATATTTCGAGAATGGCATCACCTACAATATGCATTCTTCCCCCAATTGACTTCTTAACTAATAAATAATTCAATTCAACACAATAACTTTCCATCAGTGCATGTTGGCCATGAAATTTGAGCTTTGAATGCGCATCAAACAGTTTATTAAACAAAACAAACTCAAATAAAACCAATATCTTGGTTTTTAAACCAATTTTCTGGTTAGAGCTTGAAATGAAATTCAAAAAGTACTGCCAAAGGCTCGAAAATTTGAGTAAAGAGTTGAGACTTGGTAAGTATGTAGGGACACAGGTGTTCGGGTGGTGGACAATATGATTGGGAAAAGTGATTGAAAAAGATTGAGAAGGTGGTGGATGAGGTGTCAAGAAGACAATCCTGACTTTGGTTCAAAATTGTATCAAGACATTGGATAAATTGTTCGCTTATAACATGGGGAAAAACGATACACTAGCTACAATACCACATGTATTGTTGCCCCTCAACAGACGACCATAACCCTTTTCACCCCACTTTTCACCCCAACTGTTCTTGAAGATCCAATATGGAGTTCCATTTTCAGTTCCATAGCCAACAAGAGCAACTGCATGAGAAACAACCTCTTTACTGCATTTTTGAGTATTAATGATTCCTCCTCTGTGAGTATAAACAAAGAATCGGGTTGAATTAAAAAAAATTCTGACATGGTTCAGTAGCAGTAGGACGAAACCGGTGAACTTACTTGTAAAGATAAAAGTCTTGTATTTCTGCGTCAAGCGTAGCTGAGACCACTTGTTTAGAAACAGCGGCTTCAAGGGCTTCTTCATTGTGAGCTTTTATGTAAGCGTATTTTGAAATCTTCACCTCTGAACAAGTTTCATTGAATCTACAGCTTTTCTCGGTTGTGTCTTTACGCGAAACATAAGGGTAACACTTAGCAGCATCAATACCTTTTGCTTGAGCATATTTGTAAGCCATACCCACAGAGTAAGGTTTGCAGCCTTTTGCACCTTCAGAACAGTCGATAAGATTTTGCTCCGACAGTTTCACAACCTTACCATTTTTTTGTGCGTAAGCTGCTTCAATAGCGGCCACAGTGGCAAACGCCCAACAAGCTGGACATATACCTTGGTCTTTAACTTTGGTTAAGATACCTTTTGATCTCCAATCAACTGACTTAGGAAGTTTACCTTTGGATTTCGTAGCCTTTGCATGCATAGCATTCACACTTGACGGCTCTTGGTCAATGATTAGTCCAGTTGATTTCATTTCGTCATGAGTCTGACCATGATTCAGAATAAAAGCGAAAAATACAGATTAAATGATTCGAATCATAATTGATTAATATTAATAACTTACCAAATCTGAAAACTTTGTTATTCCCAAACGGTAAGTGTGGATACCTTGAGTTGCCTTTTCATTGTGTTGTTCAATTAGCTCCAAGTTTTTGTGGAAAATGGTTTGACGGTAAAGTTCCTCTTCTGGATTGGAATATGTTTTATCATAATTTTTCTGGTAATTAAGAAAAATAGGAATTAAAGGATGAACAAGGTTTAAAATGAAAACAGACTAACCTTAAATGAAGCCCATTCAGATTCCAATGAAAGGGATTTTGAAGTTGAGAGGGTGAAGAGTGTAGCTACAAGAAATGAAATTAGCAACATGATTGATCCATTAAAACTGATCAATTAGTCAAGTTACATTTATTGTCGATCTTTACTTGACTTTCACGCCCAAATAATCGAAAGATCTAACAATTAATATAAGAATGTCATGTTACTTTTGTGATTTTGATTAGACACCAGAGCTATCATATACGATATATCATCAACGAGATGAGATTTAATCAAAGTTTTACGTTTATTGACGGAAAAAAGAGACTTTTGTTCAACCAATTGCCAATTTTGATCATATTCACACCTTATTCATGGATTTTACATCCTTGACAAAACCCATGACTAGTTATTTTAATTGATACATTTTCAATGAACTTGATCCTGAAATAAGTTCAACCCGGTGCAAACTTGACATTGTTAACTCAATCATTTATGAATCTCCAGCGATATTGTAGCAATTGTCAGATTGTCACTAAAAAGACACAATCATCACAAGTTATGTACAAATTGACACAAGTTAACAAACCGGGCAGAAATGGGTAGAAGTTCATTTTCATTCAAATAAGACATTGTTAGTTTGTACAGCCATGAAAACTGAGTCCATTTGTGCGATCGCAAAATATGTCTGATAAATAGTTTCCAAGAAAATCGAGTTTAAAGTTGAAACTTCGATCGGTTTTTATACAATTGTGGAATCAGACATTTCCATGAAACTTATTTTAATTTTGTAACTTTTGGTGCTCGACCAGAAAATGAACTTATTTTGCTGAATAAAGTTTTTCGTTTTCTGTAAAACAATTAAACTCGATTTTCCTTTAAACCGATTTTTTTCTGTATCCGTTAGAGTACGAGACCTGAAACTTATCATTCTTATAGAGAAACTGTTTGGTCACATCATAGATTGAATACTTTTTATAATTTACAAACAGTTCTCCTGGTTTTGGCCATTGAACTTAAAACTTTAAGAGTCAATATTTCGAGAATGGCATCACATAAAATGATCATTCTTTCACCAATTCAATTCTTAGCCATTAATAATCCTATTGAACACAATAACTCTCCATTAGTACATTTTTGTTACGATTTTCGGGCTTTAAATGCACAAGCAACAACTTATTCAACAAAACAAACTCATATAAACCAATATCTTGGTAAACAAACCAGTTTTCTGGAATAAGATACAAATGAAATGTAAAAAGTAATGCCAAAGGCTGGATTATTTGAGTAAAGAGATGAGGCGCAGGGGAGATTGTAGGGATAGAAAAACTGAAGCCATTGATACTATTAAATAATTGATCCGATGGATAGTTTTCAATAAAATCGAGGTTAAAGTTGAAACTTTGATCGGCTTTTGTTCGACTATGGAAGCAGATTTTTCGATGAAAATTTCTTCAACTGATGTAAATTTTGATTCTCAACCAGAAAATGAACTATTTTGCAGAATAACGTTTTTCGTTTTCTGTAAAACAGATAAGTTCGATTTTCCTTTGAACCGATTTTTTTCTGTAGCCGTTAGAGTATGAGACCTTGAACTTATCATTCTTATAGAGAAATTGTTGGTACACATGATGGATCCATAACTTTTTTCAGTGCATCAATAGTTCTCTTAATTTTGACCATTTGTCTTAAAACTTTGAACGTCAATATTTCGAGAATGGCATCACCTACAATATGCATTCTTTCACCAATTCAATTTTTAACTTATAACAAATTCAATTCAACACAATAACTTTCCATTAGGATTTTTTATTAAAATTCTCGGGCTTTAAATGCACAACCAACAACTTATTCAACAAAACAAACTCATATAAACCAATATCTTGGTTTTTAAACCTCTTTTCTGGTTGAAGTTTAAAATGAAATACAAAAAGTACTGCCAAAGGCTCGAACATTTGAGTAAAGAGTTGAGAATTGGTCAGTTTGTAGGGACATAAAAACTATTTATCAGACAAATTTTTTAATCGCACAAATGGACTCAGCTTTTATGTCCATACAAACCTGCAATGTCTAATTTGAGTGAAATTAAACTTTTACCCATTTCTGTAAACCATTTGCGTAAACTTTTGTCAATTTGTGTATAAATGTGACAGTTGGGTTAATTGTTTCTTTTTAGCAACAACCGAATACAATACAGTTTTTGGTGTGATACATTTAATGAGTATTTTAATGAGTATTCAATAGATAATTACAAAAGTAAAATGCATGTACTGATCAGTGATCAGTGTTCACATATTGGTTGATTAAAAAACGTAAGGGATAAAAGACATAAAGTTACAGATCTCGAGTGAGTAAATGAATAAAAGCATACAAAAATCATTACCAACGAAAAAGAGGCTGAACTGGACAAAATCTGATGCAAGTTGAAAAATTTACGTGTGAGCTCGTAAATCAAGGTACTTTTTGAAAGATTTCGGTCAGTGCACTCTCTTGGTCGTTAAGTAACTTACAATAGTATTTTAAATCATAATAGCTATTGGCGAGACCACTTGCAAAGTGGTTAATTACACTAACAATTCAAGTCTAGCTTACATTGACTCTAATTGCTTTAAATGATTGTTTGATTTTCCAACAAACTGGTTAATTTGATAGGTCATGCCATTGAATTGATAAACGATTGACAAAACATTACCATCATTGCAGTAGACCTGATTGATGAGTGTAATGCTAAGAACTCACAATATGAATTCAATGCGAATTTTTTCGACATCAAATCTTACAATTTGTTGTGAAGATGCTTAGCGTGAAAAGTCAATCCAAAGATTGTAAAGGCCCGATCATGACCCATTAATGACGATATTACAATATCTACATTAATATCGGCATTAATGGGTCAAAAAATTTGATTGGGTTAAATAAAAAAATTAAGCATTAATAATATCCAAAATTGGCATAGCATGAGTATCTATTCTTAGTAGCATACTCGACTTGGCGGTTGGATCAATAGGTGAATAACAAATGGGAAATGATCCAGTCCAGGGCTTTGTGGGGAAATTTTCATCTAAATTAAAAAGAATTACAATTTTTGAGTCGAGGTCCACATCATTCTGGAAATCACTTTTAGTCATGAATGATGGCGGAGTAAATATGACTCTTGTTGGGGTAATTATGGCAGTTTTTACAAATACAATGTCATCGGTATCTCTTGGAAGCTGAATCTGGTTCCATCGTTTTCCAACTTTCCTGAGAAGAAACTTGAAACATTCAATGGCGTCATAAATTGTATGGGAAAGGTACATATCAAATAAACAATAAAGTGCCATGACAACTTGATCACCATTTCCGCGGTTAATTTGATTTGCAATTATCTCATTGAAAACACCTTCTCCATGATGGTTAATCCAAAGATCATCTGAAAAATCAAAACCAAGCGATTTGACACATTCAATAGCGTACTTGATTGGACGTGGGAAGTTTGTCGGGAAAAATCTGTCAACACCAAGCAAATTATAAACATGGACCAGACCAAACGACAAATCAAACCGGTAATGTTTATGATACTGGAACAAATTTTGCAGGTAAGATGGATCCAGATCTCTAAGATCTAGTTTGAGAGTGTTGCATTTCCCAATAACATCAACAGGCATTGGACAACCGTTGTACCATCGAACCCATCCAGTCACTTCATTTAAACATTTCTTTTTTAGGTAAATCTTTGGAGCATTGGCCAAACACAGGTAAAGTAAGATATTTTTTTCATCCTCTTGTTGAGCTTTAACACTTCTCAACGCACTATAAGGATACACCAATCTGTACTTTTCAAGCGTTGGGCCTGAACGGTAGACAAACTCCAATATCAGCTGATTGTTTAAGTGACACCATCGAATGATAATGTTGTAGATAAAATTATCATCTCCTGCAAAATTCAAGCTGTCCAAATGGCGAACGAATCGATTTCCATTGACAAGACTACCAAAGCAAAAGGAATCAACAGTTGATCGTATTTTCTTGATGGTAAACACATTACTGGTCTTGTTTGATTCCACACCAATAACTCGGTCAAAATAATGGTTACGTTTATCATCAAACCTCCAAAAATATCCAAAAGACGAAGTGGTCGTATTAGTTGAAACAGACGATACATAGCGGATGAAATCAGCAAGACGATTATTTGCCAATCCAACCAAACCTTTCCAGAAAAGCGGTTTCTTTAAATCCATGTATTCAATACCAGACCGAGCATTCCAATTACGTTTACGTTTACGTTTACCTAATTCATGAGTTGAACCCAAGGAATCAGTTATCCGAGCGTAATGGACACCGAAACGACCTAAAATAGAGTTCAAATTACTCAAAATAACATTAAAATCAACAGGAGGACCATGGCCACGAAGGACTATCTCCAAATTGAAAAACACTCTCAAACTTGTTTTGTCAGGCATAAATATTTTTGATTGAAAATCAAAAATTGAATTTTATTCACTGGCTTTCATTAGCTAAAGCACAACAACAATAAATTTCATTACATTCTTATCAAGATATTCCAGATATTCTAGATTCTAGTATATTCTGGAAACTTGGATAATCAAAAAAATAATCGAGCGCAAAAGCTCATCATTTTTATCGCATGATTATGAAATCGGAGGGATTTTATTATAATGTAAGGATGGCAGAATCGATCATTTTTGAGCTCGATTTTCAGATCGAACAAAAATGATAAGATAAAGATCAATTCTTTAGATCATTTGAGTTGAGACTGGAAGTTAGGTTGAGTTAGGTCATCGTAAATCCATCAATTTATTGGCACATACACATGAATATTATGTCACAAGTAATGTTCAAGATGATGAATTTAGTTTATTCATTTACTAGCCATTATCTAAATATTACAGATTTTAAAATTTCCAGTGCCAAGAACCAGAATTAGCAAAATGAAAGCATTTAATGGAGCTAAAAACCAGCATCTAACTGTTTGCAGTCTAATGGGATATTGAAAGATAAGAATTTACCATTTTTTTAGTTATCAAATCCTGGTTCAAATTATTTTTTAGTCGCTTATTCAGAGAATTTAAGTTAGATTTAGCAATATCCGAATGAATGTATTATTAGTAACCAAAGGTCACATCTTTTCTTAAATTAACACTCACAGTT